AACCGGCGTTTGGGCTATTGACTGCGACAACATCTTTTTTTTTCATAAAATACAGTCAGATTATTGGTGTTTAACACGACCTAAACTAGATTCAGTTGATGCATCGGATTCCTTGCCAAATGATATTATAAATTTCTGCTGTCTTTTTGGTATTACCGTATTAATCTTAAGTTCTAAATTTCCTGTGGCAAAGTCTGGTGGAATCAGATCATGCTTGATTATATAGAAGCATACTCAGTTTAACAACAATTTAGCTTTGATAAAGGCGAAACAGTTCATTAACTCAAGCGTCGGAAAAAAGGGTGAAATAAAAGTGATAAAAACACGCTGTACATTCATTAATTGCTGTCAGTGTCTGGTCTGTTTCTCTCGTTTCGTCAAAACTTAAAGGTCATAAATCACCATATGTCACTCAAACCGACGGTTTCTCTTTGAAGTGCGGTGTCTGAAAACACGTTCTAACGTTGGGCATTGTCAGCTTAAGGAAGAGATACATATAACTTTTTACATGATACTTTAATTTCAAATAACATCACATCATTATTGGCAAACTTTTACAGTCAAATACATAGGTAAAAAAAAGGCAGGCGGACAGAATGCCTAAAACTCTTCCTGAAAAAAAACACCAGCAACGCAACGCAAGAGATGGACGAAATAAGTTGATGCGTATTATGCATGGAGTTTGAAAAATTCTCGTAAACAACATACTAAAATCTAGGCGCGTATTATCTATGAGTGCGTATTATACAAGTAGAAATACGATAATTTAAAGTCATTTCATCTGTGTTTTTTACAGCTCATTCACGAGGGTAGTCTCGTATGAGGTTTTTGTGATTCGTTTCATGGTGCCGTTCAAAATTTACTGACTTTACTGAGCAGCTTATGAAAGATTAAGTACACACAAAGGTTTATTTTCTTGACTAGTAGATGCGTATTCTTCCTTCCATTCTGGCTTGACAACTCTGTTTTCATCATCGTATTTTTGCTTCTAATACTTGCCAACTCAGCACTATACATTTGATCACGATGACCTAAGATTTGTCGCTTGACTGATTTAAAATCCCACACCACAACAATTTTCATACTGTAAGATGATATTTATGACGTCATTATTAATGCTATACTGTACTTGTGTTTGATTGTCATCTTTGACCTCGCTTGCTTACGCTCTCTCTCTTTCTTGTACAGCATGCTGCTAAGTGCTGTGATCTATGTGTGTTTACCAACAAACAAACACATATTAAAACGAAGTTCGTCTTAATCATTGATGAAAACTTCTTTCACCGCTGAATAAATTGAGGGAGTAGGCTACTGTTACACTACAGTTTCTCTAATTTAAATTTGTATAATAATTAATGGTAGCGAGAAGAGCCGTATAAAAACTCGAGCCGTGGTTTGCCTACCGTTGATCTATAGCAGTGGTCGGCAACCACCGGGCCGTGGCCCATCGCCGGTCCGCGGGAAGGTTACTACCGGTCTGCAGAGAGGTGACACAAAACGGACAATGCCCTAATAAAACTACAATTCAACCACGTACCTACCCTGCAACCAAAAAACAGCACCCAACAGCAAACTAGACAAACACAAGGCATTTGAGCAGCATGTCTGACTTCACAACTTGTTTCCATGTCATTATGTCGCAATAATGCTTGGTCAATTTTTTTCCTCAACGCCCGTATAAAAAGTCTCACATCAGTCCGAATAACATCTCTCGAACTAAATGATTCTCGCTAAGAACGTGACCACTCCACTACTGACTCGTAGCTAGGGCTGGGCATTTCGAATCGAATAGTAAATTATTCGAATCGGTTCAAAGCTAAATTTCGAATTGCCGCCATCTTGTTTTTTTGTTTCCGCCAATGATCGAGGTGAATTCCCCAATTTTTTTTTCATTGAAGTCATATTTTTTCAACGCAATTCTAACATATGACTATTTTCTGTAGTAAGTTATTGTTAAAGCGTTTTTGTTATTGTGTGTGAACGCTCACAATCTATCTGAGTGATGTATTCTATGTCTTCAGTAATTTATTTGTTAGAAGACCAATTACTATAAAAAAAAGTCGCTTACAATTATATATTTCCAAGTATTCGAGATTCGATTCGATTCGAAAAAAATTATTCGATTCGATTCTGAAATCACAAGATATTCGAAAATGCCCAGCCCTACTCGTAGCTAACTGGTCATGACTAGTCAGTGCTAATTCTATACTTCAGAATCAGGATAATCATAAAGTAAGCACATCGGATAAAAAAAATAGTTATGAAAAGCAAAGTCAAACATCAATCAATATTCAAACAAGAATATCGGTCAGAGACCGAAGACTTATCGATCGAAAATTAGGGGACCCTAAAACAGCGCTCTTACTCCATAGTGACACCTTGTGTCCCATCACTAATTAATTAATAACTCGCTAATTATACGACATAATTCATCCAAAATCAATAGGTCTGACATATGATGAATGCACATGCAAAATCTGGAGCAGATTCAATCTCGCTTTCGTGAGATATCGCGTGCATCTGACACACAGACAAATACCTACATCAACATACTTACCGATCTTAAGATCGATTTCTCATATATATACAGTATATGGTTCGCGTTTTTATGGAATCTACTTTAAATTCAAAATATTAAAATAATTTAATATTTATTTAAATTTAAAGTAACATCACAATATAATCTACACTATAGGTATATGTCACAATACCCAGGGTCTCATGTAGTTTCGTACCGAAATCGAACAGTTATTTCTCTCGTTTTCTCGTCGGAACGATTCCAATAGGAGAGAGATCGATAATGTCAGTCAGTTCTTTATCGTCGGCGCCAATGCCATTTCGGGCGAAAGTACCGGTACCGGTACGTATTTTTGCAAGCTCTATAACGTTATTGTGATGTTGTAGGTAGTTCTGTACACTAGTCCAGCAGTAGTAGGCTATACCGGTAGCTCTTGTTCAAACCTCATTTCAAGTTAGCCTACTGCTATTCTGCTCAGCTGTTATTTCAGTACCGGTAGGGTGGTACGGTACCGGTATTGGGGTCTCAAGTAGTTTCGTACCTAACATACTTCTAGTGGGCGTAGCATGACAATTTTTTCACTTATCAATCCTAACCCCCACCTGACTACACCATCCAAGAATTACGTCAACACGACGTTACAGTGACGTAATAGAGCCCTTCAAACTATACGAACTGCCATCCAAGACGCGCAAACGAGCACGAGAACAGTTATTTATATATTTGGTCATGTGCGAGAAGATTGCTGGACTCCTCGCCGTTGTTGGGTGGTTCACGTAACCGCTGGTCGGTTACAGCTTCCTCCACCACCAAGCCCATGCTTCCGAAAACAAACAATATAGTAAAACTAATACCATACCCGACTTGGAATGGTAACCGGACGAGAGGCCGTGGTTCGCCATATGGATAAGCCGTCTTATCGGCTTTCCTCTCCCCCGGGATAAATATGTAAATCCTATCCTATCCTTCTCTCGTTTTCTCGTCGGAACGATTCCAATAGGAGAGAGATCGATAATGTCCATCAGTTCTTTATCGTCAGCGCCAATGCCATTTCGGGCGATACCGGTAGTACGTATTTTGGCAAGCTCTCTAAGCTAACGTGATTGTGATGTTGTAGTGACATCATTTTGGATTGCGTAGTTAGATGGGGGTGAGGATTGACATATCTAAAAAATTTTATGCTACGCCCACTAAAAAAAGTACGTTAGGTACGAAACTACACGGGACCCCCGGTATTGGCGTATTGCAACTGTTCTGAAACACGTTTCGCGTGTTTGTTCTGTGTATTCTGGTACGGTACGGTATTGCTGTATTGTACTTAAACCTTTATTCAGTTATTGTATCATGACTGCATGCTGGAGTAATCTCTCCTAGCTGCCTATAGCCTGCTACGTACAGACCTATTTTTATTCAATTTGATTGTCAGCGGATTAAAATTGGTCAGTGCGAACGAAGCCATCAGGCCATGTTTGCTATAAACACATGCAACAAGAAAGTCTGAAAACCCATCTAAACCTATCGAAAAAGTAAAATAGCCTATGTCAATAAGTAAGGTTTGTATTAATCTTTACTGGGTCTCGCCTTAATACAGTAATATCTGTTCGCATTTACATATCTGGGACGTCTAAAACTAACTCTGACTTTAATATAGTGCACAGTGACGGTCTTACTACTTACTGAATACAGCGCAGAAGAGAGGGAAACATGTTTCATTCATTATTTAAATAACCTAACATGCACAATATGAGCACACCAATAAGCAATATCTAAGAAATTTTTAAGCTCCAGTAGTATGTGCACCAAGATGGCGCACAACCTGAACACAGTATGTGTACCAGGTTAGGGTGTGCCATGTTGGGACATTTTATAAAGATGTTGAAGATTACTGATATAAACTCGTGATCATTCCCTACCACTGTATACTGTTTCTAATCAAATTGTTTAAAATTTCACGGACACTAATAAATAATGAAAGAAAAATGTTTCCCTCTCTTCTGCGCTGTTTCGCACTCTATTCAGTAAGTAGTAAGACCCGTATGGTGATGACTGATGGTAAAAATAAATAAATCGAGTGATTGATTTTAATAAGCTTAGAAATTATTCAGATATTTCTATCAATATTATAATCTAAAAAGTGAGATGATTGACCTGATATCCTGAAAATTATCTAGCGTTATTGGTATTGCTCTTTGAATCAGAGAGACACGCTAACACTCTTAAAGTTTTTTTTGAAGCACCCGATTCACAAGTGCAATGAATACGAATTTTGAGTATTAAAAAGTCTCATGTATGATAAATTCACTGTAGATATGTTTGTGAATACAAACTTAGAATTTAAATTATTCATTTTTTATCATTGATCAACATTTTCCAATAAATAATTTTTTTTTCTGCCAGTTCTGAACCATGTATATAAGCACTTCTTTAAAAAGTACACTATCAATTGATTTGGCTTCTGATTATCAGTTTAATCAATTTGATGTTAATATTTATTTTATACAAAAGGTGAATAAATATTAGTTTACTTAGTCATGGTGGGTTTTATATCAATGACTGTTTTTCTGGGAGTTTTTTTAAGTTCTATGTCATTTGTGAAAACGGATAAAGTGGAATGTGTAGATGATATGATCACCTATAGATACACAGAGTGTGATAGCAGTAACAACAGATGGCGAGTCGCAGTTCCAAGAAATGATGAATGTGAAATAAAAAACCCACTGCCGCCAGTGTTTGGTCGTGAATGTGGATTCTCTTGCAGCAAAGGGGAATACCTTGACCTTGATAGCCAAGAATGTAAAATGTGTCCGACTGGCACCTATTCACTTGGCAGTGGAGTAAGATATAATTCATGGGACAAGATTCCAGATGGATTTTCAGTTTCTTCGAGTTCGTTTACGTTTGCGGAATACGGTTATCATGCTAAAGTTGACGATTGTACCACATCAGTCTGGAATGGTCAAAAAGATTATATCAGCTCGAATGACAATGATTGCACAAGCACTTTAAGTTATTCTGTTGATGTGAAGACAACGGGATCAGTCTCATTCACTTATCAGTATCCAGATGAAGATCTTATCTTTCATTTCTATATTCAAAATGGTGAATGTCAAACATTGCATACGAATGGAAAAAATCTTTTTCTCAATACCACTGGTACATCTTGGAAAACTCATCAAGTTGACTTGGATCAAGGCACTAATGTACTGATATGGAAGACTACTGGTTTATTATTAGGTGAAAAGGAAAGAATTAGTCCTGCTTTGATAAAAGATATTGAAATCAGTGGTGTCTCCTACACAACAAATTGCCATAGATGTGAAGCTGGTTTCTTTGCTGATGCGGAGGGGTCTCATTGGTGTAAACCTTGTGATGCAAACACACACAGCGATGTCAATGCAAAAGAGTGTACCCCTTGCGATACTCTTACACAATATGCTCCTGTTGCATCACCAAATTGCATAGATAAACCTGCTTGTACTGAACATGATTATTTTGAAACCCACAGTCCCTGTGATGAAAACAAAACTACCAAAGTTATGTACAAATGGCGTGAACCAAAAATTTGTAATGAAGATGGAGAAGGGGCAATCAAGTTACCAGCTTCTGATACAACCAAAGAATGCCCGCCATGCAATCTAGGTTTTCACCAAACTGAATCTGGAACTTGTTCACCGTGCAATGAAGGTCAATTTTCTAATGGAAAGGAAGAGTGCCAAGAATGTCCTGTGGGAACTGCTCCCAATTATGGGTTTTTCTATACATGGTGGGATGTGATTCCAAAAAATATAAATGTATCTTGTTTGACAGTTCATTCTGAACATTGTATTGGTACAGAAGGATGGGTTGCCAGCGGAAGTATGATTCAAACTAGTCAAATGGAGATTCCTGTAGCTTATCTTTTACTCAAGCTACACATTGATGGGTTTCGTAGTTTTAAAGTCTCACCTGAAGGATCAAAAGTTTATGGATCTATTACGTTTGTTTTTGAGATGTCTTGCTCTAAAGGCTGCGTAATGTATTTGATGAGAAACGTACATGGATTTGGAACCAATGTTGTTGATAGCTGGCATGGTAAAAAGGAAAAACAAACTTACACAATGGACGTTGTGAGAAATGAAACTATGACCCTTTCGTGGGCCTTTCAGAAAACAAGTGTCACTTCACCAGAAATGAAGACAGCTGTAGCAAAAGATCGAGCTATCATTTACTCTATCACTGTTACAAATGCGATTGGTGCACCAGCTGATCAGTGTCATTCGTGTGCTGCAGGGGCAAATGACGCTGGTTGTATTCCATGTCCTGCTGGTCATTTTATTGAACCAGACAGCAAGAAATGTCATTCCTGTCCATCCAACACCATACTTCCATTTGAAACAACCCACAATGCCCAGTGCACTGAATGCAATGAAGGTACGACAAGTAACAAAGCTCATACTGCGTGTAAAAATGATTGTACTTTTCTGTCTAACACTACTGGACGAGAATATGATTTATCATTTTTATCGAAGCCACAGATTGCCAGCACTCCGCCAAGCTTTACAAGCACAGGGCGAAAGTATGTTCATTTCTACAATTTTAGCATTTGTGGCAATGAAGGGCTTGGAGATGCAGAATGTTTCGATAACAAATCGCTTTCCAGAAATTTAATGTACGGAGTTCAAAAGGTTAAAGGCATGATTTGTCGTTCAACAAAACTGAATAGTCTTGGATCCACTAATCGAGCAGTGCCTGTGTTCTCTCAGCCTCAAGTTATTTCTCACGTTCTTGAGAGAGTTTTTCAACAAGATTTGAATGCTACTAAACCAGATGATTCAGTTGAAGACTGCAATGAAGGAAATCTATTTTTCCCAATATCTCAGTACCAACTATATGGAGATATTATATATGTATTTGGATCCAACGTCAACAGTTCTGAGTGTCCAAGCGGAATGAAATCTTTTGTTCATCTACGCTGCGATCCTAATATTACAGAAGAAAATACGAAAATTGAAATGCCTGCTAAATATCCGGAAGGTTCTTGTGATGGTTGTTTTTTCCATTTCTTGATACGCTCCTCTGAAGCATGTCCTTTATGCACTGCTGATGATTATTTTTCTTTAGAAGGAGCTTGCAAGGATAGCGTCATTACAACAAGGTACATGTGGAAGTCGTATCCGAAAGCCTGTAAGGACGGTGTCAGTTTACCAGATTATACAAAAACTCATTGTATGGATTATAAGCTTTATATCGAAATAGGAATTTTAGGAGGAGTCGTTCTTTTTGTCATACTCTTGGCTATTTTATGCTCAATTTGGAAGAAAAGTCGTAAATTGGAATATAAATATCAAAAGCTTATGGATTCAGGAAAAAATGGAGGAGAATTACCTGCAGCGGAGACTTGTGCCATATCAAGCAGTGAATCTGAAGATGATGAAAGTGAAGAAGTTATGTTTCGTAAAAAAAGAGAAAAAATGTTGGGAAAGAAAACAAAAGAGAATGAAAAGATTCCTCTTAACACCATGCACCATAGCATAAACATGTAACATGAATTTTGTTCTATACAGACACCACATGGAATTAGATTTTGGGAACTTTTTTGTTTCTATCGTAGATACTGTATTACTTAGTTTATTACATGATTGTTCCTAAGGTTAGTTTTTGTTGAAAAACTGACTTTTTTGATAATTCATTATTGTTTAGCATGGCGCTTAGCTGAATCATACTTAACATAGTAAATAATTCTTAATCAACATTTTCTACATGAAATTCCTTTCGCTCTGAGTCACCGCCCTTTGTTTCGTTAATAAGGATCTAATTTTGTTTGCGTCTGTGCACGAGTTAGACCGTATTTCAGAAACCTTCCACTTTACTAAGCAACTGTCTGTTTTGACATCTGATCCAGCGGTTCATGTTATTAATAAGGATGATTTAATATTTCATTTACTAATATTAAGTTGATTGAAAAATTCTTCACATGAATATATCTTTAGACACTTGTCGGTCAACTTATAAACAATTTGTCTCTATGTATCTGTTATCAATTTATCATCTTATTTTGTAGTATTTTTCATGGTACAACATGTGTCTTGCTGAAATGTGTCTGATTTTCTTGCCGCACAAGCTGTATTAATTTATTGTTTTATACAAGCAAGCTGTATTGTGTCTTAAATTTTTTTTGCACTAAGTATTTAATCAATAACAGTGACAGACGCTGTTGTTTGTTGTTGTTGCACAAGATCAATTTCTGAATCATGTTCCTGCTGCCTATTGCTAAGAAGTAAACAAAGAACAAAATCAATATGAAAATGCTGCTTGCTGTATAGCATAAATGTGATGATAGAAAATCGACTCTAGGGTGTCCAAATTGGAATAAATATCAGAATATTCTTTCATAAAATTCAGAATTTGAGCAATAAAATAAAATAGAAATTATATTCTATATGTTAAATACATATATATTGATTTATGCAAATTTCTCCCTAACTAAGTGGTATGTTTCATTTTCTCATGGATGACATATGTGAAACAAAAAATGTTAAACAAAAATTAGGGGCATAATAATGTTTTATTGATAGAAAACGTGTCAAAAATATATTGAATTTGGAATTTTTCAAATTAAATCATTGAGATGTGACTAATGCATCCTGTAAAAATCAATAAATCCACCTTTTTGGGTAGCCTGAATTCCTTGGTTGATTAGATTATTAACCTTTTCATTTTGAAGGATAAAATAAAATGCCTCACTTCATAATAGACCATTTTTTATATAATGAAATATTTCGGAATGAGTAATTTTTTATTTGGTGCTATGACATATTTTTCTTTTCTGCTTTAACTTGTATTTATGCAGTGTTATTAATCATGCATCTGTCTGATCATAATTTGCAGTCAATACATTCCCATTTTTGCAGTCAACCTTTTTTAGTCAGTACTGAAGACAGGCCACAAAGAGTTTGTTTTTTCAGGCTTGTTCCATTCATGAAGCATCCTTGCTAAAATGAATAAAACGATTTTATTGTACTCTTTTCTAATGTTAAAAATTTTAATTTAATATGCTAATGCAGTTCTCAAACATTCATGAAATCATTGTCACTCACCACATGTGAATTTTTGCACATTTTATGCCCTTCTGAAATTTTGCACAGTATGGAAGTCGTACTTATCAGTACTCCATCATTCCTATTATTTCGTTACTCTAAAAACTACTTTGACAATAAATTTAATATAACTAATACAATAATATCCCATATCTGCTTGTGATTCGTTGAAACTTGTGTATTATTCTAACTTGTTTATTATTTGCAACGTATTTCTTAGTATTACTGATTGTTGATGATATGTGCCATTGTTGTGTCAATAGTGATGGCCCTATGGATACTTTAGGTAAAATTTGAAATGATGCCAAATTTGTACATGACTTCTGTTTAATAGTCATCTGTCAACCCATACAGGGAAATTTTTGTTTTTTAAAAAAGAATTTATAACAATCTCAATATCTATCACAACCACATATGGAATAGACCAGTATTTCCTATGATTTGTTTCTTACCCAATGGACCAATCTATGAAAAAAATCTAGATTGTATTTTATATGCTAATTTGTGTAATGTATATATTTTAAACTTTCTGAACTGAAAATAATTGTTACTACTATGAATGTTACTGTATATGATAAGGTTCTGAGAATAGTTATTAACATTGTGTTTCCATTATGATAACGGACCAAAATATTATTGTATATATTATAATTGCTTTGCACAATTATTGCTGTGACCGTGACGGGATTGCGCAATATCTTATTTCAATGCAGCATTTTTTATTCATCTTGTGTGTGTATATACCATGTTCACTATATAATTGGACTTTCATTTTGAGCAAAGAAGGACGTGTTCTTTTCATTTTAGTAGCCAGTAGAAATGCCGATATATTCACTGCATTCTTGGCAATTATGCTAAATTATTCCATGTGGGATAAATCAAAATATATGCCAAATTAAAATGGAATAAAATTGGTTCGTTTCTCTGATAAGTAATAATTTTAGGGTTTTCTGTAAACATGATTTTTTTGCAGTACCACTGACTATAAAATCATTCAATTTTAAGTAAATGATTTTTTGAAAATTTTTTATTTTTTTTTTTGGAAATTCCGTTTGTCATTTATTCAAAAAAATTTACCTTCATTAACAGGGGCAAGTTTATATAAATTCATGTAGTACATTTTCTCTGCTAAATTGATTAAAAGTGAAATTTGAATCGATTCGAATTCAGAGAAAAATTCTGATATATCAGACAGACATCTGTTATTTAAACCTCTTTTTTGATGCTACCTGTTGCCATATCATTTCAGTTCAAAGTGAAATATTTTAATTATAGATGAATCCAGTAATGTATATGTTTACTTCACTGTTTGTTCTCACCAGATGTCTTCAATTTTATAATCATTATTATAAATATTCATCAGCAGTAAATAATTTAATACTATTGTAATATGTTTATTTTAATGCAGTGCTGAATTCCTACTGTCTTTCTTAGTGTGCTCATTGTGTTGTGCTGATAGTATATCTGTCTAAAAGTGAGTAATGGTAATGTATGCTGTATACAACAGTGGTTCATAACTTTCATGTGCTTGTACCTTTTAAGCTCATATTTCTCGTTTGTAGAGGGTTGCTATAAGAAATGTAATCCTAAATCAAAACCAATTCAATGAGGAAACCGAAAATGCTTAAGACTAAGAGTACATGTGAATGCTGTTAATTACAAAGTACAATACAGCAGTATTTTTAAAGTATGCAATTAAACGGGCCAAATTAATTCTATATTGAAATGAAATCAATACAATTTTTCTTACCCAATGCACTCATGCATATCTGTCGACCACAGACAGAACCGAAAGAAAATATCTTTACTGTAAAATCCACTTGAAATTCCTTTACGGATTTACAATGGATACAAGTTTAAAAATGTAATTTGAAGCCTCACGATATATCTAGTTTAGTTTTTCAGATTGTGTTTGTAGGGCTAATGCAATCTATATTGTTGTTAAATATTACTGGATTCATTTTTTGGCTTGTCTTTGTTGATATAGATTCGTCGAGCTTATTTGTGTCATATTACCTTACATTAGTCTTAAAAATCAAGTTGAATGCTGGTATGTAAATCATGGTGTTACTTGTTAGTAGACTATAATACTTGTTAAATTACTTGTATTGATGATGTATTATTTCCTGACTTGTTGCAAAAACCTAAAATTTTCTTGAAGCAATAATTGAAACCATTAAAATTGTTTTCTGCTGTCGGTATCTTGTCTGATTAGCGCATTTATACCGGGATTTTATTCGAGGTTTTTTTGAGAGCAACAAGCTGAAATGAAATCATTGAACTTCGGTCAATGTGTAAAATGGGAAATTGACAAACCATACTGTAATCTGACTGACATTCCACGAGACAGTACGATGTGTCAGTGATCCCTATTCATTAATTAAATAACGTTTGTAGTTCCCCATTTGTCTCACACATATCATCGAAATCCTTTGTGCAGTCGCCGCCTATAGCCTAGTGAAATTCGTAATGAACGCAGAAAATATTCACAATTGATGTTGTGCCGCCTGTCTGTGTTAGACGGAACCTTCTAAACTCGGACCCGTATCCCATATGTTATGTTACCGCAATTGGAGAATTCTGCTAAGCTGTCGAGCAGATGTGCGAATTTAATTAGCTTAGCAGTCTTCCGGCATTGACGAAAAAGGTCGATTAATCAATGTTATATGGATCGCGGATTCGCGGTATGGGTTGCAATTTCGGGACCAAATCTGAAATCCCGAACCCTGGATTTACAACGACACACACACACAAATATAATAAGCAGTCATGTTTATTTCTTATAAAACTGACGCGAAAACATGATAGTGTCATAATTCCTGATTAAAAATACACGCCCAGCCTCAAGTGACGTTGTTTGATTGTTTTAGTGGCCCCTCCCTGCTTGTCTCAAATAGCAGCATTTCTTTCTCAACTAACGCCATTCGACTTCCATAACCTTGCTACGAAAGCAGGAAGCTGTTGCGCCGCGCCATCTTTGTCATGGCTGCTATCTTTTTAGATCGAATATTCAGCATATTTAATCGTTTCTTGATCGGATTCTTCAGTACAAAACAATCTTGGGGATTTTCGTATGCTACGAATTTATGTGTGTAAGGGGTTTCATGAACGTTTAAACATTTTGGAACTCTGTCAAATTTTCGCCGGATGGCTCTGTTTTCGGTGCGTGATCCCGACCTGAACCCGGGATTATATTCAAAAAATCTCGATATCACTCGAAATTAAAAATCGGATTTTCTGTTGGAACAATTTAAAGTGAAGAAGCATCGTTGATGCGTTTTGGGCGTTATGTAGCAAGGCCAATAGACCTCAAAGGCTATGTAACTATGTTAAACGCCCACTCAGGACTCAATACTCGATCTTCCGAGTTTGTGGCGGGCGAACGAAGCAGTATCAGATCACTGGCGGTTACCATTTACCAGTTGATGAAATTCGAACACTTCATCAATTAACTTCCCCTATTTGCCGACACTGTGGTACTTCTCATCGTGAAACAATATCTTAACCTAAAGGTATTACACAGAGTCATAGAGTGGATTTTACACTTTTTATTATTACTATAATATTGCTTTACGTTTTGTACAGGAGAATATTATATGGTGTCGTGTGGAACTGGAGAAATATTTTGATAAGAAGAATCGAATCGCACAATGTAAAACGGTGTAACGAAAACGACTATTCTTTGTCAAGGAAAGACGGAATGGAAAAGACACGTCGACGTAAACCAACTGCTCTTGATTGAAGTGAAGATAAAAAAGGAAATTGAATGAAAAGCAAATATTTTAAAACAGAAAATACTGCCATTAAAAGTATTTAAACATGAAAACAACTAGCGAAAAAACAATCTTTAACCACTAAAAAATTTCAAAGCAATTGGTCCAGTGGTTGGTGAGAAAAGCAATTTTTTTCATAACAACCAGAACATGAATCCTAACAACAACTTAATAACAAAACGATCTATATGTACATTTCGTGCCCATCAAAAAGTTCTTAATTCACAAGTGGGAAATTAATAAGAACATTACATCACGTTTATTATTGTCTCGAAGACTTCAAAGTTCTGGTTGTTGCTAGTTTTGCACCGACAATAGCAGACATTCGCAATCGGTTTCTATTGACATCAGCCCGTGTTTGTGAAGATGGATTGTTGCCTTCGTCTCGGTCATCTGCTTCAGAACGAATTTCCATTTTTTGTACAATTAGTCTCAACATGTCGTATTGTCTTTGCATCGAATTCTGAATATCTTTCATTCTTAATTAAAAAACATAATATAAATATGTTGCCAGAAGTCGATTGTGAAGTCACCAAAGAGAAGTCATGCAATTTAGCGTTTCTTCGGCCGCACTTTGATGTTGCTGCTACACTTTCTACGCAGTTACAAAATGGCATTACAAAAAAAAAATTACTCTGTTTCTGTATCTTACGAAAAAGGGGCATTTCAAGATTGTTTTAAGTGCGAACATTAAGAAATCATTCATTTGATTGACAAATTTTACCACAGAATATTACTATTTTATCCTTTACTTTTAATCAATGCGTACTAATATAACATTTATTCTAAATGATATGCTGAAAACCAACCTGACTTTCTGTTTTTGAATTTCAGTATTCAAATACGAAATATTTCTGTCAGTTCGCGATTCGCCGTATTCGTTTTCAATTCCTGGAATACCTGAAACCTGTAAGTCGACTTTAAAGTTTAAATCAAATTTTTATCGATCTGTGATATTTCAAAAACCTTCATATATATTTACACTTTTGTGTAAATTACAGACAAAGATTTTTACCTTTATTGGAATATGGGAATCGTCAATGAAAAATTGACAGTGCATTACCCTTTATTATAAAATATTTCATTCCATTTAGTTCGTCACTTTATTATATATGTTATGTATACTCACGAAGCCAAATAATTTTTCAATGCTGCCACATGTTCGATTGGGATACATTATAAGCTCCTTTTTGTCAATTGCATTCAACATTCTTTCAGACAGCCTGCTTTCAATGTCAGTGTGCAGTTGCACCTAAATGGAAATGTACATATATATATGCATTGTGATTTGTGATGCAGACAGTTAGGGTGACATCCAACAGGAAAACTTGGCAATGCTGAATATATAACAGTAATATTATTTGAATGCTTGCTGTTGCCACCTTGTCTTTCATAGCTTTTAAAAGCAGTGAAACAAGTTTAGAGAAGGATCAAAACAATACCCCATACCACCTCATATAATTTTAATATGTTACCTGCATTGCCAACCGTCTCAAAGAAGCGGTATTTTGCACTTGTGCTATATCACCAACCGCCAAACCAATAAGTAGATTCATGAGTAATATTGGCATTATCAGAATAAAAAATGCCAATAAAAGCATCGCCATCACAGAATAATGCAGTGTATTGTCATCGTCATCAACATATGGCATGACAAATTTTTCGATATAGTTAACTTCACCCAACGTCATCGTTATAATACGCATGATAGATAACCCAACGGATGAAAAAGATGAATGGTGGTCATCCTGCGACAAAGACAATTTTAATGTTTACTAAGTGAATATTTAGGTAACAATTGTATATATTTCCGCAAGGCCAAGCATAAAATGTGATTTACAGTTTAAGGTTTTCAATGTTATTTTACTTGGATGCCACACAGAGAAATGAATATCGCTACACCAGTCCCAGCTTTTATCAGAGACGTTCGCTCTCCTAACCATTTCAAGCTGTACAAAATCATAACGTCGATTTTTACTTCACACCTACAATTACTTACAGAACACAAAAATTGCGGGCAAGTGCTATTTGTACAAGCCTAAACTGCCTAACAAGATTGGCATCATGTTTGAATACTTGTTTTTCGTACCTGTAACATTTTCATTCCAGCCAAGACATCCTAAACATGGTAAGAAGTTAAGTCGGGGTTAAATAAAAACTCACCTCGGCGCACATTAAAACATAAAACGCTAATGAGAAAGCAACGATAAGAGAAGAAAATATCGCCAACACTTTCACCAGTGTGCTGAATATTTCTATGAACATAACCACATATATGCCAGTTATATCAAATCTGCAATATAAAAAATAAGCGATTTAGTATTAGATGTATCCTATTTTAAGAAATTTAACATACACATGACATTGATGAAATTTTGAAACAAGAAAAGTGCTAGTATCACGAAGATAGTATCACGAAGCAGTAGCTTACAACAGAAAATTCGTGACTATAAAGCCCTCATCCATGAGTTTGCCAGTTCATAACGATTTGAATTGCAGTTATACCATCAACATGTACTACATTAACGTTTACACTGAATTATACATAAATTCTAAATGTACTGAACGGTTCAGTGAAACAGATATACTTGCCTTTGTAAAAACAGCAGGAAATTTAGCCACGCAAACAGAATAGCCAATGCACCACAGTCAAATTGCCAGTGATGTGGATATCCAGTGTAAAACGGAATCACGTACAACAAACTACAAACGTATAACAACCATTCGATCATATTTATCATGTCTTTGAAGTAATTTGCTTTCTAAAAATAACAACCTGCTGGTAATCACATGGTTTCGTTTGATACACCAAGTTCTACATCATGGAAGAATCAGCGACCCAAAAAGAAATAGCAACGAGTGCAATTTAAACATCAATTTTGTTAATTGTTTTACAAATGGGGAAGAAATCTTTGAAAACCAAAACGGATGAAAGAACTCAAATCAACTAATTGGTCATTTTCATGCTTTAAGCTTATAAAATGCCTCCCCACTTGCGAATATGTTGTTCTCTTGAATACAGTTTATCGACGCAATTGCATGATTGACGCAATCATCATCAAGGGAGTCAGTCGCCTATCATTTCGTTCCTAAATTACTGTATGATCAGCACATTACGGAACAAGAAGAAAAACAATGCCAAGAACAACAACATAATGACGAAACGATCCATATGTACATTTTGTGTCCAATAATTATTCAACCGTAGCACAGCACAGGCTCCTGGCGTTTTCAGATTGTGTCATGACTCATGAGACATTGTGATGGCTTGGTTGGATGTTGCCGTTTCGCTGTTCCTGCAGTCCCGGTGAAATTATGCTGCAATCCGCGTTTTTTTAAATCGTGGATTACATTACTATTTGTATCATTAGCAACATATTTGACAAATAGTTACCTGTTCAATCATTTGTACTATTTCTTTTATAAGTTGACAAGAAGAAAGTACTGTTAAGATGATCAGCATACTGTATTGAAAGTTTGAGTACTGAAAAGGTCCATCGAAAGTACTGGAATTCCCATACCTGTTAAACGATAGAATACTTAGAAAGTTACATTTGGAAGCATCTTTTTATTTCTGGCGCTCCTGAAGTATGTGTACCAATGTAGGGTTAACTAATTTTGTTCGCCTACCTTGCATCAAGTTGTGTAAAGGGGGGAAAGCCTATGGGCAGAGGGTGTATTCACTTGGCCAACACAAACAGTCACCGAACTCGTAATAGAACTAAAATAAAGAAAATCGAAATAAAATTATGGCCTAACCTGGTACATATACTACGGGAGTACCCAAATTATATACATTACCCATCTATATGTTTACTAGGCGCTGAATCCATCGTGCAAACCAGATACGTCAGAGGGAATAATCCAAGCATGTACACAAACAAATTCAACCCATGAAACCATCTTCCATATGCATTCCTGCAATAAGAATATTTTTAACGAGGGAGCAAATGCTTAATATATGGTCACGAAGATCGTGCATCTGTACGGTATAATAAGGCCTTATCTATGTTGAAAATTAGGAATTGGATTTTTCTTGGGGAAATACTGGGGCTCTTTAAAATTTTAATAGGATAATACAACAAGGTTATCTGATCAGAGTATTGTGCATTAATAAAATATATACGAATGCACGTTTTTTTTTGGAAAATTTTCAATACTTGTCTGTTATTGCCTGTGGATTTATCGTAACCGTGAATAAATTGTAATCAAAAATATTATTAGTTTTGAAGAAATTAGAAATTCACCATTTCATGTGCATATATGCCATTGACACTGGGTGGCGTAAACACTCCACTCTATTGTAGTCCACCATTTTCTGAAAGTAAAAAAGAAGTATATATGTCGTTACATTCGATTTTATTCATGTCTTTACTACCGAACACATCTAAGTGAAGCAAAACAATTAGAAAAACAATTTTATTTCGCCACCTGAATCTTCGCTATCGGAGACAACGCCGGGAGTAAAAGTCGATGAATTGGGAGTGTTTATAATTTCCCATCATATATATATAAGCATTTTATATATTATTTACATTATTACATTATTTATATTATATTATTTACATATTATTTTACATATAAAAGACATAGTAGACCGACAGCTCGGACCAAATAGGCCCGTATGAGACGACTTCAGAATGCTCTGTTTTATTCATGCTATATACGGTTAGAGTGTGCTTTTGAATCTTTTTCAAATAAAAATGTACTTCAAAAATTTAACTGTTTTTATCACAAATACTTGTTTTACAGCAAAATGCTCTTGTGGCAAATTTTCGCGCCAGTCGCCAGCTGTGGTCGTCCAACGTCTAAAACAAGAAATGGCTCGCGGGCTATCACGATATTCCATGAAGGGGCCGTGCAAACCCCCTGAATCCCACCACTGTACATCGGCGACGTAAATCCGTGCAGATTTTACTTACATTAAGCGCTGGTAAGTTAAAAGTTCGTGATGCATTTTCACCCTTTTCCACCTTCTTATTCTTCTTTTCAATCGATTCTTTTTTGTTCATCGAATTACAGTCATTCATGGTCTCCTGGGTCTTCAAACTTGGTTGTAGATACTGCACAACAAAAAAACATATTTATCATTATATTTTAGTATTAGTGCTCCTTTTCCCCCTTTCCAATATATATACTTTTCTTCTGGCTTGAATTATAAATTGGGAAAAAGGTTTCTCGTCCACCAAAGAAAACGCGTCACGCAGTCAGCAGCGCAAATATATAAAGAGCATAGATACATTTATATATATTTATATATATATTAATAGCATTGCAAACACACGTACCTTGAACTGATACTTGATCCAATACTTTTTGCTCTTTGGATTGCAATCTGCAGTTTCAATACAACGATTCATAGCTGCCTGGGAATAAAATAATAAACTCAAGATCACCATAGATCGAACATTCGCATTTAATTTAATATTTGACGAATGCGGTTTTAGTTTTGTACCAAGTTAAATTCGGACGCCATTGAAGTTAGTTGTGATATTTGGGGAAAGATAGTTTTTGTTTTAACGTCATCTGAATTATTATATATATATGATGAATACAGCATTACAAGTTGTCGATAAAATTAAAAAAGCCTGATAGTGATAATATAACTCTTAAATAACAATTGAAAGCAAAGAATCACACGCATGTTGGCCAAGACGAGGACAAATAAAAACTGCACAATTTAAATATAATAACAGATGTAATTAGTTACACACCATCCATACATCAGGCAAATGTTGAATCAGCAATAAACTAGGTAGAATACACTCTCCCTTTTCACGCGATATAGCGTCCATGCCTTCTTCCCATCGTCCATGCTGAATGAAAGGGTTGTATATTACTATTAGTATGTGTCGATTCCATGTACCGTATATTGTTACTACAGACACCATAACACTGATGGATTTTTTAATCAACATTTGATTGTCAATTTGACAATATGTAGCTATAATAAGTTCGGTATATATAAATATATATATATATATCGGTAAAGTTACTATACCTATGTCCGAAAATTTTGGTAAATTCTGAGTTTTTAGTTGTCCTATTAGAAAAATTAGGTTTCAGTACGTACTTTGTGGAATTGATACAAATAAATACTTTGTGAACGGAAGTTACCTCCACCATTGCAAGCGCAACTTCTCTATTCTTTGTAGTAATCGTCTCTACGAATGCAGTAGTTCCAATGCGATTACGAAATATACCTGATCCAAGATCCAAACACAATCGAACGGCATTTACGTGACTGTTTCTTGCTGCAATATGCAGTGCTGTGTCCTACGATATACACAATTTTTTCTTGATTCAAAATGGTTTTAGATTTTGGGAAATAACATTGAGTCGTAAAAATAACACGCGACACGACATCGAATGAAAAACACACTTTGACGAGAAATTGATAAGTCGTTTTTCCTTCAAAACGCATTTATAATATTTAGTGTAATATATTCAGTGCATGCATTTGATTGTGAGAAAGTTTTCACTTTTCGGGTGGCTGTAAATATTACTGCAACTTAAATTCTCAAAATTAAATCATATATACCCCGTCTTCATCTTGTTGATCAAGCAAAGTTCTGTTCATTGTTATCAAAATTCTCATAGTTTTCGTATAACCGTTGGAAGACGCTGCATGCAGTACAGATTGACCCGCATTTGTACGATGGAAAACTGCACCCCTGTAAGAAATGCACTACCATGTTAAGATGTCAAGTCTATCAGCAACACTGATAGAATTTCTAATGCAGGGGTTCTCAACCTGGGGTTCGCGAACTCCCGGGGGTTCACGAGAAGATGTCAGGGGGTACTTGGGTGGCAGTCGAGTTTTTGTGTGTTGCTGTTTTTTAATTTTAGTACTACTGCTGGTATCATTGGGCCACCTTCGATTGTCGTGTAGTATAGCCCCACCCCCGTAAATTATTATCACCAAATTAATTCAGCTTCCATCCACACCCTAAATCAGAATAGTGGAAAAACCAGCTGCGGAGCCTGTGGTGTCAACCTTAATTATACCGACTGAACAGATGATGCGACAACATCAAGAGTGTTAACGATTTGACACCTATGACGCACCATCTGTTCTGTCGAATATATAAGCCGATGGACTGAAAGATGAAAGGAGGGGAGACATGGTTGACTTTCTGTGTGATTTGTATGATACTACTATTAATAAATATCTCAAGAACTTAAAACTGTGATACTGTACTCGAAGAGCTGAAGAAGTATATATAGCACACCGTACTACGACGTTTATAAAGAAAGGAAGAAAGGATATTAATAGAACCCCGGTACGGTCCCTGCATTTGGTGACCCCAGACAAAAAGAACCGCTTCCTGATTGGAGTTAGATCGAATGATATTGACCAACAATTTCTGAATGGAGTCAACTACTTAAACAGCAAACAAGATTATTCGTTGTTCGATAAATAAAAAAAAACAGAAATTGAGCGGTATCATCGATTGTTCCTGAAAACAATTAAACGGATATAAGTAACAGATTATTGAAACACTCGGAGCATAACAAAACTCAGAATAAAGTGAATTGCCATAAGAACATTAATTAAAGAACCAGTAATTTTTGGAAACGGATAATACAAAGACAACAGCAAGAAGAATATATATATGTGTATAGAACTGTTCAATAACCGGTACGTCTAATTTAATCAATATTTTTCCTTGTTCCATTCCGTTTAAATTTATTTGTATATATTATTAACTATTAGCCATCGATATGAACAATTTTCCTTTTAATATTCTTACTCCCTCAAAAAGGCAACGCAATAGATTTTTGTTACGTGATCCAGAATTGCCACAAGTGCATTTTATCAACCCCCGAGATGGACGCAATAGATATATTGCTAACAAAACAATTTCAGAACCCGTTTTATCTAGAACCCAGTCTAGAAACAGTCTTAATGGGATAAACCCTAATGAAATATTCGATAATGATTACCCGTATCTCACTCCAAACGACATTCAAAATAATACTGAAAGAAGTGCGTTAGCTCCTGACCAACCGCAAACGTCTCAACGCGTTAATGGAACAACAGATAATAATCGTCCGGAAATGGTTCCCCAAGTATATTCATCGCCCTGCGTTAATCCTGTGGAAACCAATGCCGTTCCTGAAACAGTTATACCTACAATAGATGAACCCCACATGAACACGGAAAGAATTCTCCACAGGCAAAATCCGAACGATCCGCATTTTCAGCCATACGCTCCAGCCCATATGTTTCAAACACCGTTCGTAATCATTGACATCAAACAACCTCGCCGATCTCCCAACAACCACGAACATCGTCGCTATCAACGGAAGCAGGATGACACCAGAAATTTTTTACGACATCGATTCTTTCTTAACCTTTCACGACCCCCTGATAATAGCATCTGCTATCGGGCCTACAGATCTATGCAGCCCTGCAATTTTCGGGGACTGCCGAATCAGAAAGAAATTCTGTGGAAATTCCTCGTGGCATCTGCTAGCAAGGTGGCGAACGTAATTACCATGTTTTCTAACAAATTATCTCCAGATCAAAACCTGAACTTCTAGTAACAAAAGACCCATCTCTCTCTCTCTCTCTGACGGGATGGTCATCACTGACCAGCCGTGGCACTCTTCACGAATCGCCGCCATTGTTTCCGGTTTTGTGCCATTCTGAGTAACTCAAGCATGCTTATGTCTGCGATGTCCTTCACGTTGTCTGACATTCTTGTTTTTGGTCTCCCACGTCTTCTTTTGCCAGGGGTTTTACCAAAGAGCAAGTCTTAAGACCCATACGATTACTAAATTCCGACGATTGGTTCTGACTACAGGATTCATTTTGGGTGAACAATTAAAAACGGATTATTTTGAACATCGCCGAAGGAATCATTCCTTCGACATTAGCTATTGGGTAATTTGTTAGCGAGCGCATATTGAACCAGGAAAGGCAATATCCCGATGCTGCAATGGGGGCTGTGTTGGACTGAAATAGGATAGCTATAACATTTGAAAGTCCCCTGCTATCGATAGCACGTAAAAAAAAATGACAGCTAGTTCCACATTTGCATTGCGACAGTCTGTTGGCTGACAAGTACACCGGTGAGCGGAATGATCGCTCAACTGTTTTTAATCGAAAGCATGTATTGGCGCTCTTATTTTACTTAACATTATTATCTCGGCCAAAAGTTCACTTTTAGAACTGGCCAAAGTTTTATAAATACTTATTTATACTACACTCTGGCACAAGTCAACGCCAGAGTCATATCGTTGTGCCCTTCTCTGACTCGCATAAATGCGAGTTATGAACCAATTGACTTTTTACGTCGATTGTTTATTTTATCTCACGACGCGAATAGCGAAGATGAGAATAACGTGCTGCTTCCATGTCGCACACAAATTTAATTAAAGCGCAAATGCTTTGAAGTTTCGACTCCATTGGGGAGTACTAGAAAAGCGCCAATACATCATGCTCGTCCAGTACGTTAACAACGGACTTCGTAATGCTTTGAGGCACGCCTTTTCATTCCTTACAAAGCCTTAACATCGCCGGGATGTTGCCTAACCTTTTATTTATGGCTTTCAAACATTTTCTGTATTTTATTGTTTGTTAATTATCGATGATTTCCGTTCTGCCCCCATATTTGATTATGTTTTGCCCGCATACATTATTGTTTGCGTCCTATTTGTTAATTTTTATTCGTGTTTGTATTTATTCATTTTACTGATTGAGTTTATATTTGCTTGGTACTACAGCATGACATAACAGATGTCAAAACGAAAGCGGCTATACCAAGGCACGCCGCACATCCCGTACATTCAAAATGACTCTAATATATAGCACTTTTATTCTTCTGTAATTTAATAATGTATAATTGATTGCTAATCACAATTTTTTTCATTCTGCTGTTATATTCATATTTATACTGCGTACATAATAGCTCATATTTACTACATTTGCATTTTATTATATATAAACAATTGTTGCTCATAATATTTAAAGATATGTAAACGCATGCGTAGTAACATATATCGTATATACTTTATTAATCACTTTCCTTTGATTCTAGTTTTCCCTCATTGTATCTCATTCATTAATTATTTTCGTCCGTCTCAATGTATCAGTATTTTTTTTTGTGAAGTTTAATCAATTTCATATTTTGCAATTTATTACTTGACACTGCAGCATCCCCCCCCCCCCCCCCCCATATTTACACCACCCTTTATAAAATCTCAGGGATAACTTATGCTGGTATCATTGGGCCACCTTCGATTGTCGTGTAGTATAGCCCCACCCCCGTAAATTATTATCACCACATTAATTCAGCTTCCATCCACACCCTAAATCAGAATAGTGGAAAAACCAGCTGCGGAGCCTGTGGTGTCAACCTTAATTATACCGACTGAACAGATGATGCGACAACATCAAGAGTGTTAACGATTTGACACCTATGACGCACCATCTGTTCTGTCGAATATATAAGCCGATGGACTGAAAGATGAAAGGAGGGGAGACATGGTTGACTTTCTGTGTGATTTGTATGATACTACTATTAATAAATATCTCAAGAACTTGAAACTGTGATACTGTACTCGAAGAGCTGAAGAAGTATATATAGCACACCGTACTACGACGTTTATAAAGAAAGGAAGAAAGGATATTAATAGAACCCCGGTACGGTCCCTGCATTTGGTGACCCCAGACAAAAAGAACCGCTTCCTGATTGGAGTTAGATCGAATGATATTGACCAACAATTTCTGAATGGAGTCAACTACTTAAACAGCAAACAAGATTATTCGTTGTTCGATAAATAAAAAAAAAACAGAAATTGAGCGGTATCATCGATTGTTCCTGAAAACAATTAAACGGATATTGCCAAATGCAGGGACCGTACCGGGGTTCTATTAATATCCTTTCTTCCTTTCTTTATAAACGTCGTAGTACGGTGTGCTATATATACTTCTTCAGCTCTTCGAGTACAGTATCACAGTTTTAAGTTCTTGAGATATTTATTAATAGTAGTATCATACAAATCACACAGAAAGTCAACCATGTCTCCCCTCCTTTCATCTTTCAGTCCATCGGCTTATATATTCGACAGAACAGATGGTGCGTCATAGGTGTCAAATCGTTAACACTCTTGATGTTGTCGCATCATCTGTTCAGTCGGTATAATTAAGGTTGACACCACAGGCTCCGCAGCTGGTTTTTCCACTATTCTGATTTAGGGTGTGGATGGAAGCTGAATTAATGTGGTGATAATAATTTACGGGGGTGGGGCTATACTACACGACAATCGAAGGTGGCCCAATGATACCAGCACTACCATAGGAAAATGCTTGCCGATTGAAACTGGATGCCAATTGAAACATAGATTTTCCCTTGTGTGATTGCAACGTAAATTCACGGCTTTGCAGGAAAACCGAAATACAGCCTGCTGCAAGCATTCGAGAAAGTGATATCCTTGTTGAAACTTGAGAGGGATTTCAAGAATTTATTAGTTAGGCGGAGGACTAGGGCAATATTAGTAACAGGGAAATTAAATTTAGTTTTATCTGGTCAATAAATTGTTGTTTCAACAAATTGTTAGTCGATATATCACAACTTGTTCGGTGTCAGATTACCGGGGGTTCGCGTTGATTGTTTCGTGACTCGGGGGGTACTTGACAGAAAAAAGGTTGAGAACCCCTATCTAATGCAATAAGTACTCTAATTAAGTTGGGACTAATATGAAACAGCATTTATACTTTATATATATAGTATACCATATATCAAATGTGTCAAATTTAAATTTATTAATATTTAACACAATAGGAAATCACAGAACGGCAATTTCATTCAAAAAAAAACGCATGTTATGGACACGGCGGTGGCAAATGACTAATATAATATTAGGATTACAAATTGACCCATACAGTACTTACTTGTTTAAAAATAGTTCAACAACTTTCGTATGCCCATTCAGTGATGCAAAATGTAGTGGAGTCATTCCTTGTTGGTCTTTGTCGTTTATTATATTGGGACCCTGACGAAACAGTTTGTACATGGATATTAACAAAAAACAATTTGTACAATTTTAATTATTGGGCCGTGTTAGCCAAAATTAGTCTTGGTATTGTTAGCATTAGTTTAATTTTAACCCTGTTCTCAAAATAGCAGAATGGAATAGTTCACTCTTTGCTAAGTAGTTTGTTAAGTTTCGTTTAATTTTAGATAGATGTCACGACAAGTGTAAAAAGATCATAATTCAGTTCAGATAGATGACATTATAAACGTCCAAGTAGTTTTGTCATGCCAATTTTGCAATGGTGTTCAGGTAAATAAAATTACTCTTACACTTCCTTTCTAATTCCATCACAACCACAAGAACTTACAATTAATATTCTGCAAATAAAAAGCGAATTTTCTTTGAATGAAAGGTTTCAGTCATGATTGTGAAACAGAGATCATTTTTTTTTTGGTTGATATCTAAAACACTCGGACATTGTTTTCGTTGATGACGATTCCAGTTAATAGGGAGGGGTCCAAATATTCTTTCGATCTTCGTAAATATTGTTATTTCAAAATACAAAATGCCTTTGCTCACCTGGGTACTATTTAGTAATTTCCTACAAGTATTATATCGTCCATACATCGCAGCAAAATGCAGGGGTGATTGATCTACACTAGATTTCATCCTGGCACTCACTCCAAGTCCCATCAAAGTTTCAAGACTCGCTAAATTACCTTCCTGACACGCATAATGCAAAGGAGTGCATCCGTCTGCGTCTGTTTGGTTGAGCAGTTCTTGGATTTCGGGCCTCTATGAATCATTTTGTAATTTTTTAAATATTTAGAGTATGGATCCCCAAACCAGGTGTCGCAACTTCAAATGGGGTTTGAGTGAAAATTACTCCGGGTCTCAAACAGGTCAAGGGGTCGCCAAGGTAGCGTAATTAAAGAATATACAAAACATCCAAGAAAAACTCTGAAAAAATTTGAAAAAAAAAATATATATATTGGCCCGGCGTCGCCCTGGATACCTAGAAGTAAAAGTTGTCTTTGGGGTCGTCCCGAGAAATGCTTGAGAACCCATGATTTATAAGAAGCAATCTGAGAATAATATTTTGTAATACAGTACAAATCAAATCATGGTGTTTTCCAATCTGCTATTGCCGAAATTTATTGTCACTTAAACTCGTTTGTCACCATTTGTATAGAATTGTGGGGAACATGGGCTTAACACGGACCTGAATAGTTGTATACGTACCATAAATATAGTTTTTGAAATTTCCGTTATTTCATTACGGTGAATATTTTGTGCGTCAAGATGTCTTATGTCCCCTCCTTGCAACACAATCATGTGAAGAACATTTCTCCCATCTTTGTTCTAAATACACAAATTGGTTAAATAATGAAAAATAAAATGTTGTTTTCATTTCGTCATAGACGAAATTGGTACCGTCTGTTCAATAATGCAATAAAATCAAGATCAATTTTCAAAACAAAAGGTACCGTCGTCAAATTATTTTCTAGAGGATCTTTAACTATAAGATAATCTTAAATTTGAAATAATCACAGCTATTTTGCGCATAAAGCACGTGGTCTATCTGGAAGATGAAGTAATATAATATTCTATAATGGATATTTTAAACTTCAAAACCATTGCTCATCAGTATCATTTTCCAAAATCTCTATAATGAAAAATTCATTTCAGAAAATGAGATTCCAGGAGAACATAATTTGCATTGGAAGTGGTGCAGCTTATATATAATAAATGACAGCATTATCGCGAAACAATGAACTGGACGAAATTCTAGCAATAATTGAAACTATTTTGGGTACGCCTGTATTTTGACGTTTCAAAAACAACAGTGATGTTATGATATGCGAAAGATAATTGCAATGAAAGATGAGAGTGCTTGATTGTGATTGCATGACCATAATTAATTAGCGTTTGTTAATACTATGTTACTAGCGAGAGAGTTACTGATTATTCCAAATACCGTATCACCGCTGAGCGTAGATGTTTCGTTTGTCGTAACATAGCCTTATTGCGGGCGACCAAGGTGCAAGCCACCTCCCAAAATTCATTTAAACTAAATTAAACGAATAGATAATTTTGCATCGCTCATTCAATCCATCTTATGTTTGTACTTTATTGAATGGTGAGTGTACGAATGAGTATTTTCTGACTAGACGAAAAAAAATGAAAAATCAAAACTCCAGCATCAAGAGTTTTTACTTTCAATAGAATATCGGCTCCTGCTTCAATTAGTTGTCTAACGCAAATCCAGTTTTCTCGAGAAGCAGCCAAAAGCAATGGAGTATTTTCTTCAGCATCAGGAATGTCTGTAGCAGCCCCTTCTCTTACTAAATACTGAGCTATTCTACCATGACCATACATTGCCGCTCTGAAAAATATTATATTCAACGATAAAAATTATGGAACATAGTGTTCGAACTATCATTCACCAAGAAAGTAAGATCCCGCTTTGATACGATATATTGGCAATGTTTCACTTTCTCTGAAATAACTTTTTGTGTTAAAGAGTTATGATGTCATTAAAAAATATTATCGAATATGTGAACGGAAATTGTACTTTACTGTAAATAAGTTAGTTAAAAACGGTCAAATCATTTTGGCCTCTGACCTTTTTGTCCGATTTCCATATGCTAATTTTGACAAAATATTCAATTTGAGTTTACTAACTTGTGTAAAGGCGTATGTTTCTGATTATCTTTCATCGATAATGTGACGAGTGCTTGATCTCTCGCCAACTCGAACATAATTTCAACAATGTCAAATGCCCCTTGTGCACATACCAAATGCATTGGTGTTGATAGGTCGGCCTGGCATTTATCCAGTCGTGCTCCATAACTTGAAAACAATATCCATATAAATTAGAAATTCAACGAGGTACGGCTTTTGATAGAACAATTTGATTTCAGGGTTAGAGATATGATTAAGACTTACTTAACCATTGCTTCATTTTATAAGTTACACATGACAATGGGAAACGGGAAAGATTACGATTTTCCCGAACCCGGTAGCTTGGCACTTCAATGCATGTGCTTAAATGTATCCTTTTTCCTTGAAAAGAATACAATGAATTGATTAGTTGTGATATCTGGACAATTTCTGTAATAGGGATGGGCAAGTTTTTTTAACCAGGTGCCAATGATTTTGCCCACCTAGTCTGGCGGGCCATGTAAGTGTGACGTGAAATGTTACATCTTATGAACAATATTTACAGTGTTTCAAAGCAAAGGTGGAAAACAATATGCCCCGTGCGAAAACTAAATGTGATCTCAATCTCAACAAATTCCTTGAGATATTCTAGCTAAAACATCAAAATTTGGGACCTCCTGAAGTGTGTGCACCAAGATGGCGCACAACCTGAACTCAGGTTGTGTACCACGTTGGGGTTCAGGTAGTGCGACATCTTGGTGCGCATAATTCAGGGGTACCTTGGTTTCAGTTCGGTTGTCGCAGCATAAGGCGGGCGAGATTGAATTACGCAACGGGCCGGATTTTACCCGTGGGCCTTAGTTTGTCCATGCCTGTTCTATAAACTACGAAATTAACGTAATATATTAGGTTTTGTGAAAATCTAATATAAAATCAGAAGAATTTTTTGACTATTCTTTAATACATGTTTTCATTTGTGTCGCTTAAGCTTGTGAGGTAAATTATGAGATACTAGACTGGATTCTATATTGAATATATTCCACCTAAAAATAAGTCTATGTATGAATAATGCGCTAAAAATAAAGCAATGCTATAGTATCCAAATATTTTAAATTCATATTGGAGAAAGAGCATAATATTGTTTACCAATCTAATTAAATTGTCAGGGCATATGGACAGCGTTCTAATAATAATTCGGGTCACTTACCGGTATATTAAATTGTGTATTCAGCCATTTTGTTGTAATATTTGTCCGTGTATTATGTCAATTAAGTGATAAATCTAATAAAATAGCATATGTCGCAAACAAGTCGGTAAAAATGAAATCAATATTTCCACACTGATATATAGCTTAGCTCATGGGGTCAAGAATGATAACAAATCAATCAAAAGAGGGAATGTCGTTTCACGCCACCTCTGAGATCGATGGTCGATCAACTCCCGATAAACATAGATAAAACCCGGTATTGTGCATATTTGATCAGCGAATGACCACAAAGGCTTATTCAGAAGCAACAGCAACTCAATCATAACTAAAACGAAATTCAACCATTAATAAACCAAAAGGTTATGATCAAGAAAAATCTGCCAAGGAAGTTGACAAGAGTCTGTAGAGTCTCTATCAGTTATCGAGAACTTCAGCAGTTAATGTCATCATGGTTAGGGAAGTATTACCTTAAACAAGTTTTTATAGCATCAGTATTTCCTCCAAACACCGCACAATGTAGTGGACTGCACATCTCTTTGTCATTGAATGATAAAACCTGGTCTCTGGTATATCCAGACTCTTCACATTTTTGTATAATCAACTCCATCACTCTAAAACACACCGAATGGATAATAATCTCTGATATTATATAGTCGAAATAGTGTATCTAACTTACTAATTGAAAAACCATTTGTTTTATCTTGCAAATACCGTTTTAAAAATATCATATATATATCATAATTGAAGACGGAATAAGAAGAAAAAAAAGGTTCAATAACAATTACCCGTAATAACAAGAAAAAATTGTACTGTCTGGCATCCCAATCTCACTCAAACAGTGATTGGAAACTGAACCATAACGCATCTTCCAAACGAATTATGTGCTCGTGTTGGTAAGTTTTGTTTTAGAGAGTTTTCGGACCTTAGATATTGGTATTCTAGTACATTGGCGATTTGGTCACATTGTTGTTTACATATGGACGGGTTTAGGAAATGCACTCACCCCCTCGATCCATGCAAAGCAGCGCAATGCAAAGGTCTGTATCCTATGTTGCACGCAATACACGGCTTTGCGCCGGCTGCAAGCAACATTTGTGCTGATTTGAAGTCATCATATTCAGCCGATATATGTAAAGCAGTCGCTCCTGATGTCTTCTTCTTCTGATTTACGTCAACTCGATTCTGTAAAATTTGATGTTAGCTTACTCCATTATTATTTGTTAGAGATGATCTAACTACAGCATGTTAGTTATTTTCAAAAATGAATTGAAGAAATTTGGCGTTTGATATTTTGCATAATGCATTAGCATTTTACAAATCATTTATACTGATTCTCAAAAAAGCCTGGTATGGGATTTCCCTAATGCCGATCGACATTTACTAACTTGAGATTTATTTAAATGTACCCTACCTGAACTTCAACTTATTTAAGTTTATTTAATGAGTGAAAATATCGCCTACCTTCTTTACGAGCATGGCCTCCAATGCGCTGTAAGACTTTTCCATTACGCATGTGTGCAGAGCATTCTCCCCTCGTTTATTTTGTAACATCGGGTCACATCCTCTTGATAACAAAAGGTTTATACTTTCCGCTTCGTCTCTTGAAGCAGCCCAATTCAGGGGCGTAGAGTCCAATTCGTCCAATGAGTTTAACACTGACAAAGTCAATAAATGCCCATATGATTGGAGAGTGCATATACGATAAACTTTCAAAGTTTGGAGTATTCTTACACGAAGATTGAAATACAGAAATAAACCGGGTATAGAAGGTTAAAATTGACTCACATACCCTAAAATTTTAGGTGTCTGTATCTTCAAAGCTCCAGTTTGAGCGAAACTCGAAAAACCTTTTTAAATCAATCAGCAATTCAATAAAAAAAATTAATAGGTCGTCAAGTAATTTTGTTTGTTTCATTTTTAAGCTGTTGTACCATTTTATAGTGCAGCTAGGTCGGGTTTGAAATCCCTTCAATCATCGGCCAGTCTGTATGACCATATGGACCCATTCCAATTTGTTCAATTATGTTATTGGCATGTTTTCAACGAATGACAAATGATAAATTCACATGAGACTATACGACTGAAAATTTAATTACGACAATGTACAGCGTGAAAAGAATTGTGTATATTTCGAAATTTCCATGAAAAATAACAATAATAAACAAATACTATGCTATGTTAACTTTTTTATATTTATTAATATTTTAAAAATATTAAATTTTTATATTTTGCTGTCATATTTTATTTTTAGTTGCCATGTTTGTGAGCTTGCCAAATTCACTGAGAATCAATACGCGCCTATTATTACTGCGTTAATATATCGTTTAACATTTTTCGCAAATCGTCACCCAGGTTCACATTTGGATAAGGTAATATGATAAGTTGGTATTGGTATTCTCGAGATATAATAGAAACTATCTTAATATTTCTATAAGATGTAAGAAAAGATTTTACACACATTTCACTCCGTTGGGGCACTGGAGAATATACTCCATATTGTTAATTCTACCATACGCAGCTGCGTGATGTAAAAGGGAGGCTCCCTTCAAATCACGGTGAAATAATCTTTCGGGCTGTATATCGCATACTGATATTATTTTCTTTAAGTGTCCATTTTTCGTGGCCTGTCAAGTAAACAAATGAACAAAATCAGGAAGCAGTAGATCTATTAATGTAAGAATGAAATGAAATGTCACAATTAAAATATGCGGACAAATTATTAATAGTAAACGAATTTCATTTTATTTTTTGAAATTTCTAAGATCTAGGCAGCTGTGATCGCATTGATCTAGTGATACAATAGAACCAGAAAATCATGAATGAATTACACGAAATTCAGTAAAGACAGTTTTATTAATTAGATCGCAAGATGGTTACTTTACAAATATAAAACTTTATAAAAATAATACTAACCATGAAAAGATAATTTGGTCCGTCGGAAATACGACAAATATCTCCACTTTGTGCGTCCGATGTCATCAGCGATTTACTCATTTCTACGAATAATATAATAAAAGCAAATAATTTAAGTACAAATATGAGATATTTTACGAAAAGTATATGTTAGCAAGTTTACACATAAAATCCCCTATACCGTTTTATATTGTGAATTTTTTATGTATACGTAATTAATTATGACATGAATCTCAAAACTATTCAATTCGAAACTATTCTCCACCATTTACTTACATCACGTAATACTAACTGACATTAAAATGCGATGTATATTTTAGTTACATGAATAAACCTCTACCTTCCTGCTTCCGACGACCTGTAGCCCACCGAAGTCTCTTTGTTGAAGGACTTGGTTTCGATGTAATATTACTGAGAGCAGATGAGCTGACGCTATTATTTATGTGCGAAGAACAATCCGACTTTCTATGATATGTCATTGCGTCCAGCACCAACTGTGAAAGATTGTAGACTTTGGAAAATCAAACAAAAAACATGTCAACAATGAGAAAATTTGACGGAACGATTATTTGCCAATGGCCCAGCGTCACTAAATCTTTTAAAAAGTTCCAACTTGGAAATGTGCGAATAACTTCGAGGTATATACAACCAGTAGCTATCATATTGACATAGGGCAAGTAAATTGAAAATATTTTTAACCATAAAGGCTTAAACTCGAGTTATTTATCCCGCAAACAAACTCCTTTTCATTTTAAGTTTGCAAATAGGTTGAAAAGTTTGACATTTAAATAAATATTGCCACGCCAAAAACTATGATATTTTCTACAAAGCCGATTAAAATCTTATTTTTGCAGTTTTCTTACTATGTTCTCGGTGCTATACGCCGCGTCCGCTGAATACAACATATCAAGCATTTTAACCAAATGCAGTTTCCTGCAGAGCTAATTATGTCAAGATTTAAAAAATATACTTTTGAGATATATTGGTATCAATATAATCTAATTATAACCGACGATCATAAAGATATAATAGGAGTTAGAGCCTGGACACGTCGTAGCAACTGTATAGCTACTATTACCCTGAACACTCCGACTGATGAACTTCTATCTAGGCTTTTTTCATTCTTAGAAAAAAACTCGCCACGTTCCAATCTGGATTCCATTCCGTTTTGTGAGTGAACTCGACTCGGTGCATGAGATATATCCGGTTCCACAGAATCCATTATTTCGGGCTTATACCTACTGAGTTATTCAATAAACTAAAAAAGTGACGCATGATTTTATGACCTTATTTTAATCAAACAACGTTAACCAATCCTGAATCATACACAAATGATCAACAAATCTCAATCCGACCGATCATTCCATTTGTCATAATACTACTGTATTTGTTATTTTATAATAGGCCACCATAGGTTTTCTGGAAAGTAACAAATGATAATTCCATAGTGAATTCCTACTGTGATTCTCTGTGAGATGTACGCTGTGATTATGATAAAGTTCTACGGCCTATTATATATATACATTTATGGTCAAACGGAACGATAGTCGTTATTTAACTGCATCGCAACATAAACATACAATTTACTACCGGGTTCAATTGTTTCAACCATAATTTGCTATCACACATTTGTAATTAATTATCATGCCAGTCAGCAAAACTTATTTTGTCCGTTCCTACTCAAATGATTATTTGAATCTTAATTTATATTTATTTCGCACTGAGTATATAAACAATTTGCGCGTGTGGCTGGCTGCTGGTCGACTGCTAAAAGAACTCCTTTTCTCGTCCGTTGGACTATCACTTTCTCGTCTTCGTGACTAAAGAATTATTCAAATGGGTCGTAGATAATCAAATATTCCTTTATCCCGAACGCATAATTCACTTATAGCTCTCTACGTCCCGACTAGATTTGCATTGACGGCCTTTGCTTTTTATACTAATCCGAATCATAATTGATTTGAACTGAAATTGAGACATGCGTCAGTCGAATCACAGATCGAACAAGATGTTTTCAGTGGTAATTAAGCTAACACGTAAAATTATGATAACGAACAGGCATTCATACTTCTCTCTTTCCCACCACACAGACTTTTTTAATACACCATTTAGCCAGATAGTGGGACTCTTGATTAGTATGGCCATATATATATATATATATATATTATTAAATATTTATTACCATTTTCGTGTTTCACTGAATCGTTGACTGTAATCGTAGTCTTCCGTGGTACACGACGTACGGTCTTTTAGACCGATATTCAGGCTTGTCCATAGAAATGGGATTCCCATTGAAATCCCATGGGTTTCGATGGGATAACACCGATTTGTATTTCCCATGGTACAACACGTGAGACAAGTGGACCCGTGGGGGACAATTTTATATAAGATTACGTTCTGTGCGGCAACAAAATTAACGGTATTGTCATGGATTTTATTATCCGCGTGTTTTAGTTTAGTTTATCTTTTTATATTTGCCTATATGCTTTTCGAGAACTCTTAATTTGGATATACCTCATCCGGGTCCGGTTACTGTGAGACTCCGACCACCATCGAGTCGTGAGAAAAAAAAGAGTTTCACCATAGTTTACTGAATATAGTTTGCTCATGGCCAGTTCGCTACGCATGAGTGATGCGTTACTACGTCATCAGTTTACTATATTTTGAATTTTACAGAAGAGTATTTCCGTTTGAATTTATTTGCGTATTTGGAATGGTTTTGTTGGTTGAAATAACTGAAAAGATATACTGAGGCATTAGGATAAAGTAGGGGGTCGTGGCATCTGCCAGTAATCTCTGCGTCGGTACCATAAGTTATCAAAGTGGAGTAGGGGCAGAGTATTTCTGCTGTTCTGTGATTGCATTCATTGGATAGTAATTAAAGGTTTATATCAGAGGTATAGCACAATAAGAAAGATATTGTGACAAAAATAAGAATTCAGATACTCCCTCCCAGGTAGGGATGAACGAGTCCTCCCAGGTAGAATGCCGAGTCTGGATGATTTGAACTCGGTTTCTGCCTCTTTGGCACGGTGTGTCAATTTTTGTATTTTGGATTTATAATTTATTAATCAGGGACGAGCGTTATTCCCTCGCGACGAAATCGGTCTCGTGTGATTACACTTGTGTTTCTTCCAAAAAAGGCCCGCAAAAGCATTTGCGGCAGACATCAAACACCGTAATCTCAGCTTGAATATTCAGAACGCGAAAAAGGCGTTATTGCACCATTTTATTATTGGTGCCGACTGCCATCTTACAGGCGATTTTCCGATTGCAACAATCTTAATTCGTTGGAATAGTGAAACCTTCTTTATTTTAAATTAAATGACTTTTCGAGTTCTCCCGAAAAATGATGAGTACCCGATGTTGGATGATAAAACAATATTTGCGATTAATTTAGATCAAATTTTACTTTCCACTACACCCGGATCTTGGATTTCGAGTCGCTGACAAATCCGTTCCTATTGCCCAAGCACGACACACGCCTTGTCGAGTGTCGGGCGGTATTTTAGTCGACGATAAATTAAAATAGTTGCCACACGTGGTATGTATAACGATGAAGACTGAAAATTAAAATTTGGTAACAGAAATGAATTTGTCTCAAGATGTTATTTTATGAGTTTTGCTCGCAGAAGCAATCGATTTCTGTCAAAGGCACAAGACATTCAAACAATATATACCGATATCATATCAGTCCGATAACCTACATCCTCATTAAACATCAGTTGTAACATAAACCGTGTAACATAAATAAACAAATACGAAAACACGCGAGCGAACTATATTAAGTTTACTATGGTTTCTGGGTTAGGTGACAGACGTGTTTTCCTGCGTTCCCTGTTTTGTGCTGTTTTAACTGTGAAGCTGCCTCTTAATAAACCACAAATCCGGAATCCGGAATTTTGAAAGTTTGTGAGAAGAAAATAAGTGGGATGATTCTAAGGCCGGTTTAGTTTTGGCAACTTGGAGACGTGGTCGACAGTGATACACAGAACGTGTTTCTTACGTCCACCCCATTTCGTTTTTGAACACGTCAGTGGACATAACGATCGTTTTGCCGATCACATTTGTTGCTGCGCCCACTTGTTCAAACATTTTTATGGCCAAATGTTATCATGATTTTGTACACTGGTTCTCTGATGTAACTGAAAAGTCATTTGAGTTGGCTCGTTGACAGTTGCAGAAAATCGTCGTTAGATATAAAAAGAATTATGATGCTCATATATGTCCTACAATTTTTCATGCGGGTGATTTAGTGTGATACTTTTGGCCTGCCAGGGCAAGGAAACTTGACTCTGGCTGGGTTGGCCCTTATCAAGCTGTGGAAGCTTTGCCCAATAATATATAATTAAGTATTAAGAATGTTGAAAATGATAAAGAGAAAATTATCCCTGTAGACAATTTGAGACCTTTTTTTGGTGATCCTAATTTATTTGGTCAACCCGAGGAAACCAGCAGTGATGTTGCTGGAAATAACACTGAGGCGTTGGAGTGCATAGACACAGATGTCCCCCAGGATCGAGAAATGGTCACTAATCCCAATATCGATTTTGGTGGTCGTGTTCGCAGGCGGCCTAAATACTTGAAGGATTACTGTATAGATAAATATTTGCTTTATACAATTTCGTTCATGACTATTTTTATTGTATCATCTTGTTTGAACCATCTGGCTATAAAAGAGAGAGATATTTTGGAGAGGGGAAGAGGTACATAATCTTTGAAAAATTTGGTTGTTTTGTGTTTTTTTTTTTTCATTCAATTTTGAGAATGAAACTTGTGGACTTTCATCCTAAACATTCTGTCACGGATTTTATTATCCATGTGTTTTAGTTTAGTTTTTTTTTTGTTTATATTTGCCTATATGCTTTTCGAAGACCCTTACTTGGGATATACTTCATCCGGGTCCGGTTACTGTGACACTCCGACCACCATCGAGTCGTGAGAAAAAAAGAGTTTCACTCTCTTCTTCGCTCGGCTGGGTTGAGTGTCTAACATATTTTCCTGTGTTCTCTGTTTTAAGTGTTTCAACTGTGAAGCTGCCTCATAATAAACCACAAATCCGGAATCTGAGTCTTCTGATTCTTTCAATACACAGAATAAACACCTATCTGTGACAGTATGTCCTCATCGGCGCGACTTTAACATGTTGGCGAGGTAACGTGGTAGACCAATATTGCGTATAAACAGTCAGAGTCAGAAATCGTTGCACGAATAGTGCAAGTGTAAGGTAATAATAATAATACATCTCGAGCGCGGACACAATTCTAGCTTTTCAGGAAACTGGCAGGTCGATTAGGACGAGACTTAGCATTTGGGTCTAAGATGATGTCCATGTCCACATAACCCGAAAAATTTTCGTTGCGTCGGACAAGAAATTTTTTTTAGTGCTTTGGAATGGATGCGGGTACCTATCAGTGAAGTCACGCTCAAATGATTTTGCGGTTTAGAGTAGAGATGTACCGATACCACTTTTGTCGCCGATACCGATCCGATGCCAGCTGAAAACGCCGATACCGATACGCCGATACTACAAAAAGGCCGATATTACCGATATTCCGATACCGATACTATGTAATTATTACGTTAATTAAGTGTGCTGTGTAGGGCAGACGGGTTAAAACAATGGTCTTTGAGCGTTGTTCATAGTGCACTTATTTCAGATTGAAAAAGAGAAATATCACATAATATGAAATTGATGTTTGGTGTTTGCACTAACTGATTAAGATACATTGTACAGTAACGCTAGTAATCTCGGTGTTCAATTAGAAAACTCATAAGCCGGGATGTCCAATTTGAATTAAATGTTAATATCGCGACTTTCAAATATCGTTATTCGTGTTTTAATATCGAATATCACCCACACATTCTAGCGCCGCCGTCCTTCGTTCAAATTAAAAGCATTTTACAAATATTTTATTTCGTAGCTAATCGTAATCGTCGACGCAATAAGTCAAAGCCAACATGAAAGAATATCAATCAGCACCGACAAAAAGAAGGCCTACCTGTAACCGTCGAGGATGTTTTTTTACTTTACTATTTTATAATATTTTACAATTGCTATCATATATTTTGAGACAGTCTAAGGCTAGGCGGTCATGTCAATATATCTATAAAGTAATTGTGTAGTTGAACAAAATTAAAATTAATACCTGCGTAGAGGGATAATTGTGTCGGAATTTAGTTTATCGATATTGACGGACTAAATGACACTCGTACTTGACGACAAACAGTCAGAATTTACACCCGTGTCAAAAGATCATGTGCCGTTAATAAGGACCCCGATTCCACTGTATGATTTAAAACTTGGCGCCTAGTTGCTTTTTGGTATGTGCTGTGTTGATATATTTCTTCATAATTACTATGTACTATTAAAAATGTCAATATAAAATTTGACAGCGAAAATCGCCAAATAAGTTGAGCTAGTTTGGCTGATAAATAACTAAAAACACGTGAGTCCTATTCTCTCGCGGGGGTGGGGACATGTATGGCTCATAGCTCACGATCTCTCCAGACAAAAAATAAATTGAAAAGTAGTATTCCAACTTATCTTTTAAAACATTCTGGACCATATCAAGAAGGTAATATATCGGAAATATCGGCCTTAATCTAACCGATACCGATACATGGCCGATACCGTAAAAATTGCCAATATTGCCGATACCCGATACATCTCTAGTTTAGAGCAGAGGTTCTCAACCTTTTTTCTGTCGAGTACCCCCCGAGTCACGAAACAATCAACGCGAACCCCCGGTAATCAGACGCCGAGCAAAGTTGTGATATATTGAATAATGATTTGTTGAAACAACAATTTATTGACCAGATGCAACTAAATTAAATCTTTGTGTTGATATTATTGCCCTTGTCCTCCGCCTAACTAATGAATTAAAATCTCTCCCAAGTTGTAATAAGCATAATCACTTTCTCCAATGCTCGCAGCACGCTGTCTTTTGAGATTTCACAGTTTTGTGAAATTCACATTGTTGCGTCAGAATCACAAAAAACGCAACATCAGGGGAAATCTACGTTTCGATCGACACGCATTTCCCCTGGTAGTAATAAAGGATATTAAAAAACAGCAACACACAAAAACTCAAAGTACCCCTGGAAATCTTATCGCGAACCCCGGGGGTTCGCGAAACCCAGGTTGAGAATCCCCGGTTTAGAGGCACCGAGATCATTTTGTCGTTTTGCATGTCTCTTTGTACATGTAGTCCTGTTTAGTAGGCACTAAACCTAAATGGGATGGGATGAGACAGAAAATATGTCCCATGGACAACCCTTCCGATATTACATTGTGCATGTGATCTCGCTCAATTCTTCCAATATCGCGAGTTGAACAACTTGGGGGGGGGGGGAGAGGGGGTTTATATATTTCTATCGAGGTTTATGATAAAAGCAGTTCACTCACATTTGTTACTCGGGCTCATCATTTTTATATATATTTTTATTATATTTGTTTAATTTTGTCTGTACAATGTTTCATGCACGACGAAATAAATATCTAAATCATCATTTATTCACTTACAAAACCGCAAGGTGAACCAACGAACCGCGTTAGGAAGCACTGTTCTCATGCCTTAAGCTATTTTAATGCCGTATTCACTGAGACGAATAAACATGTGCACGTGCATTTTAATGAAATACATTCGCACGCTTATGTGACCATGTCATTGGTGATCTGACCTGAAGATTCGATATAACCGGAACCTCTTGAGACAATGATAGACTCCAACCGCAACATGAACCGCTTGAAATAAGAAATAAACTGGTTGAGAATCCCAGCTCCCTTGGAGTTGTGAGTGATTCTGGATTGTTGTTACGACGGTGCTGTTACTTGCGGATGTCTTCATAAAAAAAGTATATGATTATGTTTTTTCTGTCGTATTAAAAATAAACAATTGCGAGTTAAAAAATATTTATAAAACATGTATTTTACTAGAACTAAATAATCAGTGTTTTTCACATTTATCATTAGTTGAACCGTGAACGTAATGCAGTCATACTTCTTCTGTGTACTGCAAGATATAAAATATGGTTAGAACGTAATGCAGTTATTTTATAAAATGTTAATCCAAGTGTAAATAATGTCATAACAAGAATTAGAAAATCCCTTTTAGCAAGGAGAAATATAGAACAACTTAGACATAATCCTAGTTTTATAAAAGAACTAGACATAATTTGTAAGAATCTATGACTAAATGTATACATTTTTATTTTTCTGCTATAAATTAAAAACATATAAATTAATGTATATTTACTGATGAACATGGGAAACTTTATCTGGAATCAACAATGGAATAATATGAATGGCTGGATAATACTGAATGATGTTTACGAATATATTTGTTTATTATATGTAACTATGTTCTATGATTATTATTTTTTCATCATTTATTTATTTTAACAAAACTGTTATGAATCCACAACGTGGACCTTCAAAAAATAAAATAAAAAAAGTATATGATTGGTGAAACATCAGGTTAGTCGGTTGAGTTCATGAATTTACGCAAATGGGCAATGTGAAGGTACGATTGAATTCTATCCGGAATGTCTAATTTCATGAATTCTGAATTGAAACCAATGACATTCTGGTGTTACCGGTACTGCATTAGTCAATTTTACTGTTGTTCTGAAACAATTAAGGCAGAAAGCTAGTTTAAATAGTCTATAAAGATAGTCATTCGTAATTATCATATTGATTGATTGATTTAGACTAATTAGGTACCGTACCGGTACTGGTACAATTTATAACTTTCAGACTTTGGTACCGGTAGATTTTTATTTTATTGTTCTTGTTAATTGTGTTTAGGGCTGTCCAAGCGAACCAAATATTCGAAATCGAATCGAATCGCAAATTATTCGAATCGTTTTTCGGCTAATTTCCGAATCGCTAAAATTATATACAGAATACGAAAACGACCTTTGCAGGACGTTTTTCGTTGGACAAGTGGCGGCGGCGCTTCGAGCTTAGACCACTCTCGCTCCCGGCTTAATTGGTTTCCCGATATTTCTCTCGCCTTCATTTTGTGATAAACATGTCATTCCTAATGCCCTCTCTCGCCTTCATTTTGTGATAAACATGTCATTCCTAATGCCCGCCCGATGGCACGTGATTAGCCATTTCATGCATGGTCATCATAACTTAAAAGTTATAATCGGTAATGACGTTTTGAGAGAGAACAAGGAGAAAAAGGCAATTTAAAAATGATAGCTCTATAAATAGAATCGATTTGAAGCTGTTGAGTTAGTTATCATAGGAACATGGTACAGGCAGCTCAAAGCTGAAACAGGTGTTTTGGGATCCTTATGATGGCAATAACTTCTTTCAATGAAATTTGTAATTTCCTATGATGGCAATACTGTATTATCCATCTATATACCAAGACAAATAATTGCACTCTTGAATTTTGATGACTGTACACTAACAATATTATAGTCATCAAATAATATTGTCATCAAACTAGCTTCGAATTTGTTAAATGCAATTTTAAATTTGAGCAACAGTTTTATCTATATTAATGGTTGTTATTATTTTGCTGAAAATTACACAAAAAACATGAGACTAATGAATAGGATTAGAATAGCATCTACAGGCTGAATCCATTAGAATTGAGATTGCAATTTTTGAATTGTGCAATTTTTACTCTTAGTTTTCGAGACCCAAGTTTTGGGGTCTTCCAATTTTTTTTGACCAGTTCACTCAAGCGTGTGATCTCCTTTCATAAATCTGAAAACATTGTATTACAAAATACAAAATATAGTAAGATGTAACTGCACATACATTACCATCGAAGGGCAGGCGTTTATTGTATAATAGAGACAGATTTAGGATTGCGCAATAATATTCGATTATTCGGTTCGATTCGGCAAAAATATTCGATTCGATTCGAATCAAAAAATTATTCGATTTTGGACAGCCCTAATTGTGTTATAAGCTTTTTTTAAACTTTGCAGCTTTTGGAATTTGAAATTTTTATCTTTATCAGTTTATCTCAGAAAATGAGAAAAATTAGCCTATTAGTACTAACATTAGAAATCGTTAGAATTAGAAATACAAATTGAGGAGATACCGGTAATCAGCTTAGTGGATTATAAAAACTGCATCTAATTTAATGAAGTTTCTGTGATTTTTCATGTGTTTGAAAATGTGTATCTTTTTTAATTTAATTCCATATTCAATGTTTTCGGATATGGCCTATACAATACAGCAATAACAGCGCATATAACATCTTTTTAACTTGGTTTTTTCAGCTTATTATATATCGTAATAAGTTTATAGTCTATAATGAGTTTTAATCAAATCAAAGATGGGGAATACACTTCCACAATTTACGGCCTTATTAAAAATAACCAATTCACAGACGCAATTCATCTGCTCAGTTTTGAACTGGAAAGACAACCTCAGCTAAGATCTACTTTATCACTTCTGGCTTATTGCTACTACCACAGTCAAAATTATCCAAATGCAGCAGAAACATATGGCCAACTTATACAACTTCACCCAGAAGTCGATGATTACAAATTGTACCATGCTATGTCTTTGTACAAATCATGTGATTATGGCGCTGCTATGAAAGCAACATTTACTATTGAGAATCCAAGCTATCAACCACAAGTGCTGAAGCTTCAATCAGCTATAAAATATATGGAAGAAGATTTTGTAGGAGCAAAAAGCTTAGTTGAACAGTCTTCATCAGATGACTCGGTCTCTGATATCAACCTTGGATGTCTTCTATATAAAGGTAGCCAGTATGAAGAGGCTTGTCAAAAATTTCAACAAGCTCTCCAAGTTGGTGGATATAAAGCCTCTTTGTCCTATAACATTGCTTTATGTTATTACCAGACAAAACAGTACGCAATGGCACTGAAGCATATTGCTGATATTATTGAGCGTGGAATACGTGAACATCCTGAACTCAGCGTTGGGATGACCACAGAAGGGATTGATGTTCGTAGTGTGGGGAACACAGTTACTCTAAAAGAAACAGCATTGATTGAAGCATTCAACCTAAAAGCTGCGATTGAATATCAGCTCAAAAATTTTGAAGCAGCTCGTGAAGCCATGACTGACATGCCACCAAGATCTGAGGAAGAATTGGACCCATGTACTCTGCATAATATGGCCTTGATGAATATGCAGACCAAGCCATCTGAGGGTTTTGCTAAGTTACAATTTCTGCTACAACAAAATCCTTTCCCTCCTGAAACCTTTGGGAATCTACTTCTACTCTATCTTAAATATGAATATCTGGATCTTGCTGCTGATGTTTTGGCTGAATATGCAGATTATACATACAAGTATCTTTCAACATATTTGTATGAGTTTATTGATGCCGTAATTACCAAACAGACCGCCCCTGAAGAAGCATATAGAAAACTGGATGACATGGCTAATAGGCACATAGAGCAGCTTCGTAAATTCACCAAGCAAGTACAAGAGTCAAGACATAACCATGATGAAGTTGCCGTAAAAGTTGCAGTCAATGAATATGATGAATGCATTGAGCGATACATACCTGTGCTTATGCAACAAGCAAAGATATACTGGGAACGTGAAAACTACACAGCTGTTGAGAGAATTTTCAGAAAATCTGTTGAATTCTGCAATGAACATGATGTCTGGAAGTTAAACGTTGCCCATGTTCTGTTCATGCAAGATAATAAATTCAAAGAATCAACTGGATTTTATGAACCCATAGTCAAAAAGCATTATGACAACATTTTAAGTGTGGAGGCTGTTGTCCTAGCTAATCTTTGTGTATCTTATATCATGACGAGCCAAAATGAAGAAGCTGAGGAATTAATGAGAAAAATAGAGAAGGAAGAGGAACAGGATGCTTATGATGATCCAGATAAGAAGATTTTCCACCTTTGCATTGTTAACTTGATTATCGGAACATTGTATTGCGCAAAAGGCAATTATGAGTTTGGCATTTCAAGAGTGATCAAGAGTTTAGAACCTTACAACAAGAAACTTGGCACTGACACTTGGTTTTACACAAAACGATGTTTTCTGTCACTATTGGAAAATATGGCAAAACACATGATCATGCTGAGGGATACTGTTGCTCATGAATCAATCCAATTTCTTGAACATTGTGAACTGTATGGAAGAGATATACCTGTTACTGATCCTCAACCACTGAGTGAAGGTCCAGCAGATGGCAAAAATACAGTGGCATATGAAGCTCGTTATCTGAAAGCATTGCTACTACAAATAGTGAATTGGCCATAAAGATAACAAGCTCTATATGTAAATAGAGTGGTAGTCGAAAAGCATAATCGTTCTGATGAATTGTGTTCAACTTATCTGAACTTTGTTTGCCTCACCTCACTTAAATCTAGATTGCAGCTCAATTAAGATATTCATCTGAATTCAATATTAACTCTTAATTTTACTGATAAGACAGTAATTTTTTGTTACCCAAGATTTGATGAAGAATATTTGCCAGTTTTTAAACAGCGAACTACATTTCATTAATATCTTATTCGAGTGTATTTTCAATTCCTTAATTTGCTTCATGTCGTTGCATTAAATGCATATGTGTATCAATCTGGCCAATGTAAAATTTTGAATATAGATATATTTGCTTTGTTATCCATACACTATATATTTTTGTTATTAATAGTTCATGTAGTGAATAAAATAATGTTAAAAATTGATTTAATTAAGTCTGTCTGTATCCGAAATACGAAAAGAGAAGGGGCTCAACGTAATTATACAATACAATTTATTTCGATCTTTTATCTACAACAAAGAACGCACACAAAAAAAACAATACACCGACAATGGCGACAGAAAGACCGGGAAAATGGGCAAAACCTAGAGAAAGGTTTATAGCGAACGCTGCCCATTCACCCACATTATGCGAAAAAAACACATCACGAAAATCTAACGAAAAAAAATTCATGAACACGAGAAAGTAATATATATTCACGGGCTAAGCTTACTTTTACAGTTGTATATAATTTTGGTGGGTGAAGGTGGTGAAGATTGCGAAATAAGTAGAATGAGAGTTATGTGTCGGTGCATGTGCCGAAATGCGAATCCTCATAATGGCATCTGAGTGATTAGCATCAGGATAGGATTTACATATTTATCCCGGGGGAGAGGAAAGCCGATAAGATGGCTTATCCATATGGCGAACCACGGCTTTTCGTCCGGTTACCATTCCAAGTCGGGTATGGGATTAGTTATATTGTTTGTTTTCGGAAGAAAGGACTTGGTGGCGGAGGAAGCCGTAACCGCATAACCATCCCTGCATGGAATTCGAACCTGCGAACCCATGCAGAGTAATTAGAGGTGCCGTGGCGAGCGTATTCCTAACGCTTAGCCCGTTGAGCCACACCGCCGCGCCATCAGCTGCTGTTTTTCCTATTTTTAGTGAACAAACAAAGCTAAAAAGTAAACAACCAAATGTAAAAACTCGAAAACTAGTTTTGGGCGTTGCTTTTTGCTTTTAAAAAAATGGTTCGAATTTAGAAAGTTTTCATTTAAATATTTATTATCTTGAGCATCTGTTTTGCAATTTTTCTATCAATTGCCATAACCAAGCCTGTGCGATTGTGGAAATTTACATCTGACCACGAAGTCCGAACTCTGAGCCATTTAAAAAACGACTTAAATTTTGACAAAGGCTCTCAACTGCAATAAAGAAGTTTCGATCCAAAGTTTTTTGGCGCATGAGAGTCCTCTTTATTTGATGAGAATGCTTCGTCACTCCAACCCTTTTTCGATTATCACCATTAGGAGCCTGAAATTCTTACCCCCGACTGGAGAAGTTAAAAAACTAAAATATCACTCAGAACAAAACTCATTCACAATATATAATATAATTTTATGCTTACTTCCAGAGAAGAATAGTTCGTACACACACGAAGTCAGATTTATGGATTTACCAGCGTTTTCCAGCATTCACATTACCAAAATGTTTAAACCTTTACATATTGAGCGTGGCACCGCTACGTGCTGAATGAATCTTTTTAGCGAGGTTCGATATTTTGTCGACCAAAATAAGACAGTGATCAACTGATCATGATCATCAAAAAATAAAACAACAGTGTTTTTCTCGGTATAAACTGTAGCGATAATACAAAAAGGTCATCAAAATCTGCTCACTTGAAATATATATTATATATAAATAAATATATATATATACTACGATTAAGGTTCACGGTGGCATAATGAATAACTTGAATCTCCACTATTCTGAATTTTCAATGATTTAAATATTTCTAATAAATATATGATTATGCGCACATAACAATTTTTATCATTTCAAAATGCCTATATCTCTAGCAGTTTGTCGTCGACTCACTTGTTTGTACAACCGATGTTCCCTGTTCATGCATTATCATTTTGCAATATTTTGTTGGCTCTACAGCGGGTGTGTCACAGGGCAGTCGCACGGAAGTGATAAGCTCAACACCAAACCGATGTAGGGCTGGAGGTTTAAATCCCGCAGTAGGCTACCGTGTTTCCCCGGAAATAAGACTTTCAATTTTTTTTTTCGAAAAATAACACTAGGGCTTATTTTCGGGAGCTGTCTTATATTTTCATTTATCGAGAACAAAATTACAAAGTAGAGAACTACGAGATTTTCAAATATAGAAAATATGTAAACCGATATTCATTTACTTATAAATAACACGTTTCCATTCAAAATAACTGCAAAACGTAAATTATCAATCATTAAAAACGTGTAGGAAAGATTTCTTGCTATCGACTAAGTCAAAAAAAAAATAATTTGTTTTATAGACTAGGTCTTATTTTAGGGGGAGAGCTTGTATTAAAATTAATTTTAAAATTCAGGCTAGTTTCCGGGTAGGTCTTATTTTCAAGGAAAACACGGTAGCCTAGTAGTGGTGCGTGGAAGCCTTTTGGAATTGTTTCATCTAGTTATCACCTTGTCGTCAACGGGTTGTTCAAAGTTCACGTAATCTTCACCATCTAAGAATGTGCCCTTGGAGCAATTAACAGATTCATATACCCGATAATAAACTGGTATGGCAATCAGACTGGCTGGAAGATTATTAATCCTTTTGTCTTTCTGAATTGAGGCATGCTATCTTAAAATGAAAGCTTTATCTTCGTTTATGCGTTTTTTTTTTCAATTCATTAGTGTAGGGTTGGCCGTTGGGGATTTGCATATTTATCTCGGGGCATAAGAAATGCAATTTGTCGGTTCAATCACATGGCGAACCACGAACTCTCACCCGGTATAGTACCAGTCCATGTCGGTATGGGATTAGTTACCCAGTTATTTGTTCAGATGCACTAATCTAGGGTCACCATATTTGAAAAAGCAAAATTCCGGACAGTTGTAGTAAAAAATATGTGCACGGTACGAAATAACAATGTTCTTTATTAGCGGTGTGCACAGTACGATTACAGATGCAGTAAAATTGCGGATTCCGGACATTTAGGCATTTTTTAAATTCTTCCCGGACGCAAAATTTAACCCTGAATTTCGGACATGTCCGGAATTTTCCGGACGGTATGGCAACCCTACACTAATCATCATATTAGAATTCGAAAAAACTTTTAATGCAATGTAGCCAAGTTTCAGAATTCCTGCGTAATGATGTTGAAACCCCCCTCCCCCCTAATTTTCAAGTGTGACACTACATTGTTTTCCCTTACTTAAACGAGAGAGCTATGCTCAACTATATGGACACGTCACAAGGTGTCGATATATTTTTATTTAGACACAATCACTTGAAGTCCCCAGAAACTTTTGAAATAAGTATAAGTAAAAGCGTGGTAGTATATATTTACGGTAAAAGTAATAGTCTTCTGGCGAAAAATTTTGCAATATATCCTGTATTCGAAGAGAAAAGCGATTTTATCATGACGAAGGAGAAGAAAAACAAGAACAACAACATAATATTGAAACGATCGTTATGTCCACTGACGTGTCCAAAATTATAAACAGCTGCAGAACATACTGGCGGATCTGGGAGTTTTGTCCGTCGTCCGTGAATATCAATGCGACTATAAACCAAGTGAGGACATGCATTGGTAACGTTATAAGCGCTCGTGTGACGTTACACCAGCCATTTTGTGTCCAGTGTTCTATCGCTGTATGATCCTAACTAAGTGATTTAAAACTGCGATCGTTGAACAGCTGATTAAAAAAAAAAAGCGATGCTCAATAATTCGGACCAAACTTTCGCAGCGGCAAAACGAATGAACATTCTTCTGAAAAATTAATTATCCGCAGATGTTTCTTGAATAACTCGGCTCGGCGGTATGGTCAGCATATACAAAGTTGAGGTTAAAGTCATCCAACTTCACTCGATAAATCAACAACCCAATAAGACCAAAATATTAAACAAAAAAATACACATTTTACTATTAAATTATTATAAAATCCTGATGTAAGTATCGTTACTTGCACAGAACCTATTTTAACAAACTGACAGAACTACAATACAAATTATACTACTGAAACTTGCACTATTTTTGCGGTACATGTCATGATATTAAAATATGCGTATCGCAAATTTTCAACAAAGTGTTCATTGCCAAAATAATATTAAAAAAATATACTACATGCATGGAATGAAGGATAACGGCGTATATCAAGTTTACAAGAACATCTAATAATCTGGAGTGTATAAAATAATATATTATCTAATTGACTTGAGCTCTTGCCGCAGGTCTACTAGCATACCATTTTTCAATAGTTTTATTTGTCTCCTCTTCTGCGTGAATATTTAACCTTAAATTTAAGACCGATATTATGGCAAAATGGGAAATTATATTTCAAGCAACTCTATCTGTCAGAAAAGTAACTGGCGAACATATATTATGAGAGGCATTAATATTTGCGCGAAATATAGTTTATACTTCGCGCAAAAATACGATTGCTTTTTTGGATAGGTGGCGTGAATATTGGGTAAAACTATCAATTTTCAAATATTTATCAGGTGTGTAAAACCTAAAAAAAAGTTAGTAACGATTGTGGGCATTCATCGGGATTGACACTTTCCATAAAAACAAACAAACAATTCGAACCCCGTGTCTTTATAGGGTTCCCCGGGAAGTTGGATTTCGATAAAATTACAATTAAGTTTTATCAACGAGAACGTAGAAGACATGATGGCGTCGCTAGATCACCCAGTAAATATTTTACATTTCCCGACACAAAAGAATCGAAATATCCTGCCAATACTAAGTTTATAAGAGCTGCAGCACCAGTCGCGGCGACTGGTTTTTAAATTTTGTTCCTTATAATGTACATGCTTCGATGAAATTCATTAGGCCGCACAATGTGCTAGTCATGAGATCGTTTACATTCTATAATTTTTGGAGCAACTGTTGCAACAGCTCGTTAAATTAGGAAACATTTTTCCGAGAAAATAATATAATATCATAATACCAGTTCAAATAGTACCTGATTTAAACGTATGCATTAGGTTAATGACGTTTCACACTTGCGAAGGAAAGCGATATGTGTTTTTCATACGGAACGTTGCTACGTAATTGCGTAACGAAGTAATTAGTAAACGTTGTTGTTTAACTCAAGTTGGCGCAGTGGACATGTCAAGAATTGGAGAACATTGAATGAAATAACTTATACAATTTTACTGGTGCACGACAAATTATATCTAGTGTCGAAAGCTATTCTTAACCTCTGCAAATGTGTCGATATCATATTAGGTTAAAACAAGCAAATCGAAGTTTTTGTTATTTAATTCAAAAGCTTTTCAAAAAAATTTCAGCTTTTCAATTTTGCCGATTTTTGTATGATAATCGCGACATTTTTTCTCCATCTTATAATTATAATTATTCTCCTAGATTGTCTTTCAAACAATATAAAACTTATCTGCATATAATATAAAGGTCGTGAGATATGAGGTTTCAAAGTTGCATAACTCCCACGGGATGATAAGATAACTATCGCAACTTTCACGAAACCGCACGATACCAGTATGATTCCACGAGGCAAATAGCAAAAGAAAAACAAGAGAGCTACGCCCAAATATATGGACACGTCTGTTCGCAGTACAGTACGGTTTACCGTACCGTCAGATCACAGTCTACAAATATATTCACACCAAGCGAAGCAGTACAGTATGACACAAAATGGCGTCCGATACCCGCAATACGTTTAATGACGTCATAGCAAACAAAAACGAATCTCAAAGAGCTAACATAAATATTTAAAATGAATAAAAGTAATAGCCTTCTGGGGAAAAATTTTATCTTCAACCACTGAAAATTTCAAAACAATTGGTCAAGTATTCGAAGAGAAAAACGATTTTTTTAAAAATGATCGAGACAAATAATAATAACAATAACAACAAAATTTTGAAACGATCGTTATGTCCACTACGTGTCCAATAATGAAATTACCCAAATAAAATGCAAGACAGTAAAAAATCTTCAAACAAATTGACGAACGAGACCTTCTGACGAAGCTAAAACAAACCGACGCTGCCGCGTTCCCTCGATTCGCTGGACACAAAATGACGTCCGATATGCATCATTGCTCTCGGGTTCTGCACTTGGTTTATAATCACTTTGATGAATATCTGTTTTGACACGTGACCACTGTGATCGCGATGCGTAACGAGCGGTTTTTAGTTTTCAAAACAATTCACTTTTTCCAAGGCGTTTGGAGTTCAGCAACAGCAAATTGTTTTATTTAACTGCATTCACTGTAATAGTCTAGTTTCTAGTATATGGCAGTATGAATATTGAACCAGTATTACTCTAGTTCATTTTGATAATTCAGTGTTTAAAATGTTCAACATTGTAAAGTCTAAAAGTGTTTTTCAGTTTATTTAAAATACGCTACAGAAATCTGGAAATACCGCAATATAGCATTAATATCTTCCAATAGCGTACAGCAATACTTTGCGCTGCGAATTCTATGATAACTCATGGATAACTGGAACCGGCTGTGGGATACCGTAACTGGATAAAGAAAATTGAATGTAAGAACTGAAAAATGTCCACAAACTTTTTATATTTATGCAAAAAATCCTAACTTTTTCAGTTTTTACTGAGAGTAAAAAATATGACATTAACGTATTTCAGTTTCCTGATTTCAGGTCAAGCTGATTATAATTGGAGTATTTAAAATTTTCCCACTCGTAGTATTGTTGCAATTTTTATAACTCTTCAACATTTATTTATTTCATGACTTCTGACTATTCCTGTATTCAGCAAGTGACTTTCCATTATTACTGTATATTTTCGCATACAAGCCGAGTTTAAAACTCCAAAAATAATTTGTCAAACTAAGGGCCCGGCTTATATGCGCATAACACAGATCACACTACAAAACGAAATGACATGTGATCGCTTGTACAATTGTTATTGTACTATTGTCATAACGCAAATAGCGCTGCCTGACTTTTAATCATCTTTACGGTATGTCATACATTATTTGGAGCACTATCGCCGTAACTCAAATAATGCCTCCGGACTTCTAATCCTCTTTACGATATGTTATCTTGTTTAGTGGTGCTGATAAGGTCTCTTATCTCTGTAATGATTAAAATATTTACATTAACGATAATAACTTTTCAGTCTGTGACCATACATAAAGTGGCTTATTACATTCTACCAGAAAGAGATACAACTCATTCTATTTATAGAGCTCTTTTTTCCTCCATAAACTGCAAAATCCTCACTTTAAATGTCATTACCGGTACCGATAGTTTCTTTTCAGTCATGACCATATATGAAATGACTTATTACATTTTACCGGAAGAGGATATAACTTGATTCTATTTATAGAACTAGCGTTTTCTCCTCACGTGAATTGCAAAATCCTCACTTTAAATGTTATTACCGATAGATAATATCTTTTCAGTCATGACCATGCATGAAATGGATTATTACCTTCTACCGGAAAGAGATACAACTCGATTCTATTTATAGGACTAGCGATTTCTCCTTGTGTAAATCGCAAAATCCTCACTTTAAATGTTATTACCGATAATATTTTTTCAGTCATGAATCATGACTATACATGAAATGACTTTTAAAATATAATTTTCGGTTTTGCGACGTAATGGATATAAATATAAAATAAGAAGCCTTGCACGGAAATGGCGGCAATGTCCACCACACAAATGTGTCGCAACAATATGATGAGCAGGGTTGCATAGAAGATAAACAATCAAAATGCCGATTTTATTTATTGTCGTCATTACAATAATTGTCAAATCGCTAAAATTTGTTTGGATATTTCTCGTGACAACGAAACACCGTGATGAGGGCGAAAAGTGGCTATTATTCGAAAATCAGCCGAAAAATTATTCGAATAATTTGATATTCTTGACTGTGATAGGTGCGTACGGCGTGTACGGGTCATAGGGTAGGCTTATGTGCGAATTTTTATAAACTCGTCTTTTTTAAGGGTTTATATGCACGATCGGCGTATATGCGAATGTATGGTATCCTGAAACACAAAAGTTTTGCATAAATTTTTGGGGACTTATTTACACATTTAAAGAAATTGTTTGCTGAGCGGCCTGCTCCAGATTTTGTAATATGAATATTCCAATCAAGTTGTCATAAAACAATGTCTCAAATGAAAACTAAAAAACTGTTCGGCAATAAGAGCATATGTGAAATGTATGCAGTTTTATAATTTCTTTTATCTTTTTTTATTAGATTGCAATGTCTTCACAAGCTAATGCACCACAAGGACTTGATCTACTGTTTCAAAAACTTGGACATAACTTGGTTGAAATTCGCACCAGAGCTCTGAGTAGTATTTTGTCTAAATTAGAACATGGAGTAATACATGATGCTGATCTGGTACAAGAAAGGCAGCTCTTTATTAGATTATTGGAATGGTTTAATTTTAACCAGTCACCAATGAGGGATGAAGTGTTCAAACTTATTTTGAGGCTTTCTAACTATACATCTGCATGTGAACTGATGGTTTCTCTTGGTGCTGTGATGTTTTTCACCGATCTCAGAAAAGATTTATCCGGGCCCATTAAGACACAACTTGATTCTGTTTTGGATAGATTGTTTCATGTAACTGATGCAATCATGAGTGATAGCAGATGTACTTATCAACGCATAGAGGAAGACAAAATGTTTTCTGAAACTCCTGCAATTGTTGAGGACACATCATCGCATGTTGGGTCAGGATATTTTCAGGATGATGGCAGTGATACTGTACAAGCAGCTCCAGCACCTGCAATGAATTACCCTGGAGATGAAGACAAATATCCTTTCATAACATTTTCAGGGTTTCCATGGCATTTTTTGACAGCGACTGACAGACATGTCCTTTCATCTACTAGCACATCTCTCTGTTCATCAAATGTCTCTCTTGTTCAGAATGCATGTTCTTTTCTCCTTGATGTTGTATTCCGCGACTTTCCTGCTGAAATATTTTTACAAAGACCTACAATTCTAGTCACTTTACTCACATTGTTAAAGTCTAGGCCGAGTGCAGTTTTAATGTCAACAACTTGTGATTGCCTTTCTTTCATCGCAAGAAATCTTGTTTCTAGAATATTATATTATGAAGATCCTGATTTATATTGTCCAAGACAGGGTCTTCCATTGAGAAGGGGAGCAATGTTTGATTCGAGCAACATAGCTCAGAATGGACATACAGGGGGGCGATCTGAAGCAGAAGGCGAGCGACAGGAGAGACGAGGAGGTGATGGAAGAGATGAAAATTCCTTGTCGTCATTGTCATCTGCTTTTAGTAATAGTATTCAAGATCTGCAAAGAAATGATCCAACATTTGCTAATAAAGATGATGAGTCACTTGAAGATGACCACACTATCACACTCCAACTTGCACAAATCTCAACTCAACAATTTTGTATTTCTACATTTCAGAGTGTTTTGCCACTGTTACTCATAGAAGATGCTTCTCTGTTTTTCAAATTATACGAAGTAGCAATGCATTGTGTAAATGTTTTGGAACAAATTCTGGATGCAGACTGCTTTTGGAGTTCAAATGACGATTCTACAAAAAGTATGAAGACTGAAATCGAATCCTTATGTGAATCTATTGGTCGTGCAGTGCTACATCATTACCACCTTCACAGCAAGCAACATCTCTACACAAATTCGGCTACAGCACAACCAGAAATTTCTGGTGACATAACTGAGGAATGGACGCTGAAATTTGAATCAAATCATGAATCTGTTTATCACAGAGTTGCATTTCATGCCTGTTCCAGCTTGGCTTTAAAGTTTTTGAAAATTGTCGTACCTGTTGAAAAGTCAAATTTATGTATAAAGGATGTGATGGTTACAGCTCTTTATGTGATCGCTTGCGACGAACCCCTGAGAAGTTCATATCGTGAAATCTGCACAGTGGCAGAAACATATTTGGAACAATGCGATGAAGAAAAGAATAAAGTCTTGAGAGACATCCAACAAGTTGTACAGTCTATCTATCACATGCATCAGTTTCTCGATGAATGCAAATCAGAAGATAAAGATCTGAAGCTTCAATTGGAACTTGCTGAAAATGCTCTGATTTGTTTGCCTTACTATAGTGTCAAAGGATTCATCCCTTTTATTGCTGAGCTAATAGCTGAAATATGTAACAGTGAATCGAAAAACGGATTTAATGAGACAACAAGGAAAATACTTTTACAGCTACTTGCACATCCTGTAACTCGTATAAGAAGTAACATGTATGAATCTTGTCTTCATATTGTCAAATCTAATCTTAATGTAACCATTGCAGCTGAAAATCCGACTGGGAGCATAAATTATATTTGTAATTTTCTCATGTCCACTTCAGTTTTGTATGAAATTATGCTGCATGGCGTGAGTGATTCATCTGCTCTAGTTAGTACACCGGCTCAAGATTTAGTTCTGCATTTATTGCAAAGTAAACTGCTCATGAAAGATGATTTGTGGATATCGTTCAAAACAGCACTCAATCCTGTGATGCCAGTGTTGCAAGCATTTACAGGCGAAACTGAACTTCTGAGAGATGCGGTATTCGACTTTATATCTACCAACTATAATTTTCATGACAAGTTGAAATGTCTTTTACGTTGCCTTTTCATTAAGCAAAGAGCAGTTCGTAGTATCGCAGGTGGCATTTTGTCAAAAGCACTTGTTTCACATGAGAGATCGCTATCTTCTGATGAAAAATTTAAAGAGCAATCACGTCTTCTGCAACTTTTACAACGCTCATCCAATATTGTTGGTTTGACAGATCTTCTTGTATCGGATAAACCAATTCCTTTAACCTTTGCATCAACTACTAGATTGCTCAACACAGGCTTGTTTCATGAGGATTCAGTTGTTAGAATGTTGAGTATATTTCGATCACGTAGCGTCGATTGGCCAGTAAGACGATCTGCTTTGCAACAGCTTTCTGTGGTCTTAACCAATCGTGATGTTCATGATATATTTTTGAAAAGTGATGGCTTGGTGACAATAAAATCTCATCTCTTGGAACTTGTTACAGACAATTCTATTTTGACAGAAGTTGAAAAATCTGAAGCGGATGCTTGCGTTTCCATATTGAAATCCATATCTCGATGGAACCCAGATGTCAGACATGCTTTGTCTAATGAAACTACAACAATATTAGCGTTACTGAGAATGACTGATTTGTGTCGTCTTTCTTCTGTATCTGTAAGCCAAGTAGCTAGTCTCATTACTTTACTTTTATTCCATGATGTTATTAAAAAGCACGAGTGTGATAATAAAGAAACTTCAGAAGATATCAGTCTTCCTGCTGGGGTAATGTCATACTATCAGATTCCTTTTTTATGTCCAACTCATCATGTAATAAGCGTCCATCGTACTCTTACATCTCCTCCGAAACATTGTGATCCACTTTTGACTGGACCAGCTGCGTTTTCAATTAGAATTGCTACTATATTGGCTCAAAATGACAAAGATGTTACAAGTGCAGTAAAATCATTATTAGATCGTACCAGTCAATTTGTTGACGATAAACTTAAACCAGGTGAACGGAATCAGTTGGCAAAAGCCCAGGTCGATATGGTGAGCTTAACTTACTCTGATGCAAATACAGCTCTGAATGCAACTGTTTCATCGATTTCAAATGCAACCTCCCATGTGGCTGTTCACCATGCTGTTTCTTTGATGCGAATTTTACTGAAATCATGTCCTTTATCATTTTCCTCCATAATGTTTGCAAATAATAATTGGAGAAATGCTTTAGACAGATTTCTATGCGTTCTACCCTCGAGTGTCAAGGATGAGAAATTACTTTTAGAAATCATAAGTCTTATGGATGATTTGCTGAATTGTGAAGAAACTATGAATTTTGATGGTGATCGATTTTCAAAGGAGTACAAGAAAATTGAGGAAACACTGTTGTGGTATTTAAAGATGAATGTACCTGATGAACAACAGCAAAGTGTCTCAACAGAAATGCCATTATTATCATTACTTAAATCTTCAGAACCACAAAGCCAGCAATCGCTTGATGGCATCTCATCTGTAACTGTGAGAAGACAGTTGTGCAAAGCAATATTATCAATGCTAAGTCGTATATCTCGAAAAACTTTCCTGATCTCCAACAAAAAATTATTTCGAACATTTCAGGCCGCTTTATGTCATATATTGTTGATTCGATTAAAGCTTGCTGATGCACCTCAATTTTACGATTTGCCATCCATGGAAGTTACATTGGAATGTCTTGTACACAATACTGCATTTTCTGGTTGGACAACAGCTGATGTTCTGCAGTGGTATCCCAATCAAAGGCATGTTTCTTTACCAAGAGATGGAACAATACTTTGCAGGCAACTCATAAGTACACTTCTTGAAGTTGTCTCTGCTTTTCATATAGAAAGCCGAGGTAGTAGTATGTCGTACATGGGTAAAGGAGTCAGTAGGTCTGCAACTCAGAGCATAGTACATCTTGTTTATGAAATGGCTCATGTGATTCAAAAGTCTGATCCTAATAGTCAAGTACATGAATGGTTGAATCTGTCAAATCTGGGGTCTGCAGATGATATGGCAGCAAATCAAGTTGGAATTCATAAGGCAGCTTATGACTGGATGTTGCCTTTGTGGTCTGCTCGTGACCCAAGAATACGATTTTCTGGATTGGCATTAGCAGTTGCATTATCTAGCTCTGTACAAGGTTGTTTATTACTAGAAAAAAGTTTTCAGAAATATCCTGGTGGGATTTGGAGCACATCATTCGCTATATTATTTGATGATACCGAGTGCAGTGTTATTCGTTCACAAGCTGCAACATTGATCTCCAACATGATATCACATGATTTTGAATCGGGCTCAGTATCAGAAGATATTTGGAGAGGACCAGTTGTAATGGATGAAGAACGTCTAGTAAGCAGTAGTGGTATTCCAGCCCTCATTACAATGCTACATCAGTTGAAATTTTCGAGGCATATCATCACTACTTTATCACGATATCATTCAAGCTACTCAATTCAACCTGTCACCATATTTTATTCTCCATTCGATTCGTCAACTACATATTCAACGTCAACAAAGAATTCTGTAATATCTGCACCTGAATCTGTTACGGGATTAGAAAATTCTTCGGTACATCAGCACACTCAATCCCCAAGATCCAACACAGATGTTCATAATTTACCAACTAATGCAAGGAATATTTCTACTGATAGACGGTTTGGGATAAGCCCCATTTCTGCTTTTAACGTTGATCTTGATGGTGTTAGTATGGAATCTTATGCATCAGCTTTTCCATCTGAATGGTTGTCTGTATGTACACCTAAACTGGTTGCAAACATATGCTCTCTCTTGGAAAATTTGATTAATCTTTCTCCACATGAAATGGCTTTTATTTTAAAACAAGATGGGGTAATGGAGTCTATTGGGAATTTGGTTGATGTCCCTGTTTTGATATCCTACTTACAAGAATGTGAATCAGTAAGGCAAAGTCAGTCGACCATTTCACAGAGGTTGAAAATAACAACAAGGTCGATAATAGCTCAGTATACGGAAAGTTTCAGAGTGTTGCATTCCTATGTCGCTTGTGATAAGGGTATTGCTTATTCTATATTGAAAGACACTGAATTACCGACAAATGCTTTACATCTTATCAATATACCAGTGACGTTTGAACACATCTGGCAACTACAAGAAAGTGCAATGAACTTCTTGAGTTGTATTATTCAACAGAACATTTCTCGTGCTACTGATATTGTTAGAAATATATTGGTAGTTGAATGGACGTCTCTTTCCAAATCAGTGCGGAATATTTTGTCTGAAAGACAACATGAATCATTGATATTAGCTACTGTAACTATGCTGGGCAACATCTTGAATTGTATTTCTTCATCTAGAAATCAGAACAAATTATCTCTTTTTGATATATTTGATCGTGAAGATGCTGAAGACGAAATTCCTGCTATTACTTCAATATTAATTGAAATTTTTGAAACATACAGTTTAAAATCAGAAGTGAAAAGCATTAAAATGATGTCGGGATGTGCAGTTGCATTACAGACTTTGTTCTTGGTATCACCAATTGCAAGAATCACCGCATGTGAAGTTGGATTCCTTCAAAGTCTTATGGAAGAAATCAAACATTTACATGCAAAAATTGAAATGTGTACAACAGGTAGTACATCTGGAATAGGACTAAAGTTAATTTCAAAAGTCAGCATTTCTGCACACTCACAAGAGAACGAACAATTCATGAAAAAGATAATCATACATTTGCATATTCTATGTGACCTGATGTGCGGTAATGAAAAAATTAAAAATTCTGCTTGTGAATCTAGCATGGGGCTTTTAGTATCGAAAATCTGGAACTGGACACCTGTGTACAACAAATTAAAAACTTCAGTTCTAAAATTATTGTTATGTTATACAGCAGGTTGTGAGAAAGCTTGTACGAGTCTATCAACTTCATCAATTGGACTACAGCCGCTATTGAATCATATTATCAGTGAAGCACAAGAATTCAATTCTAAAATACTGAAAGGGAAAAAAGTCCAGACTTCCCATTTTCAATCAACATTTCATCTCATATTTAATATTTCTATCTCTCAGGAGTGTAGGTCACTCTTATGGAAATCAGGTTTTCTTAATGATTTTCTGCCTGCTGCAGATAGAGGACAACATCCTAAGAGAACAAAACTTCAAGGATCTGCCCTTATTTTTTGGTTGAAATTAATGCATTCTGTCTCTTTTCACACTGATGGACAATTAAATATTCTAAAGGTAAGTGCTAATATTTCTAGTATATTATTTTTAATATGTTTTTACAAAAGATAAATCTTGGGATTCAAATGAAAAATTCTGATAAAATAGAAAAGGGGTTTTTAAGCATTAGAATATTTCAAATTTGTGAAAATTGCTCATTTCTTTTTAAAATTGAAATAATGTGAGTTGTTTATTATTTATTTATTATATATCAATATTTTAATGCTTGATAAAATGGTTCAGAATAATGAAAGCAAAAATTAGCACTTTGAGCATACTATTTTCAAACAAAATTCATCTCTCCTTTGATTTTCAGATTCCTGACATTATTGAGGTTCTTGATGGCATAACTTCATTGTCTAAAATCCACACTCAAATTGTGATGAATATTTTACGCAACTTGTGTTTCCATAATCCTAGCAAAGCAAGAATCAGTTCTAACAAAACAGCTGTTAAAATGTTACTAAACCACCTCTCAAGCAAATCACATCAACAAACCACATTATCAGCATTGTGGGCTCTCTTGTCAAACAGTCAGAAATCCAAAGTTCACCTTAAAGTTGCCGGACTCACTTCCAAAGCTCAGAATGCTTTGATTTCATTGAATCAAAATATGGAGCAACAGAAGGATAATGAAGCAAGATCCTCTCTAATGGCAATCCTTGAAATCATGAATATCTAAAATTTATAACAAGTTCTTAAGACATATTTTTGTACTCTTGTTGAACGGTCGATAAAATAGCATTAAATCAAAGCAGTAAATTTTGACAGAAGACTTCATGTTTTACCATTCAAATACCATTATTACACCTAGTATGGCCTGGATAAATATTGTAAAAAAAATGAAAATTTTATGTTCGTATACAGCAGGTATTATTGTTTATTTGTTGAGCTCGGCCATGTATGGAATATGGCTCTCACTCAACTAAATTCACAAAAATGATTGAAATCGTTCGTGTTACAAAACCTGATTTGTTTATTGAAGATTTTGTCAAAATCGTGCTGATTTATAAAAATTTGAGTATCGGATGCAAATATGTATAACCCAAGTATATGTAGAAGCCCATGCAAGTTCAGTGATAATCTGATTCAGTTCCTTGTGAATTTATTTGTTCTTTTTTGGTTGTGTTTGAATCGTAGATATATTTAATAACCTTAGATTTTGGGCTACTTTGAATGTATGTTCTTTATTTATTCAGTGTCTTGTTATATTCTTTGCTCTAAATACTGATGTAGGACATGTATTTCTTTGTCTTTTGGTGAATTGAACGTATTGTTTCTCAGCGATCACCCACCGTTTATCTTTGTTATTAAAGTGACTGTTTTATTATTTTGAAGATGAGTTCCCATATCTATATTTTTATAAACCATATTTTCGTAATTTGTTTGAAATAGAATTGGGGATTTTTATGAGATTTGATGGGGAAATTATATCCACATATCCTGAATTTTGACCTTGACCACAGCGTATTATTTGAGATTGAATGTGGAATTATCAAACGTCATTTCTGATGCATTATTACTTGAACCAGTGGTCGGCAAGCGTGGGCCGAATACGGCTCCATTATATTTAAAATTTGTGACCTCAATAACCTGCTCTTTAATATAATATCTGCTATCACGTGTATGTGTCGCAAGTGTCAGTCGTGTTTTTAATTCTTTCTAATAACGCGACTGGTATTTAACCACCCCGTTTACATTTATGGCTTCCAAAAGACGCTTTTCCCAAATGGAAGTATGTATAAATTCTTCTACTAACCAAAACTTCTCCCTAAGACCTTGAGAATTGAGACCTGTCGCCAACACATGAATTCATAGTTCCTGCCTCGCCGAAACAGGTGGCTGACGACCTCAACTCAAAAGACAGAGCATGGGAGCACACATTATGTAAGAGATGCCAAAAAGAAACTGTTATCGTTCCGTTAGCAAATGAAAACTTGCGCACTTGACATGTGTTATTTTATACGGAGAACGGGTACCGTATATTCCCGAAAAGCCCGGCCCATCCCCCTTCCTAGTTCTCTAAGCTTTCCCGAAAGCACATTGCACATCACTTTAAAAAAAGTTGTCAATTGTGTTCTGCTCGTGCAATATTTCCAAATCTTTATATACATATGCTATATGTATATATCGGCTTACCATAAGTCCCGAATTAGCCGGCACAGTCCCGCTTTTAGCATGTTTTTCTGCCGTCCCGGCGATAGACTTGACTGTCCCGGTTTTGCAGTATGACAGTCATAATAGTCTTTCTATTTGATACTATTACAAAAAAAATTTTTTTTTAACGGAGGCAGCCGATTTACCACTGGTTTGCGTCTCACTTCATGACATGAAGTATGAACCATGCGTTAATTTACCACCCAACTGTAATGTCGTTGAATCATCAAAATGCCGGGAACAAATTGCAAGTTTTCTAGTGAGTTAATTCCCATTATTTGAAGCGAAGACCAATAGAGGATTTTGTAATAAGATCTACAGCTAATTTTGATGCCTACAATCTACACACAATGGTTGGAAAACGTTTAAATTTAAACTATTACTAAACCCCGGTATCGAACCAAGTTTGACTTGTCCAATCCGCGCCGACCCGGTTTTTTGCTTCAGAAATATGGTAAACCTATGTATATATATATACAACTCCGAATCCTGCGTATGTACTTAAACAAAAAATTATTACATGTATAATTTAAATTTCAAAAGCAACGGCACACTTTTTATCAACTTTTAAGCATGGGTGTGGAGTAGCAGAAAGAAATTAGCAATTGCAAATTCGTTTAAACCAAGGTGAAATTTTTTTTGTCTCTGACTCACGACTCTTGGTTGTACAAAATTTTGGGTGCTCCAGAAGTATGTGCACCAGATGGCGCACAACCTGAACATAGTATGTGTACCGGGTTAGGGTTATCAGGTTGTGCCCATCTGGTGCACATACTTCTGAAGCACCCAAAATGTATACACCGACACCAGCTCTTAATTAAATCCAAGAAAATCAAACTTTAATGACAAAAAATTTGCCATATGCAAGCCTTCTTCAAAAGTCTTTTAAAACGACTTGTAAACTTAGTATACTTTGAAAATTTATTTATTTTTTATCACCATTAAAAGTCTGCAATTCATACTACAGGAAATTGAGAATTTAGACTCTGTGATTCTAAACAACAACTCTGGCTCCTACTCTAATGAAAACTCTCGACTTCACAGCTCTGCTTTCAAGACAGGAATCGTTCACCACAATCTATTTTGCATTTTATGAACTTATTACAATTTTTTAAATCAAATTAAGATATCACAATATTCTGTTATCAGACATGAAGTATACATACGGATCATTTTTCCAAATTGTCATTGTTGTTATAAAAATTAATCGCCTTTATCAGAAATGAATGGACCAATTCAATTTCAATATCTACACATAAAAGGGTGCTCCCGTAGTATGTGCGACAATAGGGCGGGCACCGGAACGTAGTATGTGTATCCGGTTAGGCCATAATTTCAGGTACAAATACTATGGAGGTCACTTGGCTATATAACTAAAATTGGAATAAAATTATGGTCTAATCCTAACCCGGTAAACATACTATGTTCAAGTGTCCGCATTCTTGTTGCACATACTACGGGAGCGCCCATAAAAGTACCCTGGTTTTTACAATTATCTATCGAGTTCCATGGGGCTATTCCACCCCCAAATTGCGCTACCACGTTGCATCTTGTTAGATAGCCTGCCATCATTTTGACAAACCGGGTGCAAGCTATTGTGATGAAGTTGAATGTCTCTAATACCGGACTCGTCCCATCCCTAATATATACAAAGAAAAAAGCGGGAACGACTAAATATATACAAAGAAAAAAGGTTGAACGACTAAAAAATGCAGGAACTAAATTATTGAATAAAATAAACAACCAGAAACACGTTAAATTTAGATTTGTTTGTGTTTTTGGAGTTTCTTTACGGTCCGAGTGGATGAGAATGCCCGTATCGTTAACACTCCATTTGATGACAGCAGCGATTTGCGTTGATTTATTGGAGAGAATGTCAAATATCTTTTTAGCATGTTTAACTTTTCTTCTCTTAATTTTCCAAAATATTTATTAAGAGCAATTAAAAAACGGCTGAACTCCGTTGCCAGACGGTAATTGCCTGTTCCAATAAGTGCACGTTCCACATCTTTATATTGAGCTTTGGTGTGAGCAATTAACCGCTTGATAAGAAGATCAATGTTGGTAGTCTTCCCAGTTGGTAGTCTGTGCGCCACTGAGAGGTTTTGATTTCGACATCATTCTGACAGCCTTCGTAATTTTGCCGGTGCGATCAAACCACAAGACGCCGGAAATCGACGACTCCCTGGCATAGTTACGTAACAAAACGATTTGAGCCGAATTAACACCAACGTTATAAGATGCGCATTACTGGTTTTGCAATGCAGCTATTGCTTTTGCGGCTTAAATTTCTGAATTCTAACTGCTTGGGCCCCTTTGCACTGTGGGCCCTCCCGCGACCGCGGGGGTGGATGCTACGCCACTGAGTCTTCCAGTCAATCATGTGTTTGAGTACGTGGTTCATGCTTCCAGTGTTGTTATTTGTCCAGTGTGCGCTGACATCCCGATTCTTTGCTACACGAAAAATCCCTGCTTTAACATTGATAAAACCCGTCTCACCAAGTAATCCCTCAATGATGCGCTCTCTATTGTATGCACTATATTCGAAGCCTTTTTAGCGAATGATTCTTCATCTTCCGTCGTTATTATACTTACGTTGCCAAATATCATTTTTTTAATACGTTTTCTTTAACTCATATTTAGTCCCACTTTATTCCCTCATGAATTCTTCAACATTATTCTTCAAATGTCGAGAACAGATTATATTAGTCGCTTCAGGAAAGTTCGTAGATATGGACTTGCGTATAGCTTTTTTGTCATCGGTTCCTATTGTTAGTAATTTTGAATTGACACCATTATCATTCAAAGCACCGAAAAGGATACGACCATAAGGTCATCAGAGTCAGCTCCCCCCAAGTTCACTATTAAGATTCACAGTTAAACGTATGTAAATAAGTAAGTAAAGTAAATGAGTAAGTATGTAAATAAGTGAGTGAATGTAGAAAGGTCCACCAAGCATGATGGGCGGTTCCCCAGTCGTTTTGTTTGAGACGAAAAATTATTGAATGTGGTCAGTGGTCACTGTCACGTGAATTTCACACAAATTGAAAGGTTTGTCCACAGTTAGTTGCGTTCGATCTGTAAAGCAGAATCTTTTGATATCGTTAATTTAATCTTGGCTGAAAATTGTCACATCGATGCTATCGCCAGTAAAATTGACGGAGCGAACCATTGGTTCCTGCTGACATAGAGCCACAACGCGCAACATTCTGTCAGGTAGATTACCGACTGGGCCATTGTAGTTGTTTTTCGTCTTTTTGTCGTTGTGTTTTTTGGAGTTCAATTGACAAAGATCGGTGTTTGTACCAATTCTTTGTCCTCCAGAAGTAAGTTGTTTCAAAGTTCTCTCGGCTTCTTTGGTTGCAATTCTTGTGAAATTTGTGCTAGAGTGGCAGGTCTGGTACGAATATACTGCACATCCCTTTTGCATTGCCATAGGGTTTTCACCTGGTTCCTACCGCTATATTCCACCAAAGCAAGTTCCTTTGGTACCTTTAGATGTGTTGGTATGTTAGTCGTTGGTTGGGGCCGACAATATACACGTTACCCGTTTCTTAAACGTTTTAGCACCTTTTAGAGACGCGTAATAACGCTGTATTTCGAGCAAGTGTTCGGACCTCGGCTGTGGAAATAATGGAACGTAGGTTCTTTTGTCTCTGTTCTTCTTTTCCTTGCAAAATTGAATCCCTTTTCTGAAGACTTTTTAGGCCTACAGCCTTCTTCCACAAAATAGAAAGTTTTGGGAGATGTGCCTTGATTTGAATCCCAGACGCCACAATCGTATGAAAATTCGCTCCGGTATCCATTCCTACGATTCTCCGCATTTGTTGTATTTGTGATAAGAAAATATACATTTTCTTTGTGGCCAGTTGGAATTTTCGATAACGCCGTGCCTGGTTCACAACGGTCAAAGACTTGAAGAATATTTTCCAAGCTTAGAAATTCTCCGTTCGGCAGAGGAAGGGCTCGATTTTTGGATGCTCCGCATGCATCAGATATAGTATTTGATATGTCACAAGTTGAAACACCTTTAGTTTCACAGTTTTTTGCTGTAGCAACATGTTTGTTTTCGCTCTTCAACTCGTCTAATATTAAATTACCATCATCGCAAAATGTTTCCGAGTCAGATAGTATAGTGGGATCTGGAATTGAAATCGTTCCGTATTTCTGTATTGGTTCTTCGATGAGTGGTACAAAATGATTTGTTTTAAAATCTTTAGCTGTTGGTGGAATCGTCATTCGGGTCCACATCACTGTTGTCTTTGGCTGTTGCGTACGTGGCTTTGACGACACGGCCGCAAATATTTCTTGTGAAAGGCTGACTCAGGATAACGTTGGAGCTCGTTTGTGGGTAATAGGATTGAATGGGAGCCTTGATAACTGCACTCAAGCCATACATATGCATCATTTCTGAAAAACATCCATCCGTTCATTTCATGTCGTAAAACTCTTGATGTTCTAGAATTTCAATTGCTGTCAGGAGGCGTGAATGCTTGTGATAGTTTTGTGTTCCATATATTGAGGTGGACAGTGCTCTGTACAAGCAATTTCCATCCCTTTCCACGTACATTGGAGTGAAGTTATTTATCCAGCATGATTGGATGAAATTTCTGCAAAATATTTTTCGAGAATGAACATTCTTTCAGAAAATATTTAGACTGTGGTGCTTCAGGAAGAATATTTTGATGGTTGACCAATAAACGCTTCAACGATTTGGTTAAATGAGGGCGATCTTCCAACATCCGTAACGCCATATCGTAATTGAATTTTTGATTTGGGCATAAGCATCTTGCACACAAAAAGTGCATGTCTTTCTTGCCCCATACTTTCATGACTTTTGGTTGTTCTCCAAGGCAAGAGGCATGTGTCCATGACTGACACATTTCACACTGAATACATTCAATAGAACAGGTGGCACAGGGATATCTTGATACATCAGACATTGTTTGTCTTCTGGTTCTTTAGTTGAATATCTAAACCAGAAGATTGGTTTATTACTATTACCATACAATGCATGAGTGCAAAGCCAGAGGAAACTCCCAGTAAAACGTAAAAATCAGCATGTACTACTGATGATCAAACCATCCTGACTTATTCATATACGTTCATGTTTTATCATTTTGCGACAAAGGCATTTTTTAAAATGGAAACTAAATGTCTGTCAATTGTAGTAAACTTCAACGATTTCCATTAACTATGTATTCAAAATACAAGAAATTTTCGTACATACCGAAAAAATTAAGAAACTGGCTTGCTATCCTTGCTACGTTGTTGATCAAGATATAAAAAGTAGAAGTTGTGATCACAAGTATCGTAAATCTGCTTAAATAACTAATGCGAATAGTTCGAATAATAATTCGAAATGGCGCATATGTTGCTTTTCTGCCGCAAAAAAATCTTCGGCCATGAGCCCAGCGCCAGTCCCGTTCTACTTCAACTTTAGAGGCCAGAAGCTGTGTTATCAGTACGGGAATCAGTAGGAGAACTTGAACCTTCATCGCTATGAATACTACGACAACAGTCCTGCACAAGCGTGCTAAGTATTTCGTTACGTATGTTAGTGTCAAACAAATTACAATAAATATATATATATATATATTACTGCAGAGTTACAATACCTGGACAAGAAAATAAGAAAGATTCTCGAAATAATTGTTTTTATTCTATTCTAAATCTATGACTACGTTATCTTATCTACGAAGAAAATTCGAGCCCGTTAACATGAAAGAGAGATAAGATTATTAAATTTATTATTAATTCTCTTATTACTGATAACTGGATAATATTTATATTAAATAATTTTCAAGTTGTTACGAGAGCATTGAGAACGAAAGTGTTCAATTAACATCCAATAGGTGGCGCAGCGTGTTTTTTTACCACTGTTCCTCCCCACGTTCGTTGATTTAACTGAAAATACCATGGAAGTGTATTAAATACCCAGCTCAAGACATCTACAGGTCCGTTCCGGGAGGTTTACGCGGAAATCCTGTTCCTTTTTATTTAGGACCTAAATTTTAGGGTCCGTTCCGGTAATCAAAGAAATCTATTTTTGCCACTGCTGTAAAATGATTATAACATAGAATTAGACTAATTGAATTGAATGGGATTAATTTTCAAGTAACACCCAGGGCGTCTGAAAATCATAAATCAAATCTTCCTGTGGTCGGAAAAGTTTGTAAACCAGGTGCCAGTACGATACTGAACTTCAGTGTGACCACATGCTGACATGCAGTTAGAGCCATACCGGTACCGGTATTGTGTATTTGAAAGGAGATAAAAAGTACAGGTAAAAAATAAAAAGTATTTCTTTGCAGAAGTAACATTGAAAAAGCATGTTCAAATATTCACAATGACATTTTAGCAAATTATGTGAAAAGTTTAAAAATTATAAATTAATGTGGAATATTTTGCCACTCAAATGTGTAGAGAATTAGATTTATTGCTGGAAATGACTTGTGTGTTATGTGTGATATAAAAGCAGAATTAGTATCACATTTGTTTATGAATTGTCCGTTTGTTGAACAAGTGTATGATTATGTTTTTTTGATTACAATGAAAATAACTGGCAGAAACAGTTCAATTGATTATGACACTTGTGTATTATTAGATTTGAGTAACCATTATTATGAACATTTATCAAATGTAGAAAAAAATGCTATTATTTTGTTATGGTCTATTACCAGGTATAAGATTTGGTTGCATCGGAATGCAGTAATTTTTTAAAATGTTATGCCAAGTGTTAATAGTGTAATAAACAGTTAAAAATGCGTTGAAGTGTAGAAATAAAGTAGAAAAACTTAGAAATTCACCTAATTTCATAAGAGAGCTAAGATTATTATGTAACTGTGTATGAAGAGTATCATCTATAAAGTATAGAAAAGTAGATATACAAATGGTTATATAAGTGTATGTAATTAGTAGATAAATAATAATTGTAAACGTATATATGATGAATATGGAATTATGGAAAAAATTAACGGTGATGAATTCTCCCTTGGAACAACCATGAATAACATATTAATAATGTACTGTTGGTAATTCTTTTTGATATTATTTTATTTGTTATTTTTCATTAAAAAAAAAGTACATGAAATTTTCAGAGCTAAAGTTGTTGACCATCAAGTATAATACCTGAATGCAGAATTGATATTAAGAATACATTTTAGCAGATGCAGAATTGAGATCAATATGACCACTGACTTCTCTTTCATATATGTGTGAATTTCACGACTGAACTCACAATTTTTTTTTGTAACCTAATTTATGAAAATGTGATTTTATGACGACTAGTAAGATTTTCACTGGTTTCATATCTTTTGAGTTTTCGTGTCAGATCAACCCAAGCTTGATGAATGATTTTCATAATACTGTAATAATAAAATACATTAATGCTGTTTTATATTGACAGCCCGCACATATAGTATATATTATTTCAATATGTTTCGATATTGTGTATCAAAGTCGCCCTTACTCAAAACATGCAAAGGGCAAGCGCTTAGAATAATTGGAATCCAGACTACTGTGAGAGATGCGCATTTCAAGTTTGTTGCTGATCCACCAAAAAGAGAGTTTGGAGAGACACAAAAAATGAACTTGTTTCAGTCTCTCACAAGTGCAATGGATATTACATTGGAAAATGACCCGACCGCTTTGGTATTTGGTGAAGATGTGGCATTCGGAGGTGTATTTCGTTGTACAGTTGGTTTGGCTGACAAATTTGGCGGCCACAGGGTGTTCAATACTCCATTGTGTGAGCAAGGCATTGTTGGATTTGCAATTGGTGCGGCAAGTGCTGGTGCAACTACAATAGCTGAGATCCAATTTGCGGATTATATCTTCCCTGCATTTGACCAGATCGTCAACGAAGCGGCTAAATACAGATATAGATCTGGTGGTTTATTTGAATGTGGTAAACTCACCATTCGTGCCCCATGTTCGGCTGTGGGGCATGGGGCTTTGTACCATTCTCAAACCCCAGAAGCTTGTTTTGCTCATGTTCCTGGCCTAAAAGTGGTCATGCCAAGAAGTTGCATTCAAGCTAAAGGTCTTCTACTTGCGTGCATACAAGATCCAAACCCATGTATATTTTTAGAACCAAAAGTGCTTTACCGTTCTGCGGAAGAGGAAGTGCCAATTGGAGAGTTTACATTGCCATTAGGAAAAGCAGAGGTTCTTATTGAAGGAAGTGATGTTACATTAGTTGGATATGGCACACAGATTCATGTTTTGAAAGAGGTTGCACAAATGGCTGGAGAAAAGCTCGGAGCATCTTGTGAAGTGATAGATCTTGCAACAATATTACCTTGGGATTCAGACACAGTATGCAAATCAGTTGAAAAAACTGGTAGATTACTAGTTAGTCATGAAGCTCCTTTAACTGCAGGTTTTGCAGGTGAAATAGCCTCAACTGTGCAAAAAGAATGTTTTTTGAATCTTGAATGTCCGATTGAGAGAATATGTGGTTATGATACTCCATTCCCTCACATATTTGAACCTTTTTATATGCCTGATAAATGGAGGTGTTTTGAGGCTATAAAAAAGATGATGAACTATTGATTAATAAGAGCATTTTATTGTGTTTTGAATTGTGCGCAATCCTTATAATTTCACGATTCGTTTTCTCACTAAAATACACAATTCATCTTGCCAAAATTGAGCTTTGAAATGTTCCAATTGCATTGTAACTTTCCATTTACAGTCGAAAGTGCCAATCCATCCTTGAAGAAGTCATATTCACATTTTTAAACTTTTGATTGATACTCCCCAAATGAATAAAATCATGTAAAATGCTTTTGTGTACTCTGTCTGAATTCATTTTTGTTTTATGATGTCATTTTAGAATATACCGTTTGCTATTTTCACCTTTCCATTGTATTTTAGTTATTAGGCAAATTTAAATAAACGTACTTTATTGTGTTCTATCCATATTGCTTATTCATTTATTCTTATTCCCGATTTGTTTTTCTAATAATATCTTGGGTTTTGAAGTTCATATGAACAATTTAATGTAGTGTGTTTATGCTATTATTCCCGATTTGTTTTTCCAATATCTTAGGTTTTGAAGTTCATATGAACGATTTAATGTAGTGTGTTTATGCTAATATGTATGGCTTAGTTTCATTAACATAAAATTGTGGTTCAGGTTCCAATTGTACTTAAATCGAAAGTAATCACCTTTTGCATGGCAGCTCTGTTAGACTGTAGGGTGGCTTGCTTTACACCAACCACTTGCTTCAGCTTTATATCACTTGCCAGAAAAACATTGAAGTATGGCAGCTATATAATCAAGCTCATTTTAGTATAATACCATGTAATCCACTAAAGCTTTTAAATTTTAATTGCACTCATCTTAAAAATTTAATCAGATTACTTATTTAAGGTTGCTTGATAATGTACTATTCCACAATATAGATGTTTCGGTTATCTGCCTACTTATTTTTTAGAAATTGTTATTATTTTTGCTATTTTGCCAGTCTCAATTGTCCAGACACTATTTTGAAATAAATAACTCAATAATGCTATGATTGTTGGTTTGTACAAATATGGGAAAAAAATATACAGAAAGTGGTTATATATGAAGTAGAACTTTCATTTGATATATAAAAATCTAAATATTTCGACTGTGCAATGCGGATATATACACTTTTTGCAGTTGTGATTTGTAGAGACAAAAGTGGAAATAAGCTTGGTTCCTTGCCAACAGAAAGACTTATGAATTAGTCATAATTAGTTGAGTTCTGTTCTAAAAATGTAAAAGAACAATTAATATCTGGGCATAAACAGCGTTCATCACTTTATTGATCCAACGAGTCATTTGACAAATCAACATCAATTGTGTTGCATATTGAGTAAATATGCAATGCAGCTGCATTGTCACCATAAATAAATATCGTTGCATGTGTGCATTTGGACGCATTGTTTACTTATGAGCGCCAGTTGCTCAACTAAATGGTTATTATAACAGCTATAGATCAACTGCATACTGATTGCATGAGCTCCAAATAAATTCTGAGGGTACAGCTTCTTGATATTTAGTAGTTGGTGTTTTTTCAGTAAGACAACAATGCATTAGAATTAATTCTGGTTTCAAACTAAGTTTTTGTTGGCATCTCTGATTGTTTGGTGACATTATGCTTTTTTAAATGTTATAGGGGAAGATCAATTAAGATTAACGATAGTATTGGCAAATTGCAATTCTTACACATCCTCAATTCAATCACATACCTCTTGATTTTTGAATCGATTATTAGACCCAATCAGCTTGTGTGGTTCCATAACACACAATATGAGCAGATAGATTGCATGTTTGATTATTATTACTTATTACTGATTAACAGATGCATGGTTAAAAAATTTGATATGAAAATAAATGAGATTGAAAACATCTATTTCCAGCAAAGACAAATGGCCATTAACATTTTGTATTCTGAGTGATTCAAGTTAGATAATCTCACAAACTCAATAACATTTTGTGTGATTTATTATGGTAGTTAAAATTACTTAGTGGACAAAATGGCAAATTACATATCAAATCGGTCAGTTATAACTTGTTTACATGGCTGTGCTGCTTCCAGTCAACCACTTGCTTCACAAATTGGTATTGATATATTGAAGAAAGGTGGGAATGCTGCAGATGCAGCTGTTGCCATGGCAGCAGCTCTGAATGTAACAGAACCTTGCTCGACAGGTAAAGTTATACATGCTCTCCTTGATTTAAATTTATCGTAAAATTTGTTAAAGCATATTGCATTTGTAGCATACTTGACATCTAATACTGTATTAACTCGATTTGAAAATAAATTGGTTGAATTATTATAAAATGATGGTGATGTGTTTTATTTTCAATTTGAAGATCATTTTTACCATGTAGTATTCAGGCCAATATCACCTTGTGGCTATAATAATCTTTCATACCAGTGTGGGTACTATGATGATGAATAGTGCCAACAAAGTAAATTTGATCTTGTTAAAAATAATATATTAAGCTTGCTGTATTAAAAAAATCATGATTTAATTATTAATACTTGACACATTTTGTGTTACTAGGATTAGGAGGAGATGCTTTCTGCCTTTTCTTTGACAATAAAAATCAGTCTGTGAAAGCGATGAACGCCAGTGGAAGATCACCCGAAAATTTAACTTTAGACATGTTGAACTCAAAGGGGTTTGATAAAGAAACTGGATTTCCAAAGATTCATGGACTTGCTGTTACTGTCCCTGGTGCAGCTGCAGGTTGGATTGATTGTGTGGAAAAGTTTGGCAGTGGAAAATTATCACCGAAGGTAAACTGTCTTGCATGCCGTAGATATGAAATAACCTGTCTGTGTAATTTTAACTGCACAAACAAACAGGCTTTTTGAGTTTTAAGGTTGAGTAGGTGTATTCATAAATAATATTTTTATTCAAAGCATGCCTTGAATAGTTCCATGAATCGTAGTTTAATTTGCTGTGCAATTTGCAAAACAGAAACACCATGTTCTTTTTTTTTTAAATTTGGCAGCAACATATTTAATGCAATATGTCCTCAAATTAAAATGTTATGGACTTGTGGAATGCGTTGACAAAACTGGGCAAGAAACAGTGAAAACTGACAAAATAAGAAAAAATTTGTTATGGAACGGGGTATGCCAAACACAAGTTAAAAATATGATGTCAAATTTGACTCAATGTTGAGAATTTTGTTTTTCCAGAGTGAAAAATAATTTGCGCATGAAGATGATTCTATTCTGCATGTTGCGAACAAAATAGAATATTTATATTAATTGCTTTCAGGAAATATTGAATCCAGCCATTGATCTTGCGAGAAATGGATTTCCAGTAGCTGGTCCACACACTTCCTTCTCATGGGGAAGAGGAGAAAAGACCTTACTGAATTCCAATAACATTCACAGAGGAGATATGCTAATAAGACATCAGTCAAGTGATGGTTCAACAACTTTTTCGGCTCCAAAACATGGTGAAATTTTCAAAAATCCGAATCTCGCTAGAGTCATGGAGGAGTTGTCAGAAAAAGGAAAGAAAGGTTTCTATGAGGGTTGGGTTGCAGATGCAATTGTTGCAGCAGTCAAGAAATTTGATGGAGTAATGGAGAAAGAAGATCTGCTTGCAAATGAGTCAAGTTTTGAAAGCCCTCTATCAATAGCCTACAAGGGTATTTTCACTATTTATATAAACTATACAATTTATATACATTTTTTAAATGTGGAAATGCTGTTTTTCATATAGTTTATCATCATCTTAGTAGTTTTGTTCCTTTTTTTGAATACAGCAAATTTTCGTCCAAGCTTTCAGTAAGAACATTTGATTTGCAAATCTGCTTTTAAAAATTTCAAAACTGTATGGCAAATTTTCGTCCAAGCTTTCAGTAAAAACATTTGATTTGCAAGTTTGCTTTTAAAAATTTCAAAACTGTATGGCATAAATTGCATATTCAATCTTTTTTTCAGACATCACTCTTTGGGAAACTGCCCCAAATAGTCAAGGCATTGTTGCTCTCATAACGCTTAACATTTTGAAAAATTTTGATCTGAAGCAACACAAACCAGATTCACCTGAATATCTTCACATCCTTATCGAAGCCCTGAAACTTGGATTTGCAGATGGAGTGGCATATGTTGCTGATCCCTCAAAAAGCCAAGTTCCCATTGAAGGTCTACTCAGTAAAGAGTATGGAAAAGAAAGAGCAAAATTGATCAAAGAGAATTGTGTGATCAAAATGCCTAATGCTGGTATAATAGTCATAGATATTTTTCACTTGAATCAATATGTTGTTAGGATTGGATTTACACATTTATCCAGGGGAGGGGAAAGTCGATAAGACAGCTTAATCATATGGCGAACGACTGCCTCTCATCCGGTTACCAATCCATGTTGGGTATGGGATTAGTTAGTTATTAGTGAACCACCCTACGGCGGCGAGGCGTTTAGCAATCCTCTTGCACATAACTATCCCCGCTTAGGATTCGAACCTGCGAACCCACGCAGAGTAATCAGAAGTGTGGTGGCGAGTGTATTCCTAATGCTTAGCACGATGAGCCATTTAAAAATCAATCAGAAACAAATTTTTTCTGCATCGTTTTAAAATACACAGCATCAACTTTTTGTCCAACAGGTCATCCACAAAATTTTGGTAAAGATACAGTTTACTTTACTGTTGTTGATAAAGACCGAAATGCCTGTTCATTTATAAACAGTAATTATGAAGGATTTGGGACAGGAATAGTGCCAGAAGGTTGTGGGTTTACTCTTCAAAACAGGGGAGCAAATTTTAGTCTGGATCCAGATCACCCAAATGTTGCAGCACCAGGCAAAAGAACATACCACACTATTATACCGGGAATGCTGACTGATTCAACAACAGGAGAATTATTGATGAGTTTTGGTGTAATGGGAGCTTTTATGCAACCACAAGGTCACGTCCAAGTAAGGATATCTTCTATCCGTTCTATTTTCCCATTTTAAAGCTTGAGCAGATCCAAATGAAAACCGCATTATTAGAATTCATGACTGATATTTGTCACATTCAGGAAGAGATGTCGGGCAACCCTTATTTGGATAGGATAGGATTTACATATTTATCCCGGCCGAGACCATGCATATAAATAGGTTCATTATGAAGGATGATAAGGACTTACAGTATGTATATTTCCCATGTAACTTGGGTTAGTTCATACAACATAAATTTTTGTCTAGGTTTTATTAAACTGTGTTGAATTCAACATGAATCCACAAGAAGCTCTTGATCACCCAAGAATTAGAGTTTCACCAAATGATACTCCAGTTTATTTTGAAGAAGGTATTCCAGTTGATACCTTGGAGAAACTTCGAAAATTGGGGCACAAGTTGGAAGGCCCAAGTTGTGGGCTAGATAGATTTCCTTTCGGAAAAGGACAAGCAATTGCCACAGGTCCATTCTGGGATGCAGATGGTTTTGATAAAGAGAACCTGGGGAATGTTCTTTGGGCTGGTTCTGATCCCAGATGCGATGGGGCAGCCTGTGGATATTAAAACTGCTTCATATGTAAAGTGCAATAATGTTATTAACATGGCTTTTCATTTTAAAAATCTTCTTAATATGTTCAAGTCACAATTATGTTGCAATCGAATAAAATAATGCTGAACTTTTATACCACACCATTATACCGGGAATGCTGACTAATTCAACAACAGGAGAATTATTGATGAGTTTTGGTGCAATGGGAGCTTTTATGCAACCACAAGGTCACGTCCAAGTAAGGATATCTTCTATCCGTTCTATTTTCCCATTTTAAAGCTTGAGCAGATCCAAATGAAAACCGCATTATTAGAATTCATGACTGATACTTGTCACATTCAGGAAGAGATGTCGGGCAACCCTTATTTGGATAGGATTTACATATTTATCCCGGCCGATACCATGCATATAAATAGGTTCATTATGAAGGATGATAAGGACTTATATTTCCCATGTAACTTGGGTTAGTTCATACAACATAAATTTTTGTCTAGGTTTTAATAAACTGTGTTGAATTCAACATGAATCCACAAGAAGCTCTTGATCACCCAAGAATTAGAGTTTCACCAAATGATACTCCAGTTTATTTTGAAGAAGGTATTCCAGTTGATACCTTGGAGAAACTTCGAAAATTGGGGCACAAGTTGGAAGGCCCAAGTTGTGGGCTAGATAGATTTCCTTTCGGAAAAGGACAAGCAATTGCCACAGGTTCATTCTGGGATGCAGATGGTTTTGATAAAGAGAACCTGGGGAAGGTTCTTTGGGCTGGTTCTGATCCCAGATGCGATGGGGCGGCCTGTGGATATTAAAACTGTCTTATATGTAAAGTGCAATAATATTAACATGGCCTTTCATTTTAAAAATCTTCTTATTATGTTCAAGTCACAATTATGTTGCAATCGAATAAAATAATGCTGAATTTTTATTCGAATCTATGCATGAATTTGTAGATTGAAGTGGGTGGTAATTAGTGTAATCTGATCTATCATTTTCAACAACAAAATTTGTCAAATCTGTTTTGGTTGGAAGTTATTATCGTAAATACTACGAAAATGACTAATAAGTTACATACAACTAGTCACTGTAGGTAGTACTTTATGAGAGCAATGTCCAATATTCAACAGTATCTGTGCAGAAGAAGTAAATGGGTCCATCTGTGCATGATCAGCAAAGTATTTAAATATCTTGCAATATTTAGACCGCTTAGCTACATCACCCATCCACACTTTCACTTATGACTGCCATATACATCCAACAAAAAGACTTGTACAAAGCACAAAACTTAATTTCAAACATCTTTTATTTTCATGGTTAAATCAGGATGAAAGATATGCACACACATGGTTAGGATTTAAAATCCTACAGTGTTGACGATTAAAATGTACAATAAAAATTGGACAGGTGCCACATTATTCATTGTAAAAGCAAATTATTAAACAAAAGAACTCAACAGGCAACATATCTACAGCAATCAAAATTGATCCAAAACAATATTCTCAACAATTAATCCACATAAGACAACTTCATTATAGCCTACTAGCCAGAAAGGAAACGCCAATATAACAAAACATATTGCTATATTTTTTGAGAGAGCAATCTGGCAAAATGTGAACACAAGTTGAAAAATCATTGCAATTGTAATTAAACTACAATTCATCTTTCGTTATGGCTTCATAAACAAAAGTATTTTCAGATCGAACAGCACCTTCTGGTTGAAACATTTATAAACACTAAATAAATCATGATTTAGCATACATTTATGATGATATTTGCAAGCTCAAACAAAACTCAGTATTGCCAATTCTGTAGCAAACTACAAAATTGCTAAAGCTCTACACTTATTTAGAATGCAAATTTGTGAAACAATCGTACTAGTTTTTCGAAATCACAAATTTATTCTTCTTTTGCTTCTTCATCCTGTTTTTCAAACATATCGTGCCCCCATTGAGCTGGTGATTTTTTTCTTGTCCCTTTGTCATTGTTAAAAGCAGTCTTCTCTTGGCTCAAAGCAGACTGCTCTTCATCTATGATACAAAACAGTTGTTCGCATTCAGATGCCTAATAACCAAATATTCCTTCAACTTGAACGTTTGTATTTGTAGCATTAGCACTATTGAAACATAGAATGACATAAATTGGCAATGACATCATTCACAAATAAAGTCCTGGTTGCATGTCATGTTATGAAAACTGTGCAGGGTGAATTTGATTGAAAACCAGGATCAAACCATTGTCAACTTAACGAGATTTTTGGAATATTGTATTGCAGAATATGAAAATGATTGTATGATGCTGTTTTGTATTTTATTTTGTAGGACAATGAGAAACTTGATACAAAGTTTTTGGAATTAAATATTTGAAAAGTTTTGGAATATTTCTACGTCCGAGAACACTCAAGTAAAGCGTTCTTTGAACTTTGGGAAACACTGGTCTTATGCTTCACTGCTTATAAATAAAAACACAGCATTTCAACTTTAATGTTCAAATATAGAAGTAAACTCAATGGCTGGCCATTGTGTGCTTGTAGCAAATATGAAACAATAATAAATTACATTAAGATAAGGTCTATGACAGGGAGAACCTATGGCTAGCGAGCCATATATGGCTCCCAGTAAGTATCCAAAATTCAAAGGCTAAGCTTAGTATTGTTACCAGATTTCAGACCTTTTTTATGGCCAGATATGGCAGAAAATTTGCCGACACGTTCGATAAACGCGCTCAGCGCATGTCTATGTTATGTGAGAGAATTGCCAGGCAGGCATTGTGACAAAACTAGAGGATTCTGGAACATATTTTGTGACATCACGAAGTGATAGAATCGCGGAGCAACGAAGCCTTCGTCCCTTTGTACTGCTCATTTGTAACTGTCAGCTTTGTTGTCAGCTTGAATGGACAGAGAAATTTGCCTTTGTAGAGAGAAAAGATCATTTAGTTTGTCTAATATGCAATGCTCAAATCGCGTCGATGAAACGGTCGAATGTAAAGCGACATTTTCACAGGTGCCACGCATCCTTCGCATCTAAATATCCAGAGGGGGACATCAGGAAGAAGGCATGCTTGGAACTACTACGCCAAGTGAAAGCGAGTCAGCAGCAACTTCTGGCTGAAAGGTAACTGCAACTCGGCTAGCTTTGCTGCTTCTTTGGCAATAGTGAAGAGCAGAAAGCCATTCACAAATGACGAGTATGCCAAAATATTTATGCTTGATGTGGCCAATGAACTTTTTAAGAACTTGTCAAATAAAGATACAATAATAAAAAGAATTAAAGACTTGCCTCTGTCAGCACGTACTGTTCACGATCTATCACGCGCTATCATGATGGCAAATGAAGTGGAGGAAATACAATTAAAGGATATAAATACAGGCGCATTATTTTCTCTTGCTTTTGATGAGTCTACGGACGAAAGCCATTTATCACAGTTCAGTGTAATTACAAGGTATGTTGTGGGTGACACACTGCGTGAAGAAAGACTTGCTGTTTTGCCACTGAAAAGAACAACACGAGGAGCAGATTTATTTCGGTCTTTCATGGAGTTCGCAACAGAAAAAAAGCTGCCGATTGATAATCTTGTTTCAGTGTGCACTGACAGAGCTCCCTGTATGATCGGAAAAAACGAAGGGTCTGTAGCACTTTTTCGTGAACATCAAAATAGACCATCCTACGCTTCCACTGCATTCTACATCAAGAAGCGCTTTGTGCTCAATTGTGTGGCAAGCAGTTTAGTGACGTAATGGATGTGGTCACTTCGGTGGTTAATTTTATTGTTGCCCGAGCTTTGAATGATCACCAGTTTAAATCACTGATGGCTGAAGTTGGAAACAAATATCCCGGTTTGCTTTCGCACAGCAATGTGCGTTGGTTGTCAAGAGGGAAGATGCTCAACCGTTTTGCAGAATGCTTGAATGAAATCCGGACTTTTCTTGAGATGAAAAGCATTAAGCATCCTGTGCTAACCCATCCTGACTGGCTCCGGAAGTTTTATTATCTCTTGGACATGACTGAACATCTAAATCGGCTCAATGTGAAAATGCAAGGAATTGGAAATACAATTCTATCCCTTCAACAAACTTCAAGTCACCAAATGCAAATTTGGAAACACTTGAACGACAACAAGCGGAGCTCGCGATCAACCGTGAATGGACAGAAATGAAAAAACTTTAACCCGCAGATCAGTTGATTGTCAAAACTTGGGACGCGCTTCCTGTTACTTACCACACATTGAAAAAAGAGTGTGTATTGTTGTATTGACCATGTTTGGATCCATGTATGCATGTGAGCAGTCGTTTTCACACTTGAAAAACATTAAGACAAACCAGCGATCTCGTTTAACAGATGAAAGCCTCAATGCCTGTATGAAACTTAACCTCACCAGTCACCAATTATCAACCAGACTTCAAGACCCTCAGTGACAACAAGCAGCATCAGAAGTCACATTAAATGTATATTGGGACATTGTATGTTTTGACTTTTGAGTACAGATTCGTTTTATGGCTCGCATAGAAAAAAAATTGAAAATATATTCGTTTTATGAAAGGTTCCCGACCCTGGTCTATGATATCAAATGCATAACTAATAGGCTTGTTCAAAGCAATGATGTAAATAATACCACATGCAAAAAAAACATTCATTTGGCATTATGCAATCCCGATTAAAACCTTATGATCTGTAACAAGTAACAGAGCTAACTAACAACAACATACTTTATGACCAATGTCACATATAGGCTACATGTAATATGTATGTATAAGATGCTGCTTGTTTAGCAGTATTGGATTGCATAATGAAAGACTAGTATATCTTACCTTGAACAGGAGTGACTTCTTTATCTGTTTTATCTTTTTGTGGAGTTCTGTCAGCCTATAAGATGACAACATGGAATTAATTATTACGTTCCATGACTATGGTCTGGTCTGCAAAATGATACAAATACTTACAAATTTTCTATCATCTTTTTCGCGACTTGAACTCCTATCGCTTCTGTCTCTACTACGATCAGGTGAATATGATCGAGAACGATCCCTGGAAAATATGAATATTTTAGATGTTTCTTAGGAAGATTCTCCAAAACTAGTTAGGTTAACTGGAATTTCACAGTTATTCAATTCAGTATATATCGATGTGTTAGATTAAATAAAAGTATGAAAAGTGTATACTGTTTTTCTGTAAATTTCCGATAATTGGAATGAAATGATGACTTGTTCGATACAAAATTTAGAGTATTCTTAAGTCTGAACACTTCAAAAGTTATAAAATACCTGGTGGGATACAGACAACTGTAATCATCTTTGCGTAATTATTGAATTTTGAAAATTGTTAGGAACTGGGAATAAGGATAGGAGTTATGGTAATAGCTGAAAAGCTATACAATCCTGGTACAATATGAAGATGTTTGCCATAATGCAGTGAAAAATAAATACCTGTGTCTATCATCTCTGAATCTTTGTGGTCTGTAGTTTTGATTTCTAAAAAAAATAGCTTTGAAATCACCAATCTCAATAACAATCTATCTATTTATTTATCTCTCAGTGGAGATCTTAAAAACGATTTATGTCAAGCAAGATAATGTATGTCAAGTACGCTGTCCATTTCATAATATCACATAAAAAATGACTTTTAAGGTAGTAATTTGCACCTGTTGTAATATCCTTGGTTATTCCAGTTGTTATTATATCTTCCTCGAAAATACCCACGAGGCTGATAGTAATTGTTGAAACGTCCTCTGCCCCGATTGTTTTGATAGTATCCTGGTAAAATTTAAAAAACATCAATTAGTTAGGTTGTTACCGTGCATAAAAATATAAAATGGGTCATCATGTGACAACGATTTTTACATACATTTGGCACTAATTTATTGATATCCTATATACTATACAGAACACATTCTGAAATAATCTTTTCAAATATAGAATACATTTAATTCTCGCTCTCTTGATAGCAAGTCGTGAGATGTTGTAAGGCTTACAAATACAATATATCATGATCTAGGTTTACATCACTCCTCTAGCTCAATCTCCATTAACACCAATCAGAAATAGTTTTCGAAAGTAAGTTTAGGTTACATCCCACTGTAGGCTTGCACGTAATTTACAGATTTACGGAATTATTTCGAATTATGGAAGGGAAGTTACGAATTACGTAAAGTCGTAATTATTGGTCGAGCGCTTTCGCGATTGAAATGAGCTCTCTTCAAAATCAGTCAATTCCGTCAATTGTAAAAAGTGAAAGTTTAAAAAGTAGAAGAAGTTAGAGCTTCGGTATTTGCAGCCGTTTTTCTCACTTTTCTCTCTCTTGCCAATACGTCACCGTGATAATTAATGTCGCGCTTATCAAACAGCAATATGACGACGGAAGAGAATTTGCGCAATGAACCAACGCAACTTCGTCTTTTCGGCATCAGTAAAGCGATTGAGACGGCAGAGAAACAATAATATGACGGGACTTGTCCTTGCTCAATATGTTTCCCACAATGCCTCGCAATATTTCGGCCAAATATAATTAACTGTTTTTACAAAATGCGGCAACTTATTTTGATTCTTGAATACCACCGATACTCGGCCAAATTTGTGTCAATCTTGGCCGATAAGATCGTCGACTTGAGTTAGAAAAATAAGTTAATTTTTTCATGAGTGCAAAATAAATGTCAGAATATGCATTTTTTGCGATATACCTTTGTATTTTCGGAAAAGGCATGTCATATAAGTACGGTATTTAAATTATGCGCAAATAATTAATATTTGATCTAAATTTGTCGCAAATAATGTTACAACATTTAGGCCGCGAAATGATTTAATGTAAAATGAAGCATGGTAATCGGAATAACGTCAATAAGTTGGCATCAATAATTATTATAAAATGCTGACTAGATAGTAAAGTCGAATAATGTTAAAAACGGTGCAATAACAAGTCTTCGTCGCGAGGCAAGCGCAAGTATAATCAAACGAGAGAATACGCTCGTCGTGGCATTGATAAATTGGAAACCCGACATTTTTTTTAATACGATTTTAAAAAAGTCTATCGTTTCATAAATATCCGTATACCAGTGTCGGTAATGATAAAATTGATCGCATAAAATTGGGACGGTTAATTTGCGAAGGTGATAAAGGAAATCAAAGCTAGCACAAAAGATAAAAATCAGTATAAAATTAATTTGAATTCACTCTTGTCTTAACATCTGTCGCCGGCGTGTAGTACTGCCAGGAATATGAAAACCCAAACTCGATGTCCCAATCGAAAATGAAGTGGATTCAATTGGTTGTTATGATAGGTTCAAATGTGTGAAAAAATATCGCAATTACGGGGTCATTACGTAATCGATTTGGCCGTAATTACGGAATAGATTTTTGTCAATTACGTGCAAGCCTACATCCCAGATTAAAAAGGTTGACAGTTCAAAATTTTGTAAACCCGGTTATCATCACGCTTCCAATTATCTACAGTGTATTGATTTCAGCCTTTTTTCATACGAAAAATATAGAATTTCACAGAGTGAACAACCAGGTAAAATTTGAGTATATTGCACATTACTGCTCTGTGCAGACAAATGAATCGAGGAAGTATATTGTGTCAGCCGATGTATGTTACCTCTATTATTGTTATAGCGATATCCCTGATTGTTGTTATAATAATAGCCTTGATTGTTTCTATGTTGATATGCTTGTCTTCTGCCATGTCGATCTCTGTCATCATGGGGTGAGTAAGAACGAGATCTGGAAAAACAATTGCAAATTGCGAATAATACATGCACAGACATAATTAGCGAATAATCACTGGCCATTGTTCATGCATCTGTATATCAATGTTCACAGTTCTAACCCACAAAAAGTAATGGTGAATATTTGAAAACTTACAGCTCTAGTACAGACATGGGCAAAGTACGGCCTAGGGCCAAATCCGACCCATTGAGTAAATCAATCTGGCCCGCCTGATGCTGCCACAACCAAACTGAAACCCAAATGTTATGTTTTAGCTAAAAATAGTTCAAGGAATTTGTCGAGATTGCGGTTAAATTTAGTTTTGGCACTAGGCTTATTGTTTTCCACCTTTGCTTTATAACACTGTAAATATTGTTTATGAAGTGTAACTTTTTGCGTCACACTTACATGGCCCGCCAGACTGGGTGGGCAAAATTTTTGGCCCCTGCTTCAAAATCCTTGCCCACCCCTGCTCTAGTATGTGGCCACTTAATTATGATATATTCAGAACAAAATTTAACATAAAAATTTGTCACGAAGGTAACAATTAATATCAACTGACAGTAAACAACTTACCTCGATCTGCTTCCATCCTAGAAAAGAAAGAAGAAAACATTTACTTCTATGTTTAGTTCAAGTTAATAAAACAATAAATATTATTTTGCCTATTATTTCCTATTTAAATAATTTTACAACCTCAATGACAATATGCTGTGTACAACATCCCTACCATTATTTGCAGAATATTAATGAAGGCTATTTTGTTTAAACAGTTTCAAATATATATAATTAAAAACTAATAAAAAAATAAAATTAATAAAAAAAATAAAACTTGATGAAAAAATTAAATAACTGTCAATTTGCAACCCAGTTATCAAAAACATAAAAACTTACCCTAGAGTTACTTCGATATCTTGGTGCAATCACTCGTCTAAAATATAAACAAGTTAGTTTTAAAATCGTTTGATCATGCATTAACTTGAATAAGCTTGGAAGCAACAACTAGCCAGATCAATAAAATGTATTGAATATTTTATGTTCAACAGAGAAAAATTCACCTCTAATACCTATGTCCTAGAAGGTTTGTATATACTTAAGTTGCAATAAGATGTACTAAAGTACTGTATAGCATAAAATATAAAAAAGTATAAAATGAGCAACATATGACAAGCCTTGTACCAATAAATTATCATTATCTTGAGATAGGGAGCCTCCAAAAACTAATATTTCACCTAATGAACTATAGAAATTAGCCTCATGTATATTGAGCCTATCATTCACATAGCAAGAAATGTTTCTGTGTGAATTTTCCAGCAACTAAGCAGACTAATAAATTGATTTTACACAAATCATGCTAGGCATATTAAATGAAATAATCAAATTGCTGTAAAATCAATCAAGTATTTATACATTATTCATACATTTGAGCGAGATTCTATTTTATGGCATGTTCAGAATATATATTATTGACCAACCTGTCGCTGCTATAAGCAGCTGGTAATGACTTCGATCTTGACCTTGAGCGAGATCGAGAGGAGCGAGACCTTGATCGAGATTTTGATCTTGACTTTTGACCTTTACGCCTAGACTTTGATTGGTCACCAGAATCTGAAGATGCAGAACTTGAACGTGATGGAGATCTTGATCGTGATTTGCTACCTTTGCTTGCTTTCGATAGATTTGATACATTCAGAGAGGCCTTTAAAATAATTGAAAAGAAATTTGATGTTAATATATTTATTTGTGTGATAGAACGTTCCCATTTTATAGGCAATATTCCTCCGATCTTTGGCACAGATATGCTTAGTAGGGTATGTAATGTACATAGAGATTTGAGCCTCAGAATTGGGAAAAATGAATATATCACCGAAGCAAAGCTATCAGACTACTATTAGGAAAAAGAGCATAATAATATTTTTATTGCTGTTTTCCATTGAAGTGCAAAGCGTATATTCCCTTTATCTCCTAAATTTTCACCTTCTGAGGAGACTTTTCATTCTTGTCATCCATGGCTTCATCCTCCTTCTCATCACCTCCTACTTTCTGTTTCAAGCGATCAGACAAACGTATCTTTGTCATGTGAACAACAGTTCTTGGCCCTGTAACACAAATTGAAATGATCAAATTAAATTTAAATAGGCCGAATGGTTCGGAGGACTAAGTTTTAATAATGTAGGCTCAGATATATCTCTTGTACCAGTAAAAAATATATATTTATGACATGATGACTCCCTTGAATGAAAAGCCTTCCACGCCATGAAACCCAGATTTAATGAATGGGAAAGAAAAAATGGAATTTTTCCCGCATAAGATCATTAGATACCTTTGGCATATTCCGTTAAAAAATTCATATGAAGTTTTGTAAACAGATCTTTGGTAAAACAGTTTGGTAGCCCTGTTTTTCACTATTAATATTTTCATTATAGTCATCTAACCTTTTACATGAACTTTGAATTTCCGAACAGATTTTTTCGTAATATCAACTCTTGGTTCTTTATCCTCCACTACAGGTGCTGGTTCGATCTCACCAGAACCAAAAAGTGAAACGAATCTTTCCTCATAAGAAGTTGAAGTAGCAAGGCTAGACTTTGATCGAGCTTCAAAATCAACATGATTCAACAAGAGATCTGCCGCTTCTCCCTTGCGACGTGGAACCATAGCACGAATGTGTGATAGAGGTGAATCTTCAGCAATGGTTCTGAAAATGTCATAACAAAAACATGTTATTCAAAATTACTGAATTAGACTAATCGCAGGTTAAAATCATGTGCCGACCACCTCAACCAGAGTGTAATGAATGGGACTGGGCATTTTTAAATACTGATAATTTCAGAATCGAATTGAATTTTTTTTTGTAACGAATCGAAAGATGAATACTTGAAGGATATTCAATTGTAAGTGACTTTTAATCGTGATGGGTCCTCCAGGCATAAAAATTACTGGAAAAATGTAATGCAAAATGTAAATAACTCACTAAAAAGGAGAGTCATATGTCAGATTATCAAAAACAATTGGTGGAATACCCTTTGGCGGCCAAATAAATGACACGATGGCGAAATTGAAAACTTTTGTTGTCTGAACCGATTCGAATAATTTACTATTCGAATCGATTTGAATAATTGATTCGAAAAGCCCAGTCCTAATAATAAATTGGGTGGGTAATGCCACACAGGGAAGATTATGATCCTTTCAAACTGTAGCAGCTACTGCTTGTGCAGAGTCTAGTTTGGAGTGACAATATATAAATACGTAGTTACTCATAGTATATAAAACTATATATAGCATTTTGTGGGAAAAAGCAATTACAAAGAAGTCTGATGCTTAATAAAACTGAGGAGAAGAAGTTCCCTACCTGGTATCTTAATATTACAAAATCTGAGTTTTGAACAGAATCTACGACTAAAAACTATAAAGCGGGCTTGATAATTTAACTATATCAAGCATGTCAAAATTTGTTGTTGTAGGTTGACCATGTAATACAGGGTTGTGATAAGTAAATTAGGCAAGTTTGCAAAGACGAGCGGCCTCCCATAATGCAAGAGGCTATGAATACCTATGTGACCTGTTGCACTGGAGCAACACATTCTTTCCCTAACAATCTAAAATACCAAAAACATTTCCAATAGGGGATCTGAAAACTAGAACAATTGGATAAGAAATTTTATCACAAGCTCACCTAGTAAGATCATCTTTCTTTGATTTTTTCTTATCCACTTCTCGGAATCCTTTCAAATCTTTTTTGGACGTAAGTCTCATATTTTCCAACGATGTAGAATCAAATTTCTCCTAGATATATATATATCAGTAAATATTAAGTCAGTAAATCTAATATATATATATTAGAATTTAAAATGTTTACTTTTTGTTTCTTTTCTTTTTTCTTCTTTTTCTTAGAAGTTTGTGAATCGTCTTCATCAATCTCTTCTTTCTTCTTCTTGTTCTTTTTCTTCTTCTTTTTCATCTCTTTCTTACGTTTTCCAGTATTTTCATCATCATCAACATCGTCATTTTCACGACTCACAGATCGAGAAGATTTACTCTTCTTTTTGGATTTTCTGCTCAAATATTAATTTTTTTAATTGGAAATTAAGCAGTCAACTCCAAGACAAGTTGAAATTGTATGGTGCCAAAAGGATGTAACGAGCCAATTTTATGAAAACTATTTCACTTTTTGACAAATATAAATACTGAATTATTTCTGTTGTCCTCGTATTAAGCTACTTGCACCTGTTTCTTACAACAAATATCCAAAAAAGTGTTATTCTATTCTAAAAAAACAAAAAAGCAGAACAATAGCTGTTTCATACTTGAAATCAGTCTATAACAAAAGTATCTTCACAAAGGAGCTGTAACTTATCCTCAAAAATGATTCAATTTTGAATTATTAGACTTACTTGTCACTTCCAGCACTGATTGTTCTCATTCTTGGAGGACGCAAACCAATATCTTCTTCTTCTTCCGAACTACTAGATTGATCTTTCCTATGGAGGTAAATATTACAAAATCATTGGAGTTTTCTATTGATTACTCGAGCGCCAAGATGAAAATGTGGTTTTCTATGAATTATTTCAGGCCGGATCTATAATGCATATGCGCATAACATCGTTTCCAGTACAATACATCAATTTAACTTTAGACAAATTGTAAAAAAATTCATTTATATAAAAAGAACCAAATCTAGACCACAGATGGCCCACTGTTCACATTTCACATCCCACCTTTTCAATATCTTACCTCCATGTATGGTAACTCAATAATTGATTTGATCAAACACATATCCATAAATTACCAACATAATATTTCAAAAAAATTTGCACATTTTTAGTATTTTATAGATATGATCAACATTTTCATCCATTGCAGACAAAATTGAATAAAACCTGAATAATGTTGAAATGTTAATGATTATTGGGGAACATAATATGTGGTATCTCAAAAAATTCCGATTTCGCTGAAATGGGTCGAAAAAAATATATTAATTAATAATACAGGCAAAAAACCTGTAATATTTCAAATTGATTATACCAGATTGAACCGTTTCCTAAACAGCATATTATTCTTACTCTATTTGTCAATTAGGGAAAATAAATATGAAATCCAATCCCATAAAAGTATAAATGATCAGTGCTAATTTTTTATTATGCCATTTAAACTTGCAAATTTTCTTGAAAACAACATTTTACACTTTTTATAGTTGTCAAGAGAATCCCTTTAACAATAAAAGAAAAGTATTTTAGATTAGAATTTCTTGATGATTCACAATAATTTATTAATATATAAATTAAAAAACATAAGACTCACTTTTTTATTTCAGTTGACTTTTTACTTTGTCCGTCGGCAAAACTATCAGATCCCCGGGTCCAATTTTGGCTTTGCAAAGGAGCAGCCTGAGATACTTGAGGTACGGCAGCTACAGGCTGACTTGTCACTGGCATAGCAGATATCAGTTGTAACATTTCCCCATTTGGACCAACAAGCACTTGCGGATTACCTTGAACAGCTTTGTAACCTGAAAACAATTTTTGCAAATTATTGGAACAGCCAAAAAAATGATTGTTTTCAGATAAGATTAGTATTTACCGTAAGTAATAATAGCAAAAATCTATTTCACTTGATTTATCAAAAATATTCTAACTTTAGAGAAGGCTATGAAAATTTAAAATCACACTCTTATTAGGAAATTCTTTTTTGTATTATGATATGTATTCTCAATGGTTGAAACTCCAATAAGGGAACTTTACTGGAGCTGAAATTTCAATACGAGAATCGCCAGCTAAGAAGCTGTTAGTATCTGTCTTGTTTTAATTTCCAAGATACAGAATTTCGCCTTTAATAAAAGTGTATGTACTGAGTTTGTGCCTAAAATAAAAAAAAATAAAAATACGCTCATATTCATATACCTTGAGCTGCAAGCTGTGGTGGGACCTGAGCATATTGTTGAGTCTGTTGACCAACAGCATCAGATGGTTGTGGAATTACCGGTTCCATTGCACTGATCTCCGATTCCATTGGTTCTAAAAAGCAACAAAAAAAAAATAACGGTAAAACAGTGTGAATACAGAGAAAAGAGAGAGCATTGCCTTGAAAACCGCCAACAATCGTCTTTTCTAATTCTGTAAAATGGACAGAAAATTCTCCAAGACAATTTACCAGATGTAAAGAAAAAGGTATATCGGTACAAACACAAAACAAGTGATATCTATATTTCTACCATGCCATAGGTGAAAAAAAATACAAACTATTTATATTCTGTATGTACTCACTTGTTTTCATACAACTTATTGGTTGATAATACCCAGCAAAAATATTATTTCAGTATTTCAATATATAGTATTGCAATAAGCATCATTCAATACATATTCAACATATTTCGCGCGGATATCATATCCCCGAATGTAGATAGATAGGTAGAATATGTCGCCACCAAATATTGTTCGTTTTCCGAAAAGATCCAACCCAAATAAAATGGTGGCAAGTGTGATATTCAACCAATCAACATATAGACAACTCTCAAAAATTGTTTGGATCGTAGCCTTATGGTAGTAGCACTGATTTGACTTGATACAACACTGGACCTGATAAGCTGGTCATCATAAGAGAATTAATTAATATCAAAAGAGTACAAATAAAGGAGAAAAAATAAATATACAGATTTATGAAAGAAGAAGAGTTATATGCAAACATAAGTAATGGTTACATATTATAATCTGCTGTAATGTAACGGTTATTCGGTTATGTGAAAAAAAGGACATAACATAAACGATAAAAATATTGTTTATGAAAATGTATTTAAATAATATTACTGAATAACCAAAAACTAGGGCAAAGTCAGTTATTTGATTCAAAAATTACACAAATTTTACGAATCTGATCACAATCCAATATTTGCATTAGTCCGCAGAAGCCAGTTTTTATGAAATGTATATCAGTAGAATGTAACATTTAACTCATGGAAATAGAACATCGAAATTGAGGAATATTTTCATCTTTTATCATGAGATCTTTGATGATGGATATCCCTGGCCAAACTGGGAAACCGCACAAATATGGATTATATGAATCATTCATGTTACCGAACAATGAAGCAATCTAGAATATTGATACTCAAACTGAATCAAATTATTAGAATATCAAAAATTTTTGCCTCGAAATGATTTATATAATCAGCCATTAGCATGTAAAAAAATATTATTTGCGTCATCTCATAAATACAGCTTAAAGTTGATTAGTATTATAAGGAACTGAGAAGACATACATAGAAAATAATAGATAGCAACAAAGCTAAATAAATGCTTCCTACTTCATATATCAGGCAAAAAAAGTGCATAGAAAAGCATATCTGTGATGATACCTACAAAAACAGTTGAATACAAAACTAGGTGAAAATACTAAATAATTCAAATAAAAGAAAAAAATTCATACCTGGCGCTAATATTTGTCTGGTACTGCTTGTTATTGTTTCAATTTTATTTTCAGAAGTCAATGTTGGAATACTATACTCCTCTTTTTTAACATTGCTGGAACCTAGAAAAATAAATGATGGCATGTGGCATTGAATATACTATTTTGCAATAAAATCGTGAACAATATATTTCGACCGAAAACTGATTCTGAATTTATCATTGTCAAATTTTCATAATCAACAATCTTGGTATTTGGTACAGCAATTATTTTCACATTTATTGGGTCCTTATCAGTTAGTGATATTCTTTTGAATCAAACACCACAGGAGATAAATTTGAGATGGCAAAATCATTTTTGAAGAAATTGTACATTATAAAGATGATTTGTACTTGAGATGTCAGTTAACGGTAAAAATAAATCGTAACCGTTCACTATCTAAAATCGGTTAACTATTAGTTATAACATATATTATAAATGATCATTTTGAAATACCAAATTATATTGATAGGGCATTACAGAGATACTAGTACATCAACAAATTTAATAATTTCATACCATGCGACATACTAATTATATTGTATAAATAAAAATTAATAGTAACATACTCGAGGTCATGGATCCCAGAGAAGGTATTGCTTGTGGTTTTTCCTTCATTCCTAAATCCATTGACTCCTTACGTTTTTCTAAGAATTAAGATGCAAATTTAACATTCGAATTAAGGAGAAAATACATATAAAAATAGGAAAATATTGATATTGCAATATCTAAGCACAAATTAAACATTTGTACTTCTCAGTATTGATTTAATTTTGTCTTGCTATTCTCCCCAGTAATAGCTGAAGAAAATAAATAATCACTAGTTCCTGGAATCGAATGCCAATCCGATATATTTTTCACGTTACCTTCATCCCTTTTCTCTTCTTTTTTGACTTCCTGAGCCCACGTACCAGCAGGTCTAGGTTTGAATCTAGTTCTCACAACTTCCTGCCTCCGTTTTTGTCTTTCCATCTGTAATGGAATTCCAATTAAGAGTTGTAAGCTCTTACCATCAAATTGCAGCAAAAATTGACCCCTTTTTTTCAATTACAATCTTGGTTCAAAGAGAGATTTATAAGGTATATATAATCCACAGCAATACAGCAGAAAATATTTTCATTACGGGAATCACCCTGTATAGTTCGTTCTGATAAACTATTCGAAAACAGCCATATAAATAACATAAATCCATTCCACACTTTAGCATCCAAGTACCGTATTTATTCGCAAATACGCCGAGTTTAAAACTGAAAAAAAAAGTTGCCCAACTAAGGGACCGTCTTATGCGCGCATAACTCAAATAGCACCAAAAATTCGGCTCCTTCGCGCATCGAGACTTTGATCACGCAACGAAATGATATAATGCTGACTTACAGTAATTGCAACAGCTACAAACCATGCTTAATTCTCACGATAAAGAGCGTGCACGCACACACCACACACGCGCTCGCTTGTCTAGGTGTGATTGTCTGATCATAAACGTGACCGCTTGTATTTGATTAAATTTAATTGTATCTTTTGCATAAGAGCAACAGCATTGATCTACCAGCCGTCTCGTGGTCAAAACGTTATCATTTGTGTACAAGTAAGAATCAGATAGAAGTTTCAGGTAGAATACTACTCACAGCATTAATTCTTAACAATACAACTGTAATTTCAATCATTTTGAACAACCATTTACGGTAACTGAAAGGTTGAAATAACATATGAATATGATGTGATAAATACTGTGCTGTACGTCCATGGGTTAGGCAACAGCTGTGTTTTCCGTTTTTTCCTGAATCAGCAAAACGGAAGGGTCATAAATCAATCACTTTATTTCGTGGTAGCCGTTTTCTTTCTGAAGTGCCGTTATCGGGCAGGGAGTGCTTCATCGCACCGCCACGTTTTTGTTTTTATGATTAAGACAAATAACAGCTGGTATACAAAGTCAATTAAATAATCGGCAGACACTTTGGCATACATTATAAAATATATCAGCCCATATATGAAGCTCACACAAATCATGTTTGAGAAGACTTGCGAAAAATAACCAAATTTATGGCCGTGTCCGCTCAGGATATCTCGACTACCTTAATATAAAATAATGGTTGTAAAATATTTTCAATCAAAAACGTCCTCATGTTATACGTTTGGTACTTCAAGTCGGCGCTGATTTAATTCCTTTCATGTTGGTAGTAATTTATTTGTGCCGCAAAGTGCTGTCTTCTATTACGATAAAACAGAAAATATAATAATCGAAAATTGTTTTAATCAAAATGTGGACAGCGGCGCTAGAATGTGTGTGCCATATACAAGAAGGTAGCGAATCGCGATATTTGAATATTAAATTTGAATTGAACATCATTGACTGTGCGCCGTGTTACGATTTGTGGAAACGGCGTATATGCGAATTTTTATAAATTCACTATTTCGAAGCTGTTATTAGGGAGTCGGCTTATCCGCGTGATAGGCGTATAGTCGAGAAAATACGGTACATTAAATGCCTCTATCATTAAAATATACAACTTGACTGAAAATAAATTCTTCTGTTACCTTTTTCAGACTAGAAGTATGATCCCCAGGTTCATAACTTGCTTCATCCAATCCAGGAATTTTCATGTGAGCCTTTAAAGAGCTTTCTAATTTTTCATCCACTCCTGTTTTATCTGCGGTATTACCTTGATTTATGCTTTCCATCAATTGATTATAGCTTTCCGTGGCTTTCTTTGTATACTGACTCGAATCAGGAATTGAATGAGTAGCAGGGTAAGTGGTTACAGGAGGAGGGTAAGAAGGAGGCGGAGGCGGGGCACGTTGTACCTGCTTGACCGGGGCAGGAACAGAGGCAGGAGCTTGCGGAATTGTCGTGCTAGGCTGTATCTGCATAACCTGGATCATTTTACCATCAGGACCCATCACTGAAGTTGGCACCAAACGGATTGGTTTGCCATCAGGTCCAAGGACTTGCATTTCACCTAATACTGGAGCAGGTTGCTGAGGAGGGGCCTGTGGTGGTGGGGGCGGAGGAACCGGAGCTGGATATTGCTGAGGAGCTGTAAAATTTGAGTTAGTGAAAATTTAGTATGAAAAGATGATTCTGAATGAGGAATATCAAGTTTGCTATTTACCTTGTATTGGTTGTTCTTTTGGTGTTGGAGCGGAAGCAGTTTTCCCAATATGACTGAATGGATATTGAACAGCTTGGGTTCTCTCAGAGCTGTAAAAAACAATCAAATTATATTGAATTCATTCACACAAATAATAATCTATTTTTAATAGATAAAATATTACTTTAACAATATTATAAAGTTGTCTGTCTGTTCCAGTCAAAAAGACTTGTTTACACTTTTAAAGCAACAGGCTCACAATACTTCCTATCAACTCCAGATGTTACAACTAGGTAGGTAGTCATTCTAGTCAACATTAAATCATTATAATTTCTGGAAAAATAATGTTATGCTCATAATCATATTAACATTGTCATGAACCCTTGTAACCAATGTCTTTTTATATGAGATTGAAAATAAATAGCATCGAAAAATGGAATTTGTCTGTAATTTGAGAAAATAGTAATATGTATAATCACAGAGAAACCCAAGTTCGTGCATAGAATGATTTTGTTACTTAGATATCAGCATTGTATAACTGATAACTGGCCTGGAGGCTGTAACTTGCCATACGATCATGCCATGCTATCAGCTTTGTAACAAGCAAGAACGACTTTATGTTATTCATTTCGTCTTAAATAGTTTAACTTTAAACTTTCTGAAACCATATTTTATTGGTGCAATAATATGAATCAGACATAAAACATGTATACAGTTGTCATTTTTCTGAACACAAATACAAAGAAACGAAATAATCATACAACATTGTAAAGGTATGATTATGACTAGTTATACACAAAATGAATTATTCATAGTTGTGATGTGACAAAATAATTTCCTGCCATTTGAATACTGTAAGATAGTTAAGATTGGTAAATTAGGCATAAATTCAAAAGAATTCAGCACAAGTTGAACACAAAGTAACATAACACTTCAAAACTCAAACAATCTGATGGTATGATATAATTCATGTATTGAACTAACATGAGTAAGCGAAATTTGTGTATGCTGATAAGGAATGATTATAAACAGACAGACAGTTTAAAACAATGATAAGGTAATTGAGTCTGTTTATGTGGTGTAGCATTCCTACAATGAACAACTGAAGAGCCAGCTACTCCGCTCCAAATCTATTTGTTAGACGACTCACTGCGCTTGGACAAAGCTGTGAATTTTTTTACAACTACATATAAAATTTAGATTTATTTTTTAAAATGCCTAAACTATCTGTGTTTTTAGTTTTACACTGTCACCTAATATATTTATTTATAAATCCTTAATTTGAGACATTTAACATATTAAATTTTATCAACTGGGGGTACTATATGATAAGGTGTTTCGGCGAGAAGTATGTGTACCAATATGAAGGTAACTAATTTTGTTCGCCGACTTTACATCAAGTTGTGTAAAGGGACTGAAGCCTATGGGCTGTGGGGTATATTCACTTGGCTAACACAGACAGTCTCTGAACTCGTAATAGAACTAAAATAGGGGAAATCGGAATAAAATTATGGCCTAACCCTAACCTGGTACACAGACTACGTGAGTGGTACATATTACACATGTACAGAAAAATTTCAGTTTTGTGCAAATTAGTTATTTCATGATAGAACTGTGCGCATATTCAGGCATTCCAACAGGAAGTTCTAAATATATAAAGCTCATTATAAATCAGCAAATTACGTAAATTTCCTGTCTTTGTACATAAATACTAAACCACGAAACATATGTTATTTATTCATACCAATATAAGAATTTTTCACATGATATTTTTTTCTCTAATGTAAAAAAAAATCGGAAATGGTAATGTCGAATGATACATTTTATTTCAATAACTACTGCAATGAAAGGATTCAGAGCTTTCAATTAAAGCCTTTATCAAAATTTTGATGCTCTAAATATATTATCATTATTCATGGAGGTTTTATCATTTGTGTCAACTCATCAATCTTTATTAAATTCCCTACAAGGAGAATTGTGGAGTGGCATACCATTAACATAGTTGATATTGATTATGAATGTATAATTGATTAAAAACAATTCTTAACCGTGGGACTGATTCCTCATTCTGTAAGCAAAAATCAATAATACGAACACATGTACCAGTTTTACCTTAATGAATAATTTTGCTGTTGAGAATATATTTGTATGTTAGATAGAGCAGCTGCTTTATCCTCATCTTGTTTTGTTTCCTCAATATTCCTACTATTATCCTTATGAGCTTTATGTATTGGACTAAATGATGAACTGAAAATAAAAACAGTACAAACTTTAACAATGAATACATGATACTATTTAAAATGGTTATTCCTATGGTTAGTTACCTAGATGTTTCGTTTTCTGTATGATTAAATTACAATGTATATGTTATGATGGGAACAACCTGCATATCCATTCAATTTTTTTATGCATACCACATTGTGTTGCAATGAAATTTTAGTTGCCGAAATTGTATGCAGTCAATTGTAATACTCAATTCAATTGTAAAGGTAATTTTTCAAACCATACATTGCATAGTTGTACCATTTAGAATAAACATTTGAGGTTGCTAAATTATTTTGCTACTTATGTTATTAATAATAAGCAATTAAATTAAATCTGTTTATTTCTAAGTAAAAAACAGTATCAATGGTACAACAGTCAAAGGAAGAGAAATAAATTGTTTACGCCAAACAACCTAAATACATAATATTGATCACAAATGAGCTTTGTTTTTTTTCTCTCCTAACAATCAATTATAATGAAAGTGTTAATGACTCTAATAAACACTAATAATGTGAGAGTTTGTATGCATTACAAGTCAATAATATCATGAAGCACGGTATGCAAATAATATCTGGCAGAAAATGCATTTTCTGAGTGACGTAAAAGAAGATGGCAGACATAAAATTCACCAGTATATGCATTTACTATTAGAAGCCAAAACTCCTATCATAAAGCAATGTTTAATCACTATTTTATTCAGTGAATTTGGTGTTATTGCTGCCATTATTCTTTCATAGGGAAGCCAGATCCTGTTTTGTCCCAACAAGGTATAATTTCTGCAATATAAATTACAACTTTGAAGAATGAAAATATATTATTACACTGTTCTTTTCATATCACATTTTTCTATAAAATTTTTTACATTTACGTTTATATTATTATTTCACATGTTTGTATAAAGTTCCCACAAAGTCATTTCTCCTTGTCTACTTCCTACCTCGGAAACGTACATGGCCCAAACATTCTCAAATGAGATAGTATGAAAGTGATAAGAATTACATACAGTAATCTCTTGCCCCAAATGAAAGCTTACAAATATATTTTGTGGAAAAAACGTTATACTTGTATAGATACAGGTGAACATTTCATTTATTGCAAATATTTTCTCGCAATATAATTAACATACCTGCTTGACGATGAAGCAGAGGAAGATCTAGATTGCTTCAATGAACGTTTTTTCTTTCTTCCTCTAGTCTCCTTTACAGGAGAATCTGCTGTCGATTTTGATCTCTTCTTTTTCTTTGGTTTTGATACGGCTGTTGAATGTTGTGGTGGCAAAGCTTGAGTGCCTTCCAATAACATTTTACCATCCTTGCCTAATTTTTTAGCTTTTGATTTCAACAAATATGCTCGTAATTTGTCATCATCCCATTGGTCAAATATCTTATCCTGAAATATTAATGACCATGTAATGCGGTTGAGTAAATTTCGCGAAGTTGGTATAATAAGAGCATGAATTAAAAAGACTTTATATATATATATATATATCCATATATAGCCCGCCCCATGTTTGATTGTTCCGAAAATATGAGAAAAAGGAAAACCAATATGCAAAAGGATCAATTCCAAATCAATAATGATCATACGCTTCTCAATACCAATTCAGCGCTCTACAAAATCACAATAACAGATGCACTTTGAAATATAGACTCGGAAATTAAGTACACAAGCTTATGAATTATAATTGGGTTCTGTACTGTGAAACCATTACTTTCATAGCAATAGTAATTTGGGTACTCCCGTAGTGTGTGTACCAGGTTAGGGTTAATTTTATTCAGAAATTTCCTTATTTTAGTTTTATTTCGAGTTCTGGGAATGTCTGTGTTAGCCAAGTGAACATACCCCCTGGCAATAGGTTTCAGTCCCTTTACACAACTTGATGTAAAGTAGGCGAACAAAACTAGTTACCTCCATATTGGTACACATACTTCTAGAACACTATAATTTGTGTATGAGCTAGAGATGCAATAGAAAGAGTATAAACTAATTTCTAGATTGTAATTAAATCATGTTTGTCCAGATGGACATTTGTATGTGCAATTATAATATGCCTCAAATCCAAAACAAAAGATATCAGAAGCGAGCATCTACCTCCTTCAAATCAACATCAATGCTTTCCAACCCTTCATCTTTGTCTTCAACTTTGGGCGAATGTTCCGGCGTCTCCCAACGACTTTTACCAAATGCAGAAGGTGCAGGAACATCAGATGGAGCCTTCGTCTCCTGCTTTTTAACGCCAGTTTCATAAGAATCATCAAGTGACTGAGATGTATCAGGGCTGTTAATACAACGACAAATTATTTTGACACCCGAGATACAAATTAGGTTTATTCTGCATTCTAAAGTAGCCTACCTCATTTTTTGTGAATCTGCTGTTTTCGTTTGCCCATTTTCAGTTTTCTCTTTTGATTCATCTTTGGCAGGACTATTGTCTCTTTTTCGTGGAGATTGACTTCTAGATTTGGATCTTGATTTTGAACGAGACCTGACAGAGTACAATAAATATTTTAATAAAGAAAAATTATTTTACCTATAAAAATGTGAAAAAAAATACAACAAACCTCCCAGAACCACTGTATGATCGACTCCTTGTTCTTCTCCTTCGTTTATCATAAGAACGTGATCGACTACGACTTCCTGACCTTGACCGTGAATATGATCGAGATCTGGATCTATAAATTTGAATGTAAAAAATTGAAAATTGCTATATCAAACCTTTATAAGCCAACAAAATGAAGCAAACCGATATTCATATAAATTACTAGATTACAAAAATCAGTTGAATATCATCAAGTCTTTGACCATTAAAAGACATGGGAAAATCAAGGATTGATATTGAAGTACCAACCTCCCACGGGACCTTGATCTCGAACGAGATCTATCGCTTCTAGAATGGTATCTTTGTCTTGGCTGATAATTATTCCACTGGTTTCTGTTTTGCCAACCACCCCGATAGTAATTCCCTCTTCCTCTATTCCATCTAGAAAAAATAAAAAAATAAAAAAGGTTTGAATAACATGACTTCAATATTTCATTCAAATTTTCCTTCGCTGTTCAAGAAAGGCTCAGATATATAGGTCTAGTCGAGACATATTGCCTATTCAGTTCATTCTACATCCTGCTCGTATCACTAAAGATTATAGGCCACATGAAATTAATAGACTAAAAAACAACACAATGAAAATGGAAATCTCGATCCATATCCAAATATTCTCTTCTCTCGGTTTTCAAAATTTTCTTAATTTCAGATAATTAAAATTGATTCAATAATACGACTCGAAGTTGTTCCGTAGTGAGGTCATTAAAAATTTGCCACAAATTCCAATTTGAAATAAAATATTTTGTACTATAAGTAGTAGCCTCAGTAATACATTCACAACCTTAATAAAACACAAACCTGTTTCCAAAATTATTGTAGTTGTTATATCTTTGAAATCCTCTATTGTTGTAGTTGTTCCTCTGATAATTGTTGTGTTGATAATTATTATTTCTGTTATATCCCATCAAATTATTATTGTTATACAACTTTGGGGTTCGAAGTGAAGCTCCACTTGCTGTTCTGATAGGACTGATGGATTCATCTCGAATATTCCTATAAATTGCAATGGTTTATCATGTTTATATTATATCAGTTATATAGCTTGGCTTTATATAACCAAGAATACACATTGAACCATGTAGAATATTTCCATATTGAAAAAAACGGTTGAAAATTCAAAAATCAATAAAGTTTTTATACGATTACCCAATCCTATTACAAAACTTCCAAACAAGTAAAGTGGATCAAACGTTAACTCGAATGCGTACCACAAAACAGATTGAACATTGAAGATCAATAACCAATTTGGTGCAGTACCCAGGTAGTTAGAGCAGGGGTGTGCAACCTTTGATACAGGAAGGCCAGATACAAATAACTGGGTGAAAAGCGGGCCACACCTTTTTGACAAAGGCTTTCTAGAAGTTGCTAACACATGAATTCTGATCATTGATCTTATGACATGCGTTGTTCGCTTCGCACAAGCTAGTTGTAGGGCATTGTAACGTCATATACATAGATAATAAATTGGACTCTGGTAATAGGTTTGCAACGCAAAGGGATCGGAAATACTAACACAGACCAGATTAAAACTAAATTAAAAAACTTATTTCGCAGGCAGCACACCATTCAAAATTTGCACTTTACCACATGCTGCTCAATTTTCCCTACAGGACACAGGCAGCACACCCCTGGGTAACATCATTGGTACTTATGGTTTGAGACTTTAGGTTTGAACACAATGCCAACTCACCTATGGTGTAATGCAGTGAAATAAATTGGGTAAGCGATTCCAAATGAAAAAAAAACACTGTGGTTTTTTTACACAGCATTGTTAATAAGAACCAAGGTGTGAAAACAACCTACCTTCTATGTGATCTCTTGTGTGACGGACTTCGACTGCCCGAACGTGATCGACTTCTTGATCTTGAAGACATTTCTATTGTTTGGTTGTAATCGATAAATTAGTGAGAATGATAATTCATCTCATATTAACTAAATCTAAATAGAGCACAATACATTTCAGAACATGTACAATCCTATACTAATATAAAGCGATAAAAGAAGGAAGAATGACAAGATAGTCTACAATAGTACATGGCAATCATTCAATCGATTTTAAAATTGAATATCTTCACTTAATATTACAATCCAATAAAGCTTGTTGATAACGAAAATGCCAAATCAGCAATTGGTGATCACCCGAAATAAACATACATAAGATAGAATCAAGCTCACTGTGTGAAAGTAAACAATGTATAGTATGCCCAGATGTACTTCCTCAGAACAGAGGCCAAATGATATGTGCACATTATAATATTGTACAACTGTTTATAGAAAATAGTCTTTATACAAATCTTAATCATTGGAATAACGATTGAGGTTGACTAATAAATGTCTGCTTTCACAGAATGAGCTGGACTCGAAATTGGTATGTTTTTAAAAATATAGATCTAAAACAAACATAACCCATAATTTTGAATTGTATCCATAACTTTCGATCATCATAATGCATTTCTAAAATTCTTAAATTCCAAATTGACTATTATATCACAATATATGTTTTATACTATATTCAATTTCGTTGAGCATTTCCGAATTTATAATTTTTAAATCCATTATGATTAGTCAACCATTTTACCTTCAATTAAACTACAGAAATCTGTAGAATCAAAATAAATCTATTCATCCAATGGATTCAACAATTTCCTATAGTACTAGTTCAAGCTTAGCTGAGATTTATACATGGCTTAAACAACAATATAGTGCAATTTAACATGATCTGCTGAATATGAAATGCCACAACAAAAATAATCACCAAAATTGTATTTACATTTTAAGTATATCATAGAATAGCAGTGTATTATAGGAGAATAACGAGAAAAAATCTACTCAGAATTAAAAAAAAGAAAAAAAAACAGATTGGGGCCTTACGGGGAAGCCTTGGTAAAATCTTGGACATAATGACTTTTAAATGTGTTGTGACCATTATATAATTCCATCCAAATATTACATTAACCAAAAAATATACTGAGACTTGTCTGAATAACACTTTATATTTGATAGAATCATAATTAGTCATTTGACAGAATAATTATTGCATGCATATTGAAAGACTGTTAATTAATCGCAAAATTATATGGTTGGTTCTAAAGTGAATTGACCACATAATGAGTTTTCTAATTTTAGCTGTGTACAAACAATTTTACAATCAACATGTGCCGGTCCCAGCATAACATTTCATTAAAATTTGAAGTCATTATTTTAATAAATACCATAAATTAATTAAGCCTTCACATCTGAAACAAAATTGTTGTTATATTAAACTAAAGTACATATCAAAAGATCATTAATGTACTATCAATTTAACTACACATTATATCTTTACCTTTAAACTGAATGTTTATTATGGCAGTATGGCACATTCAACATTATATGACAGGTATGGTAGAATCAACACAATGATATATAGGAGTAAAACAGTGCCACAAAAATTAATGTTGCTAGGAATACCGAAGAAAATATACATCAGCAATCCCCCATAATTAAGGCTAATTTTCAATTCATTAAACCATATAGATATGTTTCACACTCATTTATTACAATCAATCTTAATATGCAGTTAGGCTTGAAATACTATTATTTATAAAATGAAAAGTGTGTGTAAAGGCTTCTATCTATCCTGTTATATTCTGATGTATACACAAAGTGCCAGAGGCTATTTCATATACATGAACAGTAACGTGAAACCAGAGTTATATATACGGTAGTTCAACAAATAGACGTTTACAATCCTAACAATGGCAAAAGCTGAAGGGGGAATACCTGGTATCCCAACCAGAAGAATATGTCATTCCAGGGCTTTAATCTTAATGAAACAACAATTCACACAGTCCAATCTTCAACAAAAATTTGTAAGCACATGTAGCGAAAAAGAAAATATACAAATAATAGCATACGTACTATTACTAAGTTGTATACTAATTAAAAAGCTAATTGTTTAAGAAAATTAAATCAAATAACAGGCCAAATCCGAAAAAATAATACTTATTTATAAATTCTGCAAATATTGATATTCTCATATTGCTAATACAACTTTAATTATGCTATAATGTTTATTCTATTACAACAACTCGTGCATTTTCTTCATCACAATCCTGTCCCGAATAGCGGAGTCTACGAACACTCATCCAACACACCATACCTTTCATCATGAGCACAAATGAGATGAATACAAATGACCACCAGATGTATTCATGTTGACTGATGAAGTAATTATTACAGCAGTCAGAGTATTTAATGTAGGTCAACCATTTTATCATAGACATGCCAAATCCAGACATTGATCCATATCTACCAGCTAAATTATACATAATCAAGTAACCAACAAACAATCCTATCCAGTTAAAGAGAAATGCAACCAAAAATGCAAAGATGAAAAGACAATCAGTGCCAATTTCAATTCCATTCAATCGTGGTTCATTTGAATGCATGGAATCTGACAAATGGAACATTTCGTCGATCAGCTTGAATCGTGCCTCATCTTCTTTTTGTTCTTCTACATCCTTGTATGATGGCAAAGTAGTCGCAGCTTTATATGATGGAGGGACAAAAGTAGCTTCTCCAGTCCATTTGGGCAGATCAGAAGTAGCGTCCGCTGTGGTTTCATCTTGTTCTGGAGCATTTCTTGATGTTGATGCTACATCACTGTAGCTGGGTGGTTGATCTGATGATTCGACGACAGGTTCATCATCGGGTGCCGATGGTAAAGGTGTATATCTTGGAGAGGAAGACAATTCCCTAGTCATTTTATTGTTAAACACTAATGGAGTATTTGAATACCCTGTAGAAAAGAAAAGCGAATGCAAATTTAGTGGACAATTTGAAAAACACTATGAAACACTACTAGATAAAAACAACACATTATAACAGGCTATGGGTCTCATGGTAGAGCAATATATCAGACCAGAAATACTAAAATGTTCCTTGTATACAGGGATTGTCAATATCGAATATTTCACTATTTCGAAATAATTCGAAATTATTATTTTCGAATATGAAATTTCGAATACATTTGAAAATAAATTCAAGTAAGGGAAGCTCATCTTAGTGTATGAAGGAATTTGCATGTAATAAACAATGGAATAACCGTTATCTACAAACCGGCTGCCGAACATATTATGTCAGTATGTTCGCCGATTGCTGCAATATTTTATAGTAGTATGCTTATTTATTTTTGTAATTACAAAAATACATCATTAATAATTATAATTGAGCAGTATGCCATACATTTTGTGTCCACAGATTGCCGTGGTATTTTAAAGTTGTAACACTTCCATTTTTCCGTAAGACGACGCAACCATGAGTTACGTTAAATACAATTAAATTAATGCGGCTATGCGGTGAGGCATTTTAAATGCTGTTACCAGTCATGAATTTGAATATTTTGCGCAACAGAAAATCATCCTAGTTAAAAGTCCATACTTTCAACTATCTTTATCAAAATTATTTGCCAAAAGTGAAGAAAAATATAAACTATTTTTCTGTGAGTACGAAAATACATTTAAACAATTATTTATAATCGGGCAGTTTTCCGCACATTTTATGTCCACAGATTGTCGCGGTATTTAAAAGTTTTAATGCTTCTGTTTTCAATGAGTACAAAAATAGAAATAAAAATCAATTACGATAGCGCAATTTATCACAAAATTTATCTCCGCAGATTGCCACAGTATTTTATAGTGCAGTAGTGATGCTTTTATTTTTTCGTATGTCGACGCAACCATGAGTTACGTTAATTAAACAAAATTAAACTTTTTAAATGTTGGTAGGTTCGACTAATTAACATCAAAATTAGACAGATGCATTGTAGGTCAGTACTGCAGTAGGTTGACTACTGGACTAGTTCAGTAGTTACAGGCAGACAGGATAGGTCGTACTAATTTCATTATACAGCACAAATACTGGTACAGCGATATGTAAATGTCTGCATCGCAACACCTACTGACCTAGAGACCTAAACACTGCAGCTGAACACTGCAACTGATACGGTACCGGTACCGGTAAGGTACAGTAGTCTAAATGGCAACTACAAATAATACCAAACCCCAAAATCCTGAAATACTGACGTGAGCGTAAGCCAAAATAAGTTTCTAGGATCTTGCTTCTGATCTTTGCAAATGAAATCATATTTGTTTTTAGTGAAGCACATTTTACTGATTCATAAATAAAGAAATACTGCACCATTCCGCTGCCATTGCGGAACCGAACAAATCAACGCAGACGGTAAAAAATAGAGAAAGGCCTGCAAACAGCGGAAGAAGGGATCACGTGACCCAATATTATATTGACTAGTTTAGAAATCTCCTGGTGGTGGCTTATGGGCACGGTTCATCCGTAAATATATACTACGGTACATCATAAGAGGACCAGGGTTATGGGAAGCCAAACAGGCACATAAAAAACTCACAGTGCCTATTTTTTATATATATTATAGTGAATTTTTGTCTGTGTTCAAGAGAGGTTTAGGCATTCGTATTCGCCATGGTATAAAAATATCGCAGCTTTTATGACGCCATAATACGAATAAAATATACTCAAAAATGAAGTGAAATTGAAATTCAGCATATTGTTCAGGAATCGTTTCAAACGTATAATCTTGATCAAAAATGGAAATAAATACCGAAAAAGGAGAGAAGAATAAAAGAGGCGGAAAGGTGAACTATAACATAACATAGAGCAGGGAATAGACTAGTTCTTAATTAAACCAATGACATATAACAACAATATTAAACTTACCTTACAAACAATCTATAAATCTATACTTCATACTCAAATTTAATCAATTTTAATTATAATGTCAAGTTTCATTTTGCTGTTAGAACAATTTTATTATTCATTTTAAGACGTCAAATATACTACGCAGTTGGACCAGCTGAACAAATATACTAATTAAGTTATTATTAATTATAAAATTGACAATATAGCCTACACTTGTTTTAGTTTGCGGTATTTATTTACATTGAAACATTGTAAATACACCAACAAATATTGTCCATTTTTTTTCTAGAAATGGAAGAATTTCAAAACCTTCGTGCAGATGGTGTTTTGTTTGACATGTATTTTTCCGAAAGTAAGTTTTTTTACAAAGTATACAGTCAAGAGGCATGTAGACTTCGATTGCCTAATTCAATTATAAGCAAATAAAACTACTCGAGAGATATTACAATGAGGGTTTAATGCGAATATAATTTTTTATTGATGTTTTTATCGATACATTTAATTCAATTCATTTAGAAATCTAAAACAAGGAGAAGAGGAGAGGACCCAGCGGGTGAGTAAAATATTTATAATGTTCTGTCAACCCTCTACCTATATTCTGCTACCCCTTGTCCAACTCCACTTAACTAACCCCGCCTTTTTCACATCTCACTCCCTCCAATCTCATTTCCGGCACCCACGTAATCCTTTCACATATGCCCGGAAACTGCTTTTTACCCCTATCTGCTTACCTCATTATTTACTCATTACATGTGCTGCAAGTTATCTGACATACGTAATTGGAGATTTCTTTCCCCAAATAAAAATAGGGTACTCCTGAAGTATGTGAATCAAGATGGCGAACACGGGAACGTAGTATGTGTACCAGATTGAGGTTAGGCCATAATTTCAGGTACAAATACTACGGAAGTCACTCGGCTAGTCCCCGAACTCGTAATAGAACTGAAATAAAGAAAATTGGAATAAAATAATGGCCTAACCCTAACCTGGTACACATACTACGTTCCGATGTCCGCTATCTTGGTTCACATACTTCGGGAGTACCAAAAAAAAGTATAGTAAAATTCACTGAAAACTAGAAGTAGTTTGAAAGTGTTTTAAAGAGTGAGAATATTATTAATATCACATTGTATTCAGCAAATTTAATATTTGCGTAACTTTATTTATTCGAATGTATCGAATTACAGAATGCCAGGTCCTAATCAAGGGAGGTGTCGGAAAAAATATCACGGAAGGTATGCGTATGTGGAGTATAAGTATTTAGAATGAGACATGTTGCAAGTATATATATTAGGGCAGTGGTCGTCAATCTTTTGGTGGAACGGATGCCCAATGAAACATTCCAGAGGCTCGCGTTTGATTGCCTATCCATAAATATTGGGTAGATCGTAAGAACTATGAATATATATATATATGTAAAAGAAAACCTAATACTTGCAAAACAAAAAGAACTTTTCACAGCGTACAGAGTGTTATAATAGTGGCAAACCGGACCTCCTGAATTATGCGCACCAAGATGGCGCACAACCTAAACTCAGGTTGTGTACCAGGTTAAGGTTCAGGTTATGCGACATCTTGGTGCGCATACTTCAGGAGTACCGGCAAACCTAATAGGGTATTTGATCAATATATTTATCGTTGAAGTGTGGTTTAATCAATAAGGAAGTTTTGCTAATTGAAATCAAACACCTATGTTTCTAGAATTATTGAATACTTCTTCCAAGGATGCATATATTGATGATAAGAAAGCAGATGTCATTATAGGTATTCATATAAAAATTATCTACGTTTACTCCAGCTCGAATTGAAAGCAAAGGCACTGGAAATCGAAAAAACTTTCAGCTAAACTAAATTCATCAATAAAAAAGCTTGAATAATTTCCAATTTGGGGGTTCAAAAATATGTTTGACAACGTTTGACAAAGATGTAGAGGGGTTTTGGCCACAGAAAAAGTTGTACATGTCGCCAACTAATCTCGTAATTTACATTTAGCACTTTGATTTTCTTTTTGTTTCTGGTATTCAGAATCAGTTGAGAAAGCACCACCAGGTCCCGTAACAAGAGTTCTTCAGACTGGAGGTTTGATATTGATATATATAACGAAATAAAAAATTATAGTAGAACAGAGCACGTCCTAAACAATTTATCTTGAATTCTCATCATTATTAAATTTTTATCATAGTAAAAATCAAAATCTAATATTGATGGCAAAGTCTAAATTTATTAACATATGATGTTTACTACAAGTTAGCTCAACATTATGAAATTAATTACAGGCGACTTTCTTCTGGAGCTTGAAGCCCAGAATTTAGTACAAACTGGTGAGTTTTTAAATAAAGATTTGCAATTCGGTTTTAAATGCTATTTTGTATATATATTGTGACATTAACCAAGAGATTGCGTCGTGCAAGGTGTAAAAACAACAGTAGTTTGTTAAATTGACAGCCTTTCTTGTTACATCACGAGATTTTTTGTTCAAAGTAGTTATGTTACGCCTCAGGACAATCTGTAATATTAGTAAAACAAAGCCAAGCATTACGACAAACTGATTGTTATACAAGTTACCTTGTGTTTGTTTACAGCTTTATACCTTGCCAAAAAGGACTTCATGCTGACTGTTGATGAAAAGGGTAAATGTATTAATATAATCAAATGCACCCAGCAACAGATATTTTCGTGGCTAGCTTTTTCCAGAAACTACATTCAAAACTTACAACTCTATATTAATTCAAACATGACGATCGTACCAATTGAAAAAATACTCCATTGGTTTAATTTTTGTTGTTTTCAGACATACTGCTGCAAGAAAAGGCGAAAGTCATTGTCGACGAAGGTAATTAATTACCTTATGAAGTTGATCTTTGTAAATCAATCCAGAATTTCAATTCAGAAATATATAAATATTTTCAGTAATATTCAACTGATATATATCACATCCGTGCTTATCAATAACATTAAACTATGCCGTCAAATGGATAATAAATATTGTATAGTTTAAATAAAATGACTTCGAAGGCATTGTTTCAACAAGTATCAGGGTTGATAGTTGATTTAAAAATTATGATTCACTAGATTTATATCAGTTACGATATTATTTTTGCCCCAAAGAGTCTTCAGCGCATTTTTCTATTCTCAGCAATTCAAGCGGCTATGAACTATGTCGTCGCAAACCCCGTTGGGAAAGAATCGGGTACGTTGACGTAATATATATACATCAATTTGATGTTTTTGATTTCAAAGATTTGACTGAAGTTACCAATCTTTTATTCAATAAAATTTTGTACGTCTTATATATTTTTTAAAGTGAAGTTGATTTTGACATTTTATCAAATTTGAAAATAATTTCATTATATTTTTCAGACACTGACAAGGACAAATGACAATTCAACTTATTTTGTTGTTTTTATTATATATTGTATATATATATATATTTTTCATAATAAAATTTCAAAATCTCAGATGTCGGTTTTCAATGACTTGTACGTTGGGAGTGAAACATTATGATTTTATATATTATTAGACTTTAGATATATGTATTTTATTGGAGATATTTTGACGGAAGCAATTCTGAGTTGGGAACAACTAGTAAATTTTAATCGGGTTAAACTCAGAACTAGATTTTTGTTTTATTATTTGACATCTTTAATTGAATATTGTAACAGTTCATAACGAACGTGATGTAAGCGCATCTGGGGTCTTTCATAAAAGCAGAACACAGGTCTTATGTACGATTTTGATATTATGACATTGTATCAAACCGACTTCAAACGAATTTTGTGAGAAATTTGCAGCTGGCTTTTTCTTCCGACTACTGCAGCCAATATGTTGAGACAGAAAATGTCATATTTGAAGCATGACTTTTTTCAACTGAGAGCAGTGATTTCCATACCCTTATAGGGGGCGAAAACCTGCCCTCCTAAAATTTCAAACACACCCTATTAATTTTGAAATGTAACACCAAACATTAATTCCCAACTTGAATAAAATTGCATTTGAATATTTATAACGTGGCGAAAAATACTAATGCAGATGGTCAGTCAGATACGTAATACATTTAGGTGCTCCAGAAGTATGCGCACCAATATGTCGTACAACCTGAATCCTAACCGGTACACACATAGCATTTTCACGTTGTGCGCCATCTTGGTGCGCATACTTCTGGAGGTCCGACATTTATATAAGTCAGAAATAGTTGAAAATCGCCAAGATTCATTCCCAAATACTTGGCTGTCAAATTTGTCTTATTCTAGATTAGATTTAGACAAAAACGATGGATATGCTGGAACCAAAACTCATTTAGCTTCTCTTCAAACTGCTTCTAATTGTCTAACCTTCAATTGCCTGTCCTTACTAATTTTTTTTAGCATCTGCTCTGCACTTTCCTTAAATTGCTCACTACTCAGCAAGTGATAGCTTTGTGAATCGTGTTGTTCTCTTCGCTATTAGGACATTGTAACGTCGTAAGCATGGGTAATAAATTGTACTCAGGTAGAGGATCTGCATCGCAAAGGTATTGGAATTGCTCGCAGGTACCAGGTAAACTAAATTAAAAACTCGTTGTGTATTTTTGATGGTGACCGTACATTTGAACCCATGTACATTTGAACTCATGCGTATATCCACGGGTTCAATCTATATGCGGGTGCTAAAACCCATGGGTTAGGGTTAGTGTGAGTTTAACTATCCGTGAAACAAAAAAAATTCCATAGGTGCAATAGCATACAGGTGCAATTGTCATGGGTTCAAATGTACGTGGGTTCAAATGTAATGGAACCATTTTTGATATACAGCATTGCTGGAATACCAAGCTTGAGGCATTGTTGCCGCCGGCCATTGTGTTGTAGGTAATATATTCCATTCCAGAATTTTCAATCATCTCCGTTTTATCAGAAATGCCGAAGTTTTCCCATTATATTATCAATAATGATAATATCGGATTGAGCAGCGCTGAATATAATTTTAGCGCATCGTATGCTCAGAATGATGTCAAATGCATTACCCTCATTATTTTGTGCATATAGATTATAGACCCTAGAGATTTTTTTTCAACGAAACTATATATATATATATCAATTCCGCCAACAGACCTACTTCAAATTGAATTGAAATCCCAGGGGATAAACTTTTGTTATGGAGAAGTTTTGCTTGTTTTATTAAGCTTTACACTCTCCAATTTATTTTTATATTTTCAGCAACTTACACGGTTATGAATATTGTTATAGTAGAAGTCGTTGTGTATAGAAATAAGGTATGTTGATATACGATCACATTCCTGACTTGATTAAAACAAAATTTTCGGTTTCAACATTACTTTTTTTTGTCAGATTCTATAAATCCAGAAAGATAGTAAATGCGCCTCGTATTTAAACTTTGATAATATATATTGTAATTATATTTCAGACATTGGAATCAGAGAGGACTTTTGGTCGCACTCACAGTTCGTTTGTTACCATCAAAGGCTCAGTCATTCGTATTTTTTTAAATAGCAGTGGGCTGACAGCATCACCCGGAATGAAATCTACAAGTATAGACTATTCCTAAAGATCTGGAAAGATCACTTCAATCTTAGTCTGTTGCTTTATTCATAATATACATTGTAAACTGCATAACAATAAGATTTAAACACACGATTGATATTGTGAAAATGATAAACATGTGAATGTTGGTATAAAATAATTACCTTTCTCATTTAACAAACACCACAAAATTCACACACCATCAAGACAGCTATATTAGTAGAAAGTCTGTCAGAATTTCTAGTGACAATATATAAGGCAGTGGCCAAGCCACAAAAATCATTTGTTTAAATCAACAACCAATACCCTGGAATTTAATAAAGACAGATCCTTCATCGTGTATACATTTGAAATATGAGAGGCTATGCACCAATCAATGAAATTGTTAGAAAGATGATGTATACATGGTCCCAATCGTATTTAAATGGCCTCTTCTATTAGGGGGCTATTATTGAATTGATAGAATAATGTATACAGTTGGTGGCCAGATTTACAGGATATATTAGTATGCGTGCACAAAATTTGAATCGTAAAATTGTGGCGAATTAAAAATTGACTTCTTTTCTATCATACCATAGTTTTGTAACAAGCAGCAACACTTGAAATTGTAATTAGATTGGAATTATTACTAGGCCATTGTTCAAGACAATAGATTTGTGACTATTCGAACAATCCATGGCAATTTATTTTGTAATTTCATATCACAATGAAGAAACATGTTGACTAATCTTATGTAACACTTTGATTCACAAAATTAACTCCGCCCAGATTCAATGTAAATCTCCATCTTTGAACCAGAGTAATTGATATGATAAAGAGAGAACTGCTCTGGATAATCATTGGTATATGGTATAAAATAAGTGTAGAAATACATGATTCGGAAAATAATCTTCAAAGACGTTTCCTGTCTGTTAGAACTCGCACAATGCAACCGACTCCTCCTTTGGCGACGACCTAAAACACATATAATATAACTAGGCAGTCCAATTTGGGGTCCCGAATTAGTTTGTTACAGAGTTCATTCAATTCATGGATATGAATGGCTGAAAAGAAAGTTCAACCGAACAAAGTACCATCCTGCGATAGTGAGGAGGGTAGCATTTCTCTCGTACATAATTACAAGCGATGAAAATACAGTCATTTGAATTTAGGTTATCATCATGATTTATTGATCGATCATATATTGACAGCAAACTTCAACATAAATCAAAGCCATAAAAACAGCTGAGTAGAATTGAAATTACGACATCTCAGATCTTAATGAACTTTCCTTCCATATACAATTCAAGAGTACATGATAACATGATAGTACATAATAAAGTATTGTTGTCGTTTCTCCAAAATATGTTATTTAAAATCTTTTACAGTAAAAAATGATACCTTTTCATGCCATGTCAGTAAACTGGCACAACTTTGTCCATCTGGTCCCAGAGCAAAGCATTTGTAAATGTATTTGGCTAAAACATCCAATGTATCAGCATCACATGAATCAACCGCTGACTGTATCTCAGATGCCTTCATGGAAGATAGAACTCTCATAACCAATTGAGCTGCTGCTTCCTATAATTAGTCAATATAGATGGAGGTGATATACAAAATGAATGTTGTTATACTTGCTGTGAATAGAAACTACAATGTCAAAGTTTACAAGATTTTTCACTATTGCTAGGGTCCTAATAAAAGCCATATTTTTGAATGAAAAAGAGTCTGAAATTTCCCTGTAACTGTAACGAATTACAAATTTCAACTGAATATTGAAATAACCTCCAAAATTTGCATCATGAAAAACTGCAGAGCCAAAGTGATCAGTACACACCAAGGCAGACTGTTATTCACAACATATGAAAGCTCTTGAAAAATAACGGTTTTCAACACTTAATCGTGAAATTACAAAAATAATTTTTGGTTTGATGGTGAATAAAAGATAAAAAGTTATGGTGAATTAAAAGGTTGATCATCCAAAGCAACAATGCTACAGTAAAAAAGGAAACATTAGATGTTTTCGTTTTGCCCTCAGCTTTTTGATGAAGTTGATTGAAATTGAAAGCTAAAAAAATTGCTCATTTAATAGTTTTGTCTACTATCCTCCATTAGAGCACATCGCAAATATTCTGTATATCAAAACACTTGTTTGTTTCTAATCATTGATATTTTTCATATAATATAAATGCCTGTTTTAGGGATAAGTGAAGGTGGTAAATACATACACAACAATCCACTTTTATAGTGATTCATTATCCTAATTTCATTTCATTTTAGCAATTTCATGAACAATGTAAGAGAAAACTATACTGTCAATAAAAATATAAATTGAAATAGGTGTATATTTTCTGTAAGCATGCTTACTTGTGCTGGTGGATTCTTTTTGTGAATTGGTGGATTCAACAATGCTGCTTTAAAAGCTTGTAGATTGTTCCCTCTGTATTTTTCAAAATTAAGTATCGGAAACGGAAGTTATATCATCAGTTTGTAAAATAGGACAACTATGGGTATTGAAAGTAATGTATTATGCAAATATACTCTTTTCATGTGACATTTGAAAATTAGAAATGCCATCACGATTCCAGTTTATCTAATAAAAATTTCACCAGGTAACAAGACAGCTCAACTTAATAGAAGTTGTTTGTTTAAGTTGTTGTTGTATTGCACTTCCAGTACTTTTCCTATAGATTTATTTCGAATGCATCTCGTTATATCTATTCAGATTTTCGAGATTAGATTGTGCTTATTAGATTCTTGGAAGATTCTGCGAAATATATAAAAAACTAATCACACAAGATTGTTCAAAGGATACTGTAATAGAAAATTCGACACTTCTTGTTCATTTGGTCCAGTATCTTGAACGTCATCAACTTCATCCTTGAAGTTGTCTTCATCATACTGATCAACATCGACTTTTCTAAAGCCTCGACTTGTTGAACTCTTCGACATGATTAGTATTTATTTGCTCTTCCAAGCAGTAACAAAGTATTAGAATACTATATATTTGCAGATTTATATAAGAAGAAAGTTCGAAATTTTATAGTTTTACACTTCAAACTTCCATGTGACAAAACCTTAACGATGTAATAACACTTCTAAAGTCTGAAAGTAGTATTTTTTTGTTTTTGTAGCTAACTAGATATTTTCTCAAATCTCAGAATTTTGAATTGTAGACATTAGTCTATATTCTGATATTTTGCTCTATTTCCTTTGCCCTTATGCTGTTATGATCTGAAGACTGTAAGTTACCGTACTTGAGCTCGAGTTTGCACTAAAATTTGGATTTATGAGCCTAAAATCAGATGTTTTTTTTATAAATAAAATAAATGTTTTTTATTAATCACAAAGCTCGTCTTGTATGCAATATCACTGTATTCTGATATTTGGAAGATCTCTTTCTGCTGTCTTGCATTTTTATGCAGCCGTTACTGCCTTATGCATGCAAAATACTGCAGCACAGTATGGTAATATACTGAAAATTTGCATCTATAAAGTATCATATGGGGGGGGGGGGGGGGGGGGGAGATTTTGTTTCTCATTAAGCCCATACAGACATATGGGGAGAATGAAAGAAAATAAGATAAAGGGACGACAAGAGCAACCACGGAACCCAGGCATCCCATCACCGACATTGGAAGCTGGGATACGGTACAATGTTGGGTAATAAAATCTAATCTATAAAAAATGCAACGATTCAGAATGAGACGTTATTAAAAATTCAAACACATGAACCGCACGACACACGAAGCTAGCGGAAACGACAACCGGTACTTTTTTTTACAATTGCCCACAATGACAACTAGCAAGCCCAGCCCAATCCTTTTCCTTGTTACTGGTGGTGGGCGGAGTTGGAATACACAATTTAAGAGGTAATATTGTCACCATTGAATCGTCTCTAATGCATTGCGAATATTCTGTGTCGCTAATGAAACAACAACTTGACATTGTCTCGAAAACAACTCAAACTTGTTTTGTCAAGATGAGGGACATTACTTGTAGGTGGTGTTGACCAAAGTGACTATAACCAAAGGGTTGTAGTCAGTGGTGAGATTCAAATTTTTTGTCAGTCGGTTCTATCACAAAAGTCATATTTTTCAGCCGGTTCTGTTACAAGGATAGGATAGGATTTACATATTTATCCCGGGGGAGAGGAAAGCCGATAAGACGGCTTATCCATATGGCGAACCACGGCCTCTCGTCCGGTTACCATTTCAAGTCGGGTATGGGATTAGTTTTTACTGTATTGTTTGTTTTCGGAAGCATGGACTTGGTGGTGGAGGAAGCCGTAACCGACCAGCGGTTACGTGAACCACCCAACGACGGCGAGGAGTCCAGCAATCCTCTCGCACATAACCATCCCTGCATGGGATTCGAACCTGCGAACCCACGCAGAGTAATTAGAGGTGCGGTGGCGAGCGTATTCCTAACGCTTAGCCCGTTGAGCCACACCGCCGCGTATTTTTTGGCAAATATACCAGTATTGCTAACCGGTTCGCTAATCTCATAAAATTCAATGAGACGGATCTATAGAACCGTAGTAGCATATATTGGATAGTCACTTTGGTGTTAACAATATCAAATATGGGAGTTCAACATATTTACGGTTCAACATTCATCACGCCACTGCAAACTTACAAATTCGTTCGCTTTCAGTGGTCGACAAACTTATTATATCATTATGGGCCAAATATGCATATGACGGTAGCGTGCGGGCCGGATCAATTTTAGCCTATGAAGAACCGCCACATTAAACTTTCAATTATGACTCACCTGCAACTCCTACTGCTGTGGTCATCACAACTGACGTGGGCAAGTGAGGTTTAAAACATGAGATATAGATAGATAGTTTATTTCGAAAACTCCATAACAAACCTAAATTAAAAATGGAGAATTCTGGAGGGCAAGCAAAACCTACAAAAAAGTTTAAAACATGAGGTATCTCATGTGCCTGCCCACCAGCACGCACACAAAAACACAAGCCCAATTAAATGAGGCTTGGGCCAAACTTAACAAACAAAATACACGATAGTAATAAACTTTCGGGCTGTTGTACTCTCTTTCAACAATTACGTTGATAATGACCAATACCTACAACCTCATGCAAAGATAATGTGGGGAGTGGAATGTAATAAATTTGCGACGATAGTCATAGCCTACTACAGGGGCAATTTTATCTTGTGGCATGAGACACTCTCTAATCATGTGGCATTGCGGTAAGTATGGTATTACGCAAAAGCATATAAAACTAAAGTAGATTTAGAAGCGATGGTCATTGAGTCAGAGTCAGAGGTATTTTCATTGAGACACAATTTTCATTGAGCACAACGTTAATTTTTCGCCCAGGAAAAAAATAGTTCTTCAAAGATCTGAAGGTGGAAATCGAATCGTTTTTTATCCAATATTACGCCGATAATATCGCAGTCATTGGAGGTTGTTGGCCTCCAGACACAATGCAAAATCATCAATGACGGCGTGCGTGGACGATGGAAAGACTATAAGCATAGTGTAGATGTAGACAAATGTAGAGATTTTCCATATTCATGGTTTCGTCAACCAGAAAACGTGCATTGCAACAACTATAAATTATACAAATTTATATTATACACTATTTTTTGATTATGTATAAGAATCAAATAGTGTAGACAACCACGTCATATATGTGCTTTTAGGAGTTTTTGTGAACGATGTGTAAAATCATATATGTGCAAAATTAGAAGAAAATATTGTTGGATTCAGATAGTTGGGAACCGCGAGATTTTTGCTCTTCCGCATGATGACTCTCTACGTCTACTATCTCTATGATCTGGGTTAGATACCAATTTATGTTCTTGCGAAAAGAATCTTTCGGCGGTAATTCTTTGCCGTGAGGCTCACTACCCAACCACTCAAATTCCTCCCCCGATCAACCCATACTGACCTTGATTTTAGGGTCCGTGACTCACTGCGTGCTTTAAACAATCTTAATAGCTTCAATTAATTATAAGCTAGACATGCTAAATACCGGTATCATAAATTCCACACCGTTGATAAATTTTGAAAAATCTTTATTTTCGTGAGCTGTTGAAATCTTTGAACCTTGGTAAACACTAGACAATATTTGTACTTTTTGTTCGCTATTTGTCATTTTTTAGTTGTTTTCTAAGATTTTGAAATTACGCAAATAAATCAAAAGTTATGGTAATTATAAACGAAGTCAAAGCTTCCTACAAAAATTCAAAAAGCATCAAGTTAACCGTAAATATATACTACTATGAGTTAACCGGCGTTATTGTTATCAAAATTTGATTTTTTTGGAGCTGGTGTAATTTTTTTGCAATCATAAGTCGAATTTGAGATTTTTTTAGTCCGTGGTCGGAGATTAATTTTTCCTTCAACATCCTCATTGTTCAAAGCGGTATGTTAGTCGTTGGTTCAAAGCAACGACTAACACATAGGTTCTCAGAGTGCTCCGTACGGAGCCCCAGGGCTCCACGAGAGAAACCCAGGGGCTCCGCAAGCTATTCGATTACTCTTCAAAATACTGACTTGGCTAATTTTGTAACTGTTCTAATAAAAAGCAATAACAGCTTTGATAGAATTTGTCAACAATATAGCCTCGAAATATGGCAAAGAGGAGGAATTAAAAAATGACATTATTTATAAGCTGGAACGCAGCCAGGATTTTTAAGAGGAGGGGGGGGGGTATAATCGGAAATTACCAATTACTAAAATGAAAGAATACTATTCTAAAATAACACAAAATCCGTGATATACTGCCAATACATGTATATGCACAAGGAAATTTTTGTTTTAGGAAGAATAAACACCGGCGTAAAGATGTTAAAAAAACACGCCATGCTGACGAAAGCAATTGACAATTGTAACAAAATGCAATCGCGCACGTTATTAGCGGCTTTTTTAGTCTTCCGAAAGTGTCAAAAAAGAAAAGATTCTACCCCTAATTTATTAATATATTTGTCAAGTGTCAAATTTACAGCTTTGGTATATATAATTTATCTTTGAAACTTAGATTTATTTATTACCTGTATTAATCATTGAAATTATGTAAAGTGCTTTTAACTTACTCAGGAATATTAATCGGAAAGTAACAATTTTAACATTTCTTTTGGGGCTCCGTGAATAATAGCCAACCTTTTCAAGGGCTCCGCAACACCAAAAGTTTGAGAACCCCCGGACTAACATATCGGTTCAAAGCTACCTTGGCCTGTCGTAATTTGTAGAGCGACATCTGGCGACGGGCGGTAAATTTTGATTTTGTAATTCACCGAAACAGAAGTAAAAGTACCACTACTGTGAAGCTAGCAACGTTAGTGATTCAGTGATTTGACGATTCTCGGATTTGTCGTATTTTGTCTTTACTATTAGTCTGCAGATATTCTCTAGTAAACGAGCCAGAATTATGGCCACCAAACCACTAGTCCTACCGGTACTGGAAAATTCGTTTGAACACAATCAATCATTCCCTGTTGTTTCCAAAAATTACAAGCGCTCAAGCTTCGGAATTGGAGCAAAAGCGGTGGACAATTTGACAGGTGAGTTACAGCTGTACAAGTATAAAAGTCTGTAATTAGGCCTACCACACTAGAAATAGAACTGCATGTTGGTTTTAATTCAATACTCCTGTACTTTAACTGTTTATGGTTTAATTAGGATCGGATTTACATATTCAGATATTTGTCCCGGGGGAGAGGGAAGTCGATAAGGCTTATGCATATGGCGAACCACGGCCTCTCGTCCGATTACCATTCCAAGTCGGGTATGGGATTAGTTATATTGTTTGTTTTCGGAAGCATGGACTTGGTGGTGGAGGAAGCCGTAACCGACCAGAGGTCACAGGAACCACCCAAAGACGTGAGGAGTCCAGCAATCCTCTCGCACATAACCATCTCTGCATGGGATTCGAACCTGCGAACCCACGCAGAGTAATTAGAGGTGCGGTGGCGAGAGCCCGTTGAGCCACACCGCCGCGCCACTCCTGTACTCCTTTTCTATCCACAGTATACCAGGTATTGCTCCTGTTGACTAATTTGGTATCCATAAAATTATTAATTTAGTGTGGCCAAAGTATTGTTTTTCATTTGTTTGTATATTTTTCTTATTTTCTTTTTATTGAGTAATTTAATTGATTTTAAGTCTCGCTTTTTTTCCTTCCGTCCTTATCATGTCTCGATGATTGTGTGTGCATGCGTGCCTAAATTAGTTTTTTTTTACTTTTGGGTGAGCGAAGACGTACTACTTCTTTTATCAATACCTTTTCATCTAAAATCTGTACACTTCAAACCTTACTTAAGGTTTTGTTTGCTTTCCCGATTCTATAATCAGTTACATTTATTTTTTGTTTTTATCTATTATTTTATCGTCTATTGCTGATTATGGAGTCTAATTATACTTATACTGAATTACAACAGTCACGTTCTGACGTCTGGCAGTCTGAACGTTGTACATAAAAATGCACAACACAGTACAGCACACTATCCAAATTCCAAGAATTTCGCTCCATTTGGGTAAATAAAACAAACACAAACGAGGGGGTCTGGGACCACTCCAGATGCTCCATATCGCGCCATGCTTGTCTCAATGATAATCTAAATTAATCACGGCCGTCACATGACCAAAATTGCCGTTTTTTGCTAAAAACTCTCGAATACTACGGTAAATTTTTTTTTCCTTTGGTAAATCGGATTATTTTTTCCCAAGGAATTCAATGATGACGTTACTAGATTGCGCTTTTTTGTAGTATTTTGCGCAACTTCATTATACTGTATTATTACCGATATTGAGGGACAACAATGTCCGGACGTCTCCCGAAGGGGGAGTGTCTGATCATCTGTAAAATGGGTTTCTCTGAAACGGGACAATGTCACCCGATTTGTATAGTGTGCCGTACTGCAATACAGAAATATCAGCATATGTGGAGAATACTTTTCATAAGCTTACAAACCAGCAGTCATACAGTATTTGTTATGGCAGTATGGTGGATGTGGACAAAAATCGCCTATTTTAATCCAATATGCAATAGAAGATTGTTTGCCTTTGTCAGTTTGTTGTGCTGGTTTATTTACCAATTGAACCCTATTCCAGTATTCTGCAGTTCTGCTATTTATTGATATATTTTCATGTTTTTTTGCAGGGGAAGAATATGACTCATATTCATACAGAAAAGATGCATCATATCCCTGTCAATTACCATCTGTGAATAAATCAAGCAATAATAGCAGGTCACTTAGTTGTTCTTATTCTGTACAGCCTCAAATCTGACAATCAACTATTATTTTCGTTTTTATTGTCTTATTTTTAAAAAAAGCACTTTTGAGCAAAATAATTGATATATATATATATATATATCAGTTGAGTTATGTATATCTTTAATTTTTTTTTTGAATAATTTCATTCTAATTGCTATTTTCTCATTCTTTCATATTTTTTCTCAGTTTTGCAGATGAAAAAGAAGATATTTTGAGTTCTTCTTTTTCTAAGGATAGACATCGGGCATTACTAACTGTCAAAGCAGATAATTTGAAGGTATTGTGCTATAACAATATAGTCTTGTTCAAGGAACTTTATTGTCATATTGTTTATATGCGTTTACTTCAAATATTTCTATTCACATAGCACAACCAGCAGAGCAAATTTAGGATAAATTACATATATAGATAATATAAAAAAAATACATACTGTAAATATGAATCCATTTTGATTTCAACACATCTCAAAAAAATTCAAACTTACAAAATCTCAATACACAAATTAAGCGAATCTAATGGAAAAATAACATTCTGTTATATTGAAAAAAATATTTAGGGAAATTTGAACTGTTTTATAAATTGTCTGCGGATATGAAGATGAAAATGCAATTTCGTTTTGTTACTTCCAATATAAATAATTTTCACATTTGGACAGATATTGACCATCAACAAAATAGCGGCGGAGTTGTTTGGATATACATTTACTGAACTGATTGGAAAGCACCTATCTTGTTTGTTCAAAGAACTTGTCGAGAATGAGAATTCAAAAGATGCCTCAATCAACTCAATTTGTGATAGCGAGGGAAATATAATTGCAACTTCTGGAAAGATTGTAAGTTTATATATTCCTTATTTTTGTGACTTATATACTGCTTCATATTTCATATATTTAGGCATTATCTGAAGACTTGGAACCGAAGTGTCCGATCATTGGTCACTCATTTGGCAAGACTCATTACCATGACAACGATAACTCCGTCTTCTATATATTATTGATCATTTGAATTCATCTGCATTTTCTTATAAATTATTATATTCTTTTCGGTGATTTTATTAAAATACTTGCCAAATTACTGATTTACGTATGTGAGAAATGTAATGTCAATATATCTCATAGTCATATATTAATATTATTTTATGATACGAACATACAGCCCTATAAACTTCCTTGTTAAACATTTAAGTGCTTTTATACTTGGTGAGGATGTATTGTATAACAGAAGATAATTTAGGGTTCAGTTAGCAAATTGATAGCATTTACAAATGTCATATCTACTTGAATCTACTCGACGACAGTTGTGTTTTACTCTTTGATTTCAGATTGATGTTACCCATAAGAAAGGTTTGAACATACCTGTGTCGATATGGACAAAATTAGTTGAAGATGCTTCTGGAACACAATGTTGTATTATTGTCATTGAACCGGTTGAAAGAATATCTTGTTTGTTTGATTTTAATGAACAAGTAGGTTTTTCATTCTAAATTATCAAAGTTATAAAAATCCCAAGTAAATTCTACGAACAAAAAACTAATTATTTCACCAATTCTTCATCAAGATTCTTTTTCCAGGGTAAAGTTATATACTGTGACGAGAAGTTTGCGATGTTCCATGGAATTCAATCAACAGATTTACATGAATTGCCACTAAATAAACTAATGCCTTCGTATGTTCTACCAACACCTGGTGGATGTAATGTACCGAAGGTAAATAAATACCAAATCTAACTTTTACAACAGTAATTAATGTGGTTTCGATACATAATGCACTAGATTGATATGTGATTCTAGACTGTGTGTCATTTGTAATAACCTTATGTGGAGATGAATCTGGTATAAACTTACATCCAATGATTTTTATCCTGTACCTAACTGCTAAATATGATGAAGCTTTGAATACTTTTTCATATCAAAATAACTGAATATAACACTCAAATGAACATGAATAGATGTTGCTCATACTCTAATTAAAAAAGGGTCATTGAAAATACATTTTATCAACAAAGAGCCTTATTTCTGAGACGGATTGGTATGGGTGGTTATTTGCTGAATTACCTTTAATTCATCTGAAATTGCACTGGTTGCAATCATCCTATATAATCCTTACACAAAATGGTTCATTTGGTGCAAATTTTTTATTTGTAAATGTCTTTTAAATCAACTTATTTTTGGTATAAAGGAGATAAGACTTCAAAACACTGTTAGCAGGCCATCAGATGGATCGAGTTTTCCAGTAACAGTTTTCATATCATCTCATCAGAAAACAAAAAAGACACCATCAGGTTTGTTTTTTTTGAGACCTTTGACTGAAAATACCATATCAGTCTTCATTTACTCGAAGTTTACATTGTCTTAGCCATCTAACTAGATATGTTATTTGCAATTATTCTAATTGATGCGTTTATGTCAACTCAAAGGCAGGCTTTGTGGTCTTGAAATTGCAGTATTTAAGGCAATATGCATTAAAATCTTCATTGCAATTGCACATTTTTTTTGCTTTTTCTTCAGAAATGCACTTTCTTGAGAACTGCGAAAAATGCAGTTAACAGTCGCTTAGAAGTACTTTGTGTTTGGGACGACTACTTCCTCCTCATCATTATCTACCCAATAGATTATATATTTTGTGAGAAAATTGGCCTGAACTGGCAGGGCTTGAACATGAGATCTCTATCTATTGTACAATTTTTAAAGTATATAGCCATTTCTGTTCTTGGACAACTCCAGTTAAGATTAGATTATCAATTTGATATTGATATATTTAACTGTCTCTTTGTTATATTCTATCCATAAGTAGTAATATACTTTTTTGCTTTTGTTGTTTTAGTCTCCAGATCTATCATTTTCAAAGCAAAAATGTGGATATTTCCTCATGTCAGTGGATTAATAACTTGTAAATCAAATGGAGAAATTCGGAGCGTCAATGAAAATTTTTCTCAATATCTTTTTGGATATCATACTAAAGAAATGAATGATATGGTAAATTTGCTTTGTGTTTTCTAATAATCAGTGATATCCAAAATAGATCGAATGTTCGAATACATATTGTGGATCCTTGATGTCCTAGAAATAATTCAGATTAGTCCCATTTTAGAATTTTACATTTTGAGCATTTGAGGTCTGATGCTCAACACAATAGGCTCCTAATAACTTTGACAGTGTAATATTAGAAAAACAACTTTTTGCATGCCAGCTTTGAGTTCATAATTGTGCGAATTTACATGACACAATTTAGAATATATTTAATATTGAATGTTTGAAAATATCAATTTTGAATGTATTCAGTACAGTTATTTATTCAGTTCTGGCCATTTCTGTTAACAAAATTATTGGAATGTAATAATAGGCAGATTTTAGAGTGATTTTGCAATAATTTTTTTTTGGCATCAACTTAGTATAAACATGAATATGTATTTGACTTTAAATTGTTCTTGTATAATTGTGAAAAAATTTCAGCGTATAATATCCATGATTCAATGAAAATCATTTTTATTCAGAACATAACGGAGATAATACCATCACTGCTTGTAGGTAGTGAAGATGACGGTAATTTATACAATTCTGCATTTCCACAAATAGAAATGGATTCTAGTCTTAATTTCTCATGTCAAGAGTAAGTTGTCAAATGATATTTCGTATTCGTTTGAGAAGCTACGAATATATATGTATGATTATATTAGAAACAAAATTATTTGGTATGACATACAATTGTGGGTACTCTCGTAGTATGTGTACCAGGTTAGAGTTAGGCCATTATTTTATTCCGATTTTCTTTATTTTAGTTCTGTTACGAGTTCGGGGACTGTCTGTGTTAGCCAAGTGAATACACCCCCTGTCCATAATAATCAGTCCTTTTACATAACTCGGTGTGAAGCAGGCGAACAAAATTAGTCGAGTCCATATTGGTACACATACTTCTGGAGCGCCCAATTTTGAATGAATTGCTAATGGTGAAAGGAATTGTTGAATTAGGTATTGCCTGGAAGTTCTCAGATGACAGATAGCAAAATGCCTGTTTTAAGCTTTTAACACCTCTGTTTATTCCAGAGATGAAAATTTAAAAGTGAAGGATGATGAAGAAACAACTGATGAATCTTGGGTTGAACTTTCTGTTTTGGAGAAACAAACAAGAGAAAAAATGGTAGGTTGTGTATGGGTTACACATGTTTCCGAAAACTATTATTTAAGGGGGACGGACCATGCTTAGAATGATAGTAAATATTGTTGCTTTTGTTAACTTTACTTTTATTTTGACTGTTTTCTTGGAAATAAAGAATGAAATCTAATATTTCTGATAGAGAAATATTGGATGTGATGTGTGATTGATGTAACCATAGTTGACATATTTCTTTTTTTTTCATGTGACATGTAGGCTAGTTTACAACTGAATGAACCAAGGAATCAGGACGATGAAAAACAACATAGTGATTTTCTCGATAAAATAAATGCTCTGTTGAACAATAGCACATCGAATGCAATTGAACAACAGAATGGACAGGAATCTCACGCTGAAAATGTCTCTTCTACAAGTATGATTCATTCGTGTGAGATTGCTGTTAGGTGTGGCTTTGATGTCATAAAAATGTTTCCTAAATTTCCAATTAGTTGAATAACCCTCCAGTTATCATTTGCTTTTACTGCGTTAGAAAAGTTTTTCACAAAAGTTTTTCTGAAGCAGTAAAATTCAAATTAATTTTAAAACGTGTCCGTGTCCTTATAACTGCCTTGGAAGAGTTATGTATTAATACGTTTTTAAATTTAACTCCGATATTTTATTGTAATTAATGCAACTCACATTAATCTATGTGAGAGTCAAAAAAATTTTTCATATATTTTTGATTATTGTTTAATTTTTTTTTTTGTTTGCAGATAAATCTTGTAAAGAAGAATCAAGCACAAATTCTGATTCTGCGATTCATTCAATCTGTAGTAATGCTTGTAAATGTGCAAAAACTTCAGGAAAGGTACTGTTATAACACTGTAATTATGTTAAATTCATGATCTCTATTCACTTATTGAAGAAATTCCATAAAATACCTTGTTAGAATGTTAGGTTTAAGGCAAAATTGTCTTAAGTTTAACAGAATATATGGTACTCCGTAGTATAGGTCCAGGTTGGGGTTAGGCCATAATTTCTTTCCGATTTTCCTTGTTTTAGTACTATTGAAACAGAGTGTGGGGAGTGTCTGTGTTAGCAAAGTGAATATACCCCTTGTCCATAGGTTTTAGCCCCTTTACACCAGCGGTTCCCAACCTTTCTACCCTGGTGGACCGGTAAAATTAGGTTAAATGTACTCGCGGACCGGCAAAAAATCAAAATGGCCGGAACAGAAAAGAATAACATATATTTGCGTAGTTATGCAATGTCGGGCACTCAATATGCTTCTAGACAAAAAAAGCACACTTATAAACATTTCACACGGAGAAAAACTATCACATAATGTGCCGAATAAAAATTAAAAATAGGTGAAACATAAAATAATACCATATATTTGCGTAATGAAATGCAGTGCTGGGCACCCATTATGCGTAAGAAAGGCACGCACAAAATATTTCACATTAAAAACAGGTACATGCCAAATCATGTACAAACACAATTAACTCCTGTGAGAATTTTGCTGCTGTTTCGTTTCGAATATAAGATTACAAACGAGGCCTCAAAGAAGTTTTTGCAACACGTAGCTCTGCAGCCGCGTGTAGCCGATTTCTTTGTTTCGTTTTAATTGAATCTAGTGATGATAATGTTTTTTTGCATAACGCAGTAACTGGCTGAAAAGACGGACAACAGTTCGATTACTTGGCGATGAGTATTCGTTATCAAGAGATATCTAAAATTGTGATAAGTAATTCTTTTTTAATCGGGACTGTTAAGTAGAATCGCCATTTTAATCAAGCCTTTTCTTTTTCAATGGGTTCATCATAATAATCCCTCTGCAGTTGGTCGACGCCTCAAACCAAATAAATTTGCATTACAATGACAAAGTCGTCGGTAACTTGGCAACAGGCTCAAAATCCTACTGTGTTTGGACAAGATCTCTGCGGCCCATGCTTTTTTGCGCGTCTCGTGACCACCTGTGGGGTCGCAACAAGTTCATATCTTACTGGAATATTATACTGTTCTTGACTGTTTTCTGGTTTAAAAAAGGAGATATGCATTACGTTTTATATGGATGGTCATATTAGACAGGAAAAGAACGCAGAACAGAAAAAGCACGCGTGCCGATTTTGAGGCTTCTTAATTTTGCGAGATTTGATGGAGCGCATTTGCGATAAATCGGAGGCGAAAAAGTGTGAATGCTCCGCGCCAAGATGTCGCGTAAGACGGCGTCAAGATGTCGCAATAGGACGGCGGAATAGAATTGCGTAATGAGCCAACGCAACTTTGTATACGGTAGGCTACAAAGTACAAAAAAAAAATTGTATACGGTACAAAGCGATTGAGACGGAATAAAAACATCAAAACAACAAAAATATCTTGCGGATCGGCAAAAAAGCTTTGCGGACCGGTTGGGAACCACTGCTTTACACAACTTGATGTAATACAGGCGTACAAAATTAGTTACCTCCATATTGGTACACGCACTTCGGGAGCGCCGAATATATAATAGACATTTGTAATAGAATATATAATAGACATTCGAAATGTTTGCCAAACTATACCATTTGGCTCTTACCAGTCTTGGTAGAAATAATTGAATACATTTTTTGAAAAAGGAGTTACCATCAGGTTCTAGGTATTTGTTACCTTCAAAGTCATTTTTTATTTTAGACTGGAGAAACAGAGTCAACTTCTTTCTCTGACTACCATTCTGCTGATGGGTCACAAAATGCTGTTCAAACCAATCACATTCACCAACATCACAATATTGATCCAACCAACTTGACTGTGACATCACAAAGAAATTCCAACCAATCAAAATCAAGTGATTCTGTGATATCACCTTCATGTCATGATCAGAGTTCATTTGTTATTGTTGACGATACCACTAATTCTGAAGTTTTTTGCACTCAAAGTAAAAAAGATAATGATTATATCATTGAAAGATTTCCACATAAAGCAACACCAGCCATGCAAAGGCTGACCCTTGGCTCAGAAGTTACGTCAACACCAGTGGAATATGGCCGAGCGGTTTCAAGACTTTCAAACCAAGAGAACTCATTCAGACACTTACAAAATGGCTTCTACAAAGGAAAATTTAAGCACAAGCATGGTGCTCTCATAGGTATGTATTTGGTGGATTGAGGATGTAATTTGTTATTAGTCTGTTTGAAAAACGACTCTATAAAGTAGATGGGTACTGCCTGATGGTGTTTGGCATACTGTGATTGGCTTAAAATATGAACCCCTCGAAATTGTGTTCAGAATTTTTTGAAGTTTGTGTTAAACTCTTGTTGCGTTGAAAACAAAAAGAAAACTACAGTAATTGCAAAAAAATGGGCATTAAAATTTATTTATCACTGAACATGTCTTATAAAGATAAAACAGAATTGCATATGACCGTGAGGGCGTGAAATTCATATAGTCGACTTCTTGTATTCGAAATGCCCTTAAATTGTAGCCTACCTAATTATATTCATATGTAAAATATGAAAAAAAATATGACCAAAAAAAACTTTTTTATGACTAGTGCTTTCTCAGATTCAATATTAATAATAACCCACACTGTTTTAGTTTCTTTTAATTTTTTCCAGATTTCTATTATGAACTGAATAAAGTAGAAGTTGAAAACGGAGCAGATCAAATAATCTGTCTTCGAGTCTTTGCACATACAAATGTACCTGATGGCTACTCTATAGAAGCAATCAACTCAACAATATGTACCAGTGCCAGTACATTACCTTCAATCAATTTGTCAAATAGAAGCAATCTTCTTGACACAGTAAGTGTTTTATCAGTACTCAAATTATATCTCCATACTGACTTTGAATGTTGTAAATTATCAGTTCAGATTAAAAAAGGGGATAAATATCAGTATAATATATCATGATTCTATGCATAATGCTTTCTATGGATATTTTATTGATAAAATTGTAATCTCTATCATTTTCAAACGATCATTTTATAGCTTCACTTGGAATAAGGGTATGGACAAGCAGTGATAATAAATATTATGTGCATTAAAAGGTATTTTATTGATTAAACTGTAATTGATTAAAATATTAAATAAAACCTGAATGAAGTGGTAGAGATATGATTGAGACCATTTTGTAACATTTAATAATACTGACACAGCATGGCCGAACTCAGTAATCAAGAGACCATCACCTTTTGATTGCTCTAGTACTGTTTTCTTGTACTTTAAATTGTTTGACAATTGACATAGCATTTCACATATCCCTAACTAAGATATTTTGCATCTTCTAGGTTTCACTCAATGATTCTCGTGCAGAAATTGGAAATTATGAAGATCAAATAGAGAAATATGCCACCATGGGAGAATTTAATAAGAAGTATAACGTCATCAAAACAATAGGAAGTGGTGCCTTCGGTTTTGTTAAAATTGCGCAATGTATAAAAACAAGAGAAGAGGTTTGTTTTACAACAACTTATATTTATATTAAAAGAAATATTATTGTCAGTACATTTTTGTTGATGACTTTATTACACATAGATGAACAAATGATGTTTGTGGGCACGCCATCTTACCTAGAGCTTAAATGGACTAGGCAGGTATGCCGATCTTGAAATATTACAGACTTGTCGATAATATTAGCTTCCTATGTGATTGAGGTTTGAAAACCCCTTATATTTCCACGGGGCTTGGAAGCAAATTTTTGGTATTTATTCAAATTTGGAAATGTGTTTAATAGTTGATTTATTTTATCATTGATGGGTTTAGCTGCCATAATATACAATGAAACTATCATTTGTTTTGCCAAATTTTTGCAGTATTCATCTATCACATTTTCAAAACTACACCACATTTTAGATATAGTAAATAAACATAAACAAAGCTATAGTAATATAAGACTTTTGTTCAATGATATATTTATAGTTTTTGGATTAGAATATGAATTTGAATATAAATATTAAAGTGAATTTGCTTCCAGGTCGTCGTAAAATTTATCAAGAAAGAGAAAGTACTTGATGAATGTTGGATTCATGATGATGAACTTGATATTTTATTACCGATGGAAATATCACTTCTATCAAGGTGAACTATCTTTTGTTTATTTTCTCTGCAATGTAATTGACTCCTTTATTAATCGAATTACTTAGGGCCATCTTTCCTATTTTTCTAAGTTGTAGTTTGAAGTGCATCATTGCACTACAAAATATGCAATTTTGGTGTCATTACAAAATATCCTAAAAGTTTGGGACTGAAAAATTGCTAAACCTATTTTTTACATAATCGATTACTTTCAATTGATTATTTACATGTAATCTAAAATTTATATTTAATTATATTGCCATTTGCCATACAACAGTATATTCTCATTTAACAAAATTATAAATTATCCTAAAACATTTTATAACATTGTATTTATTCAGGTTTAGACATCCACACATTATCACTGTGCTGGATTTCTTTGAAAACAAAAGTTTTTTCAGCATGATCATGCCAAAACATGGAATACACGGACTTGATTTATTTGAGTTTATCGATCGTTGTGCCAACGGAGTAGAAGAACCATTATCAAGTTATATCTTCAGACAAGTATGTTGTATATCGTTAAATGATAAGCATTACATAACAATTGAAGAAGCATCGTAATATGAAAAATAACATGATGCGAGTATTTCTATTTTTCGAAATTTCCAACGATTTTGCTGAATCGGCTAGATTAAATTTCAATTATATTAAATTCTTAAAAACTAAATTAAAACCTAAAATTTTTTATTAATCTTGGGAGAGAGGTAAGCTGACAAGACAGCTTATTTATATGGCCAAACCTTGTCCATTTACCTATTGTCCATTTACTAGTATGATTATAAATTTTGTTTCATTAATTTAGGTTGTATCAGCAGTCGATTATCTTCATTCCCACAATATATTGCACAGAGATATTAAAGATGAAAATATTATCATTGACGAGAGATTTAATTGCAAACTCATTGGTGAGAATTTGGAATCTTTGCAAAATTTCTTTGAAATTTCCGAAATTGTGCCAAAATTTTTGGTACAGTGATCTTAAAAGTAAATGAATAATCGACATTGCTCTATTATGCTACAATTCCATGTATTACTTCACTGGAGCATTATAAGAGCAATTAGGATTTAAATGATTATATAGTATAACTCAGATGACAACATCATTGTTCATTGTTTTCTTTATTGGGACAAATGTTGTGAATCCGCGAGTAATCCCAATTCTGAAGATGTTGAGCTTTGTAAATCACAGCAGACTTCAAAACAGATTTCTTGCCTTATAGACCAATCCTTTTGATTTATGACATATATTATATATCATTTTTTTCATTTGTAGATTTTGGCAGTGCTACGTTCATGAAGCCAGGCAGAGACTTCGCCACATTTTGTGGAACAATTGAATATTGTTCTCCTGAAGTTTTAATGGGAAACAAGTAAGATAATCATTTTTGACGCATGTCAATCACACTCAGAAATCATCGGTTTGTATATCTGCTGGTATTTCCTTAAAGTTATTTCGACAATGTCTCTTGTATGTACATACTTTTGGTCATGTAAACACTTATTATTTAAATCAAATTAATATTAAGTCAATGATTTCAACGCTGACAAACTGTGTTACAGATATCGAGGGCCAGAGTTGGAAATGTGGGCATTGGGAGTTACATTATATACATTAGTATTCGGAGAAAATCCATTTAAAAATGTTGAAGAAACGATTACATGTGAAGTTGATCCTCCTTTTGGGGTATCTAGAGGTAATGTAGTTTTGTTATATCTAGATGGTAAATTATTGCAATTCCTTGTTAATTAGAAAAGAAATGATTTGAAATATTTATAATATTTTTCAAATCAGAAATTGATTCAATCAGTTTTTTTGTCAGATTCGGAGTATTTTGATGTTAAGATTTATTTATATCATCAACTATTTATTGCACATTTTGTAATTTCGATAAAAACTCAAGATTAAAATTTCTATTGAAATTTTACGCTGGGGATCTAGGTATATTCCTTCTTCATTCCACCATGTGCATCTGTCATTATCCTATATTTGACTGAGGCAAACAAGAGACACCAACAAATTCAACATTGGTTTTGAAACATTTTTCAGCTTGAATTTCTTTCATTCTTCATTACGAATTGAGTACATTTTCCTTATTTTCTTTTAGATTTGGCTTCCTTGATGCAGTGGTTGTTACAACCAGATCCAGAGTACCGTTGCACAATATCAGAAGTTTTAGAATGTCCCTGGGTTAATCAATATGTTGAAATAGATCAATATCAATGGAATGATGTGGTCCACACTCCTGCTGGTATGTGATTATTTGACTATGAGAAACTGATTTTGGCTCACAATAACTGTTTCAACATAATTTTCAAAATTGTGTCTCGAAAGCACTTCCAATGAGTCATAAATATTATAGCTTGCTTGCACCTTCTTATAAAATAATTTTCCACTGACACCTGGCTTGTGATATGTTGGCCACTATGACACCGGAAGGGTATATCAATATAAATTTTCCTATTCTTTCATTTTTGTTTAATTGAAATAACTGATAGAAACTTGGAGCGGTGGGCATAAGCAACAGACAATTAAAGAAATATACAGCAGACTTTTTATCACCAAATCTATGTTCCCCTGAGTCTGAATTCTTTGAATGGCTCGAGAGTTTGGTGCCAGGTTTCCACGGGTGAATTAGATTTAGCATTATTTGTCTCCGCAAATTTCGTTATTCTAGATTGCTGAAATGTGTTGGCCTTCTTTCTAATTGACTTCATACTGATCATTGAATTATAACACACATTCATGTTTTTAGGAAGTGCCAACAGCTCCAATATTCAGGTTGCTTGTCACAATGATAGCCCACTACTAGATGCAGAAAATTTGTGTCTTCAACTCCAAGATAAATTGACATCAAAACATGCTCAACAACAACTTAGTAATAGGAAAGTTCTAAAGCCTATCAATGATTTGAATAAAACAATATAAGGTTGTTATTTGTATTTTGAATTTTAATGATATTTTGTTTAAAATCAAATGGATTCTCAGACTTTCTCTAATATTGTTTGAATTTTTGGTTTTGTTTGTTAGTAATGCTGAATATGACGGTTATTATTGGTAGAATCTCACTGGGTCTAAATTGTAGCCACAATCCATTTATCATCACAATGTCTAGGAAAATGTTGTGTCTCACATGTTCACTTGTCCCACACTTGGGTGGGTGATGTGGGATAAATGATACGAGTGGGGCACGTGGGACATAGTGAACAAATGATAAAAGTCCTAGTCGTCCCATACTTTTGGGTGGTGTGGGATCAGCTGGATAAGAGGAACAAAAAAATACCAGGGGCACGTTTTACAAGCAAATTATCATCTAAGGCTCTTATGATATATTTTGGAACTGTAGAGGGCCTCTTTCTTTCCAACCGTGTAGAACCTACCTGCATGAGACAATCATCTCTTTGTGGGGCTTTCTCACATGCTATTATGGTGCTTCTGTGATTAGCAATCATTAGTTTCCTCTATTATTTTTCATGTTTTGTAGTGTACATTGTAAAGCCATATCATTCATTATAGTAATTTTGTTTGTCTGTGCTTTTCTTTTTATGGCATTTTACTTTGAAATAAAAGTAGATTCAATAGACTTGTTTCATATTCTACTATTAGTGAGAAAATTATTGATTTAGTCTTTGTATCGATTACAAATTATTAAAGTAAAAATAGTCCCTGGCAAATTTGGCAGGACTCGTGTGATAGGGCAACAGTCAATTTGTGATTTTTCAACATGTGAGGTGGCACAATGATGTTACCGTAACTCTTACATAGACTGGATTGTTTGTTTCCACTGAAACTGTATTGACGGCCTGGCTGTTGCTGCGTTTGACATACTACCCACCTTCGTGTAACTGCTTGCTAACATAGCTATGTTGGTAGCACATGGTGAAAAGTTCCCGCCGTAAAACCATTTGTTAGTCTGGCTATACCATATTCTTTGCTTTCACAGTAGGGCTGTGGGATAAGAAAAATTTGACTCTGGCTCTGGGTTTTGGACAATTTCGACTTCAACTCTGAAAAAATTGTACTTTGACAACAAAATTTTAGTCCACGCAAGCCTTCTTTAGAACAATGTCCACAAAAGTGATGCTGCTTGAGTTTCTGAAGAATGTTTAGAATATTGAAGTATGAAATTCCAACTTCTTCTCATCTCTGGTCGGTTTTAAAATTGAAATCCAGCTCCGACTCTAGTAAAAAACATGTCCAATACTCATTTCGAAGTATCGTTGACCATTGTTCTATGAAATATAGCTTGCCACTCAAACAGTGATGAATAGTGAATTGAAAGTGAAAAGCTTATTTTCACACTCAGTGACACTGGATCTGTATACCCTAATTATAATATAAACAAGAAACCAATTCCTCTAAAAAAATGCAAAGTATATACTTTTCTTTATTCTGAATACGCTTAATGTTAATAAGGAAAAACACACAAGCACATTCATGAATAATGATAATACCAACATGATCAATAATAATAAAAAATAAACGCAGCAGTAGTAAAATACTTGTTATGAATAATAGAAACTGCAGTACAATAACAAATAAAACATGCATTTTATATTGAAACATGCTTGGACAAGCATGGCATAAGAAATTTTAATTAAGACACTTTGGTGATGTAAATAATATTCGAACGTCTCAGCAATCGAATTCATTTTCGTTAGTGAAGACGACAGATAATTTCTGCAGCCAGCAAGAAAAGTAATACTTTATTTCAATCAACATGAGCTAATGCTCTATAACTATATATTTGCTCAGCAATCTAAATTCAAAAGAAAAATGGAATCCCATATTTTTTAGACAGCAATAGCTCTCTTCATTAATTATAAGCTATATTTAAACCACGGCCAATAAGAAGGTAGCAAGCATTAGGAAGAACTATCAAGCAACAATACTTGCAATATCGGTATGAAGACACAAACAAGCAATGAATATTTATCTATCTTGTGGAAAAGAATAAGGGATAGCAGGAAAGGATGCCTATACCACAGTCTTTAACCTTGTGTAAGCGAATAAATTTAGGACACTGATTTTTTAATCAAGGCATGTGGCAAGGGAATTCATCACAATACCTGCTTCGAAAAGATTTAACTTTGGGTAGCGATATTATTAACAGACAGTTCAGAAAAATGATTTATTGTAATATGTTTCACATTATGATGGAGATACTTTAACCGTTTAGATCAGTGGTTCACAAACGTTGGGCCGCACCCCACAAGGGGGGGGGGATAGACAATTTTTTTAGGGGAAATAAAAATATTTGCTAGATTCGATCTTGCCTGCTTTATTTGTTTTTAAAAATTTTCATTTATTTCATTACTTATGTTCTATCCATGTATATTCAACGTGTTTTTTGAATAAAACATATTTTCTCGTTCTTATCTGTTATTTGTAGCTTATTGTTAGCTAGTTATTTATGAGGTTGGGCGGGAAACTTGACAAATCCTAAAAAGGGGGACTGATTTAGATCACTTTGATTAAGTTTATATTTTGTTTACATTCTAATAAAAATGTTATTAAGATTACAACTTTGAGCTCAATAAATATTACTATGAAAAAATTCATAAAATATTCGACTAGCTGGCTTTTTTTGTAGTTACATTTCCTTTTTATAAAAATTGATAAACTGAAACTGAAAGATTAGAAACAACACATATATAAAGTTATTTCATTATCATATTTTACAACTGAATTCAAACGTATCAATGTTTAACCAAAATTAAATCATTGGACAATCGGTTGAAATTTAAAAAGTGAAAATAACATATTTTTCTCTAAGGCACAGTAGGTTGCATAAATTGGTTTAAGGATGGATGAAACAAATATTGTCTTCAACTGCTTCTGATCTCGTAAACTTAATTTCTTAGAGATGATAATATTAATTATGAAATAATTCAAGTAAAAAAAAATTGACTAAAAAAAATTGAAAGGTGGCTATTCATTCGGCTACATAATATATTGAAATTGATTGGTCATAGCTTTGAGAATGAGGACTGAGATATTCAGAACTGGTGAGTTAAATAGTGCAGCGGTAAAAAGCGTCAGACTTAACTGTGTTGGCATTCAAGGTTACACATCTCAGGTTCAAATCCCATTCCATCACTTGAACCGGGTGTAATAAATTGAGTAGGCCGAAAATAGTAGCTCAATACATATCATTAGATTTATATAGCTGCTTTTGAAGGGCCTTGTTCGCAGTGAAGTTCGGGAACAGGAGTCGAATTGAAAAACTTTATTTGATTTGCTAGGATTATTACGCTTGATAATTGCAATGTGATTTATTATTTCCGGAAAAAATGCGATAAAAACATAAGCATTTTATTTTGGTGTGAGACAGTTCAAAACATACGCTTTACATTTTAAATTTTGAAGATATAACTTGGTTTTGGTTGTTTTTTACTTTAGGCAAAGGAACAATCTCCGAATATATTCGAAGCTGATAATTTCCGACGAAAAATATCAAAATCATCTTGTTAAAACATAATCCAGAAAACATTCGTCATAATCAATTTTGGCAAATAGTTTGATTGGCATAACCATAAATGAATGTGTTATAGTATATGGTCTTGGATATTACTGATATCAGAATACAAACAGGAGGAATCAATTTTGAGCAAAATGCAGGTAAAAATAATATTTTTTCCATATTGAGAACAGAGGTGAAAACAATCTATAGGCTGAAATTCATAATTCTGGGAATTAGAATATAGAAAGTATTGAATATCATATGGTGATGTAATAAACAGTCTAAATAAGAATAACATGAAAGGGCATCTTCGACTTTCTTATATTTGATAAATGCCTGGCTTTGGCAGTGATGCTGAATAAACATGCAGAATCATGCAAAAAATATTATTTATAATATAGGCGCAAAATTGGTCCAGGAATGTTTTTCTTTATAAAATTACTATTTTAAAAACTGAAAAAAATATCGGAGTGACTATCATTTTTTAGGTTAAATTTAGCTTATAATTTTTCACATAAGATTGAAATTAAAAAAATATTTTAAATGGTAAAGTTAAAGATATACAACCTCAAACAGCTAGTCGTTGACAATATTTTATACCTCAGGTATTACAATAATACTTCTCAACTCATACCTGTTGGCTTTTAATAGGTAGAATATTGTTTAAAGTAGGATAATGCTATTAATATATTACCCATTAGCAAAGAAGCAAAAATTACCAGACAATCTTCTACCAGCGCAAAGAAAAAACAGTGTTTAAATCAAAATTCTAAATAATTTAAAATTTGTATAAAAAATCTATTTCATTGCTTATACTTAATATGGGGCGAGCTTGTAGATGGTCATAAAAAAATTAAAACATTCATACTGCAAATCATCATTTTGACATTGTTGTACCAAAATTTGGTTATCATTTATCTGGTTTCGCATGGTCTTTTGTTTATTAATAAAACACCAGGTTGAAGACATTGTTAATAAAGAAAGCGTAATACTTATAAGACCCATTCGGTCATTTCGTTAGCTGAACCAGTACTCGTTTGTAGTTATTGTGCTGTGGTACAGTAGTACTAGTAAACTGTCTTTAATATTGCACCGTTTGTCGCTTCGCAGGCAGGCCTGATGCGCAGAAAACGTAGTTTTATTACATGTTGAAATTTTGTCTTCGCTAGAATGAAGTGTTCTGAAAAAAAGAAAAAGGGTTTTTAGCATGATTTGAATAATCTTAGTAAATAATACTAATGAAAAATAAAAAGCTTTAAGAATAAACAAAATGTAGAAATATTGCAGAATAAAATCTATAAATATACAAACAATAATTTATTTATTTCAAATTAAATATATTGGCGAGAGACACGAAAATTAAATTAAGTCGCATCATATTTGCCAATTTATATGATTTAACAACTTCAATAAGATCAATCGTGTATCTATAATATCACTCAAAATTTGCTATTGAAAATCAGACAAAACAATAAAACACTAATAATAGTTAAAGTAATTTTGATCATTAATAGTGATCATGTATTGAAGTAAATAGCAGTTTTTATTACCAGGCTATCAAATTATCATTTCTATCAAACAAACAATCATAATACATACCGTAAGTTTTATGCCAAGGTATCATTTTACGTATTATTTATTTAATAATAAAGTAATCAATATCAGATTATGTTTACAAACTTAATTATGCAGTAATGCAAAAGCAATAGATAAATTAGATGTTGATACTTCAGGCAGATTGTAACCGGCACTATAAATCTTTTCATACATTTTTTACTTAATTAAACTACTGATACTAGTAATGATAAATATAAATAATCGATAAACTACGCAACTCAGATCATGAATTCACATCATGAACTCGTTAATAAGACATTAAATGTCATGCTTCTTGTAGAATTGTAATGATAATATGAAACACATTTAACAACAGATTATAAATATAATGCTAGACAAAGTCTCGCAAATAAGCTAATTTGGTCATGTGTGCCGGCAAGAGTCGGCAAATCATGCAATCAGATGTTTATTTAAGTAACTAAACTTTGTGACATTTTATCATGTTCACAGAATCAGAGGGACATTGAAATGAAGTTTTGTTGTTTGGCACAGATGGCCAAAACTAAATAAGTTGTTAATAATTGCAAGAAATAACAGAAATTTAATTCAAATCTGGGATATCGCATATATTGATCGCAAATCTTGACATGAAGAGGACGAGAAACACAAATTAGTACCGATACATCTTCAATATAATTGATTAGGTTCACTGACAAATCCTTCCAATTTATGCAAAATTTCATGCAACTTGCTTTATGCTTATTTAGTATAATTTAACAAAATGAAAACGCAAAAAATGTCAGTATTATCGTGCATATCAGACTGGAAAATGCTAATTATAAAACCTGAAGAAGCAATTTAATGTAACCACAAACTTCTAATGTACTTAACTTATATTAAACTAGTAAAAACCATAAATTTTAATAATCTGAAGATTTAGCTGGGAGCAATTTAACATAAATCACAAGATTTATAATGGTCTAACAAGTTATAAAAATACCTGCTAGGATCCTTCAGGCCGAACATCATCTAATTTCCTTTGAACATTAACATCTGATTTTTCTTCATATCCGCCTTTACTTTGCATATGATCTTGCATCTAAAATATTTTATAATATTATAACTGAGGATGAGACAAAATGTTTTTAGTTAACACATACATATACCACAAAGTCCCTTCAGAATTTCAATTTTGTTATGAAGTCAGTTCTCAGTATATCTTAACCAGGTTTGTTGTTTTTAAATCAGTGATTGTTTAAGTATTTTTACTTCATTTAATACATCTGTGAGGGCCAAAACAATATGGTATCGATAAATTCCCTTTGCAATTTAAAAATTTTTAGAACGTCATATAGACACCCTATACTCCCTATAGTATTAAACGACTTCAACAACAACCTGCAGTTTATAATATTTGACCTGTCATTTCCTGAATAGGAGCAGAGATATCGACTAGTGACTATAAAAATTAGAATATAAAGTCTTTCATCCTTTTTCTATATATTATTTATAAAGACAGTATATTATATTCAAAGGTACTGCATTTTGCACACAAAATTCAATTTGCACATACAAACTCTTCTATTAGGTGAATAAAATTTTTTACCAGACTTATTAACAAGTTGACAATAATAGTACTTCGAGAATTCCCTATGGACAAACACGCCTCACTTCATAAACAAGGTATATGAAATACCAAATTTCACTATTTTACTGCTACTAGCAAAATAAAGGAGTAAAGCAATGATATTTGACTTGTCAAAAGGTACACCACATTAAAAACCCTTAGTGGAAAAAATACTACAATGACAAGATACACTTACATCTGAACCTGTGGGCTCTCCAGAGCCTATGTGATTTAAATGAACAAAATTTTGTGGTGCTCCTATCATACTTGGATCTATTTTTTTCCGCCTTGGTCTCCTCTTCTGAATGAAAACACAAATTATATAGCATATACGTATGAAAAAATGTTATAATGACTGGGCAAACAATATCTAAGGATTCAGAATTTAATGTATGAAGCATATTTCAAAAGTAAACAGCTTCAATTGGTCAAATAATATAATCATCGATTTAGTAAGCCGGTAGTACAAAATTTTGCATTTATCAGTCGGAAATGTAAAGTAGTCTAGTAGAAGGCTAATACGTTGCCCCGCCTACTGGATATCAAGTAAATAACGTCATGTGAAATGTGCAAGATTAAAATAATGTGCGCACAATGACACAAACGATAGGGGTGACCGGTTCTCAAATAAACCTATGTAAGGTTGTTGTGTGGTAAAACCATGTTGTCATAATCAATTTAAATGAATTAGAATTAACATAGTTGATAAGGGTTCTTGTTCTTATTAAGAATATACCAGTGTAGTTATTTGTACATAAATAACCTTACTTTACCATCAGTAACTAGTAACAAATAATACATAACAGAATTGTGTTTTGACAACATGTAAAACATTCATTTTTTTTTTTCGGTAACAGTCAATTAAACAATCTGAATTTTAAGCGTGTACCAAAAAATATTGTATTTATAAAACAAACCATACTTAAATAAGCATTTTATGTTTCACCGCAAATGGATAAATATTTTCAATACTATACAATACTATTGCAAGATACCCAAAAACGAACCAGAAAATGGCACAAAATTCAAGACTACTTTGAGGTGATATTCACCTTAATTGAAAAGCTATATTATTTACTTCCTGATTTGTTAAGCTAGGACAATTTGGAATTAGAAAAAAGCATTACTTACATTAGAACTTGTATCATTTGACATGCAACAAGGGAAAGCAGAGCCACATTTCGGCCATATCCCGATCTGGAAAAATATAATACAATAAACATGAAATGACTCAGTTCCTACATTATATGCATCATTATGATGCACATCAACACTAATATAAAAAAAATGATAGATTGCCATAGACATATAGTATGAATAACACTTGAATATAGGTAGCAATGAATATTGGTGAGAATGTATAACATGCACTAGAAAAAACACTGACTAATCGGCAGTGACGTCAATATATTTAAAATTTTAAAACTGACTAATAAACAATAAAGGTTAAGTCAAACAGTAAAAAAACATAGGAAGATATCATAAGAAAAATCACCTTGATTATGGAAAAGTAGTGTTCCCCCATTTTCACTATCATTTATGTCTTTCAAAATACATTTAAATCCCATTGCTTACAAAATAATATTCCTAGGCAAGTTTCAACACGAAAAGCACAAAAGCAACTAAACAGACCCCAACACAGCTGCCATAATTATACTTTTTTTCAGCAAATTAGATGTAGAAATGACATAATTATCAATGATATAAATGTAATTATAATGATCAATTACAGACGATTACATCATAATATCAAGTCTATATAACTTGCATTGCAAAATTGATAAATTGCAAAACAGTCGTGAGCAAAGTGCATGTTATTGAAAAATCCCTTATTAAGATATAACTTGCAATCTAAGTCTCATTGATCACATGACTATCAAATTATGCTACATTAGACATTATAAACTGTCACATGGACAATTCAGTCAGCTGTAACATGAGGGTCAATAACTAGAAATATTGCCATTAGAAATGTTAAACAATAATCTGAATATTACACTATATTAGAAGTACTACACCGTTGCACCATTTTCCACCTCATTTTCAAATGTGTTTTATACACCTATCCCCAGAATAATGGAATGATGATTATCCCCATGGGAACCATGCTACTTGAATACAAATTTTACCTTATATTATCTACCTCCGATGTATTACCAATATTTGGAAACAAATATGTATATGATAACTTAATTAAACCAAACTTAATCAGATATTATCCGTTGATAATAAGAGTGGCAAATCTATCAATATCAACGTTTCAGTATCGTTTTACTGGCATTTTTAATACAGTTTAAATAAATATTGTTGTATCCACATAAAATAGATAACATTCAATGGATGACAGGTGGTCAAAACATTGAAAATGATGAATGGTGTGTATTGGATATTGTATTTACACTGATACATTTAGCTTAGGTCTGTCCAAATTAGGAGTTCAAAAAGGATTTGAGATTAACTGAAGAAACTTTGGGATATGACTATTTATACTGCCTATGGGAAAAGCAAATAATATTCCTTTCTTATGTTTAAGAGGAGACATACATAAATAATTTGGCAATTTCAATTATTTGACAAATGAAAACACAATATATGTTAAAAACCAAAATTCATTTGTAATAACTGCTTCACCAGAATTAAAGGTGTATTAGAATATGATAAAAATTGCACAAAACTTTGAGGTCTGTCTATCGCAAAATAAAAATCAAATCTTCCACAATATTTATAAAAAATATTTAATTATTTTGATTAATAAAATCCACCAATATTGAGATGATCAATAAGAACTTACTATATTTTGTAATTGCAGCAATATACTGCACTAGTGAGGTAGGAATATTTCCCAATAGCAAAACTTCATCAAATTATATCCACTGCGTTGATGAGCCTCGTCCATATACAACAGTTGCCACCAGATATCTTATACTTGGAATGAATCAAGTATCAAACACTTTTAAAAGATATAAAACCTGTACATATATTTCTTCTATGAAAATACATATACAGTGCTACATAAGCTGAAATATAAATATGGATTGTTAAAACCCCTGAAGCAGCTTTAAAAATAATCTATGAACTAACCCAACGGTTTCCAAACTTTTTGTTTGTACGGCGCCAAATTATTAGGAATAAAACTCACGACACACTTACATGATAAGAAAAATCGCTGGTATTTGTTAATGTGTACTTTTTGCCTTTAAAAGTTTGTAAAAATGTAGGCCTTAAGAATAAAGGTCAACTCTTCTTCCTCATCTCGAGTGGAAGTGGTGACTCCACTACGGCCCATGGGCCGGGGCCACAGCCCATCGAATTGTGCCTCGGCCCATCAGGCTATGGGCCGCGGCCCATCAAGTTGTGTAAAAGGACTATTTACTTGGCTAACACAGTCAGTCCCCGAACTCATAATAGCACTAGAGTTAGACTATAATGTGAAAAATCTGAACAAAATTTTGTCCTAACCCTAACCTGGTACACATACTACAGGAGTATTCTTTTCTGTTGCTTGGTATTTTGCTTTATTTTTATATAAAGGCTTATCGTAAGAAAAAAATTTGGTGGCATCTCGCGATTTTTTTCGGTTCGAATATTGACTATTTTGTGAAAATTGAAAATTTTGTTAAGATAATTGAATTTTTTCTGATGGGGCCGCAGCCCATAGCTTGATGGGCCACGGCCCATGTGGCCAAATTAGATGGGCCGTGGCCCCGGCCCATGGGCCGTAGAAGAGTCACCACTCCTGTAGATCTCTGCCTGATTTTCCCTTGAAATACTAAAAAAAACTCTCATGTTCGCTAAACTCGGTTTAGCAAATAAATAAACTGCAGCTCGCCAAAACTGTAGGTAAAATAACTTATTGATTCATATACACAGCATTTGAACTAAGAAACAACAAAACAACCTTTATAAGAAATACATTATGAAAAATATTCAATCATAATTCATATATTAGTTATGTTTAACACAATTCTGATAATTTTCAAGGCGCACTTAGCAAATCGCAAGATGACATAACACAGAACACAGCAATGGATAATCATCGCAAAACTAACATGTTTCCTTGAAAATAAGACCTGGCCTGTAAATAAGACCTAATTTGAATTTTTAAAATGATTTTAATTAAACCCTACCCTTAAAATAAATTTAAAATGCGTGGGGAGGAAAAGTTCCATGACCTGAGGTAAGATGAAGATCACATCACTATTCAAGATTGTGTGATGTCACAATCACAATTATGATATTTGTTACTTGATTTTTGTATAGGAAATACAAATAAAAACAATAGATGTCAAAATCTCGTAATTTTCTACAATGGAATTTTATTTTTGTTAAATGAACACAAAAGACCTCTTCCAAAAAAAAACATGGTGTTATTCTTCAAAAGAAAATAAATCTAAATCCTGTCTAAATTTCGGGGAAACACGGTAAGAAGTACTGTACAGTGTACAAAACTGCTCTGCGTAAAAAAGCAACATGGTTATTCTTTGTGTAGCAAATTTTTGTTCCTTTGAGAAGATCGTAAAAAGGAAACTTCCACAGATTAGAATTTTAATTCAATTTAATTTTTTTTTTTTTTTTTGAAGATTTACTTTTGTGACCCACCAGTGGGTCGCGACCCATTGTCCGGGAACCGCTGCTTTAGGCTGTTCATCAAATCAACATATGATGGCATTACTTTTTTTTATCATTTGTGCCCTCTATAATTGCAACAAAATTATGCTTGCAAAGTAATACACTTTGTATGATTGCATACACAAAAAATTCACAAATCATGCTGCCACAGTTCTCCGATTCCAAGTATAGCATCCACATTAAAGGATAAATTATAACTCAATAAATAAATCAATTATAACAGTCGATGCTAATTCCTCCTGTTCGAGACAGTATGGGCCTCTATATAGCACAAATCGGCAAACCGGTACTGCACAATAAACTAAATGGAAGCACAACCTAAAAACATCAGAATTGGATTCCTTGTAAAAACAACAATCAGATTTACCGAAGAAAATAATGTTCCGTAGCATTTGAGAGTAGCAAAAAACGTCGGCAGGAGAGAATTTTGATCATAAGACAACTGACACACGTCACGATTGATTTAAATTACCGTATTTTCCCGAAATTACGCCTATATCGAGAATAGGCCGACTCCCTAAAAACGACCTTGAAACAACGATTTTATAAAAAAATCCCACATAAGCCGGTCCTACGAATCGTTACACGGCGGGACGCTTCAAGAAAAACGTAATAAGGAACAAAATTACTGTAACGCAAACAGTTCTCACGTTTATCGTTTCAGCATGTTAGTGACGGCCGTAGGTGAATTATTACACGTAACTCTTACTTGTTAATTTATGTTAATGAAGTCTATATTGCTTTTCAATGTGTCGTGATTGTGTTGGGAGTTTAAAATAGAGTTCCTGAATCAGCATAAAACAATTTCCTTTGATCGCCACAACGACGATTAATTTCGTTCCTTGTTCTTTTCAAGGAAAGAAATAACGCTGTATTAACCCATTCTTATATTTCACTACGAATCTTAACACGCCAGACGCCTTAAGAATGGCACAGAAAGAAAACAAAATTGCTGTAACACAAATATTTCTAAGGTTTATCATTTCTGTTTGTTAGCGACGGCCGTAGATCCTTACTCGTGACTCTATATTGCTTTTCATGCCTCGTGATTTGTATTAATGGAAGGGATTGTTGTCGGGAGTTTAAGAGAGTCCCTGAGTCAGCATAAAACAATTTCCTTTGATCGTCCACAACGCGGTTAATTTCGATAAGAGTCCTTATCACCGCCCCTTAACGGATAACATATCCATATCGTGAAGGTGATTAAAAGTCGTGCGCCGTTAATTGCCTCTACGGCGAAAGTGCACCAAATAATAAAGTTTTCACCACGAAACAACTGGCCGTAAATCGACACTGTTGCTGCTATATAAAAGAAACACAAGCGAAAACAAACAATCACAGCCTGTACAAGCGTCACATGTTAAACAACCAATCACAGACTGTACAAGCCATCAGCTGTATGATAAGACAATCCACTTTCACAAGCGAGTGTGTGTGTGCGCAACGCTTTTTATCGTGAGGACTTGGTATGGTTTGAAGCTTTTGGAATTACCGGCAAGTCAGCATAATATCATCTCGTTGCCGTGATCAAATTCTGATACGTAAATGAGCCGATTTTTTTTGGTGCAATCTGAGTCATGCGCGTATAAGACGGTCCCTTAGTTTGGCAACTTTTTTTTTTGAGTTTTAAACTCGGCCTATACGCGATCATATACGGTATTAACAGGACAAAGCATGACAAAATTTGCTAACAAAGTTACGACATGAACGACAATGGCAAGTAAAGAAAAAATGACAATTCCAAATTGTCAACTGCAGAACTTTGCATTAAAAAGCTGCCAAAAATTAATAATGGGAAGATTAAATTAAAACTCAAATGCAAAATAGTTTTAACCATTTTCAGAGCAGTGAAATCTTGGAATCGGAGAACTGTGCCCGATTGCAGTATGGCAGACTTTACTGATCGAGCGACATTGCCTAGTAAGCGAGCTCTAATGAAGTCACTAAAATTTTATTCAATGCACGCAAAGCCTTGATTTGTTTCTAGTGTCGATACCCTTTTTTTCATTGTAGACAAAATTGCGTGTTAATGATAATTCATGGGTCAGAAATATTGAAAATTCCATTTTGATCAACATAATAGTCTATATGCCTCTTAGCGATATTACATGAATTAAACATGATAAAAATACACACTACTGCAATATCTGAAGCTAAAGTCAAAAATTACTTAGGTCGACAATATATCATACATCAAAACGAAGCACAAAATCAATTTTTTTTTTCAAAAGTGAAATTTATATTGATGGTAAAACGACATAAAAAGTTCCGTTTCACTATCAATATAGACTACTGATATAATAACCAAATTAGACTTTCAAAAAAGAATTCGATTTTGTGCTTCGCTTTTAATTTGATATGCGACAATTTCCATAATTTCGGTTCTGCTGATGCCACAGATTCACAAAGTTTTC